GATAATAACCAAAGTCTTGATTATCCATTTTAACATTAAATTATTAAATGGCGCGGGTGTGGTCTAAAGAGTTGATTATGGGCATGTCATGTGAATAAATGTCTAAATGAAGCCGGAAAACAGACCTACACTAGAGTCATTTAGTTCTTACATAATAAATCTTTATTGAATTTAATACTTAATGAGTTTCACCTATCTTCTCTGTTGAGATAAAACTCAGGTTAATACTGTGGGACTGTTATTAACTTCATATCATTATTCCATATAAGTCTTATAAATTAGCGGGTTTTAATAAATAAAAAAAAAAGGGACCAAAATATTACATTCCAGTTGTGGTCGTCTTCTTTTATTTTCATATTTTCTAAACAACAAAAATTATTTTGAATAACGTCAGTTTGCTGTTTCTGACTGTTGCTTCCAACAATTCAACAATAGCCATAACTCAAGAGAGATTTTGTAAATGTCTGTCTTTAATTTTTTATGGGATAAAGCACTCCCTCATTTGTAGTCTGTGAAAGTAGTCTTTGATTCGCATACACATTTGTATCATTTTTTGTTAGAAGACAGTTTAGAGGAGTTAGGTAAAAACATTGGTGATTACTTATAAATATTTACAAACTCGCCTGAATTCTGATGTGAAGAATTAGTGAAAGTACAAAGGCTACAGTAAAGCCATTGTTCGTAATTTACATCTTTTGAACAACATCAAATTTTTCACGACTGAATCCACGCTAAAATGTACTCAAATTGATTAATTAGTATTTAATTAGAAAAAGAAAGTCAAGATATCAACTGTAGATTATCTCCAGACATGGATTCAAAATGGGTTTAAAAAGAGACCCAGAAAAATTTAGCAAAGATTATAGATGACCCTGGCTTGTTTTGACCATATGTAGAAGATGCAAAATGTTGACAAATTTTCAGTTTATCACATATTTGTATATACTGGGTACTGAACGGAATTGAACCATTTTTGGACTGATGACGATCAGAAACTTTCGGGGTCAAAATCCAAATTTTCACACATACTTTAGAGCAAACAAAAGATGAATATCTTACCATTAAAATGATTTTTTCTAATCTTCATTGCATATATGTATGTATATTTAAAATTGACAAAGATTTTAATCGGATATAATCTAGTCTTTTGTAGAATTTCATCTTTTATTAATCATTTTTTTTGTTTTTTTTGTTTGTATATAAATGTTATATCCCACCTAGAGTTTTTATAATATTTGATTCTAAATACGATACATTCTAGAGGAATACTCATTCTAACATGAAATAGCTTTATTTAACGTCCAATTTCACTGTAGTAATATCGCCGACAACTTCATACATATATTAAAAAGTTTCTTCTTAGTCAGATCTGTCTTCAAGCTGACTAGATTTATCTTGCTTTCAGCTTCTAAGGTTCTAATTTAAAGATAAGCCTGCAATTATGTAATGTTGAAAAAACATCCAAACTAAAGGAAATTTCTATTATATGATGCTTTTATAATATTAAAAACACTTGTTTTAACATAAATATTAATGTAATCTACAAATATTAATGTTATCTTACTACTACTATAACTTATTTAGTTTTAATACTCATATGTAAATTTCTCGCACTGCTGATATACGATTACTTAATATAACTGCCCACTTCTCCTGTTGTTTGTTAATATTCTATTTTCTTTGCCTTTGTTATATTACCTTGATTCAAGTTACTGTTCATAGATGAAAGGTGTTTCTGTGAAACACTAACCACTTTAGATTTAATTGTATGGTATGCAAAACACAACAAATATTGTATAACAATCAGAGCCAGGCAGCCAGTCTAAGGAACATTTTGACGGGTCACCAGATTCACAGACGAGATCTGTTTTATTGAAATGTTTTATTATAAATTTAAAAATGACCAGCTATCACTGCTTTTTATTAAAACATTGTTGGGTACAAAGGCGGGTTCACTTGTCAGTCCATTCAACTAAATCTACAATGTATAGGTGTTTCACAAAAATAACTCCCATTCATTGTGCAACAGTAAGTTATGCTTTTTTCAGCACTAGACCATTTAACTGATCCTCAGTCTCCTATGAAATGAAATTGAACGTGTACCTTGGTTGATGTCTTATCATCAAGTTTGATTATTATTTCATTGCATCTTTAAAGCATCAAAAAACTATGTACAACCTTTAGGGTCGTGTGGCAAGCAAATACACCATTAGAGTTATCTACGTTACATCAAATTTATAATTAATGGTTAATTCCTTGGGTAACTATCCCAATAAATGTTCGGGAAATAAACATTCAAACATTTCAAATTTTCTGTAAAAGAATGTCTTTACCATACTAACCAAAGCAGTTTCATGGGTAACTCTCTTTGCACATAATTTAAAAGATTATTATTCATCAAATTAACTTTAATTATTCACAGACTAAAAACAAGAAATGTGCAGGCTGTTTGAAAATATATTGTGCTATATATGTTGATTATGAATTAAAATGATTTTTAAAGTATTTTTTTTGTTGAAATGTGGTAAAATGTTTTAAATATATGAGAGAGAGAAAGAGAGAGACTAGTTTATTATGTTATATAGAATGAGTGTGGCTTCAAAATATTCAATAACCATATTATAAATAAAAATATATCATTATTTTAATTAAAGAGTCTTTTTTTCTTCATGAACTGGGAGTTACTTGATAGAAACATTAATTCTCAAAGCATTACCACAACACTTTCAGGACAAAGCAGTTGAATGTTGTGGCATTTTGAATTTCTGATTGATGTCATCAGTTATGCACATAGAGGTAAATATGTGTGTATTGATGAATCTCCGTGCAGTTTCATAACAGGCAGGGTAAAATTGTGGTTGGGCAGGCTATTGATTTTGCTGATCGGGTCCCATAAGATCCAATGGCAACCTATTTGCAGCACTGAAGGCAGAAATATTTACAAGGCCTCAGTAAGCATATATCGTCAGTGAAGTGTCAAAAGGGTGTATCTCGGGAAATTAGTCAAATACACTTTTTTGCATTTTTAAACTCTCCCAAATAATATGCACATTTCTGTCTATCTTTACGCCAATTAGAATTGTTTTGGGTATCATGTGTCCAAATGTTGTATCTTGATTTGTGGAAATTTTGAATTGCAAAAGGTTCTATTTCTTAATCTTTAGAAATTCTTAGATACACCCTTTTGACACTTCACCGACGATATGCTACTCACTGAAGAGAGATTATTTGTTAAAATTTGTGGATTTTAAAGGAGGTAAATCGCTAATATTTGGGACCTAGAAATTGAAACAAATGGGTCGCAATGAATATAATAATGTAATATGAATGTATTTAAACTGATTTACATTCAATCATTTCAGTTTTTACTGTAATTTCTAATCAGTTATGTTCAGTGAAATACACCAGAAGTCTCAATCGAATGGCAATCTCTATAGCGTCTGGTTATTCTAGTCTAAACCGATAGTATTTATTGGGCTTGATCTCCAGATAAGAATATGACGTCACCGTTTGACATGATGTGTGGAATATGTCTAGCCTCGTTCTCGAATCCCTTGATACAAATGGCGCTGAAAGGTATTATGGTAAAATGTTTATTTTGTCTTAAATATTGGATATCAGAAGCCTATATCACAACATCAATGTTGATTTAAATTGTTAAATAATTCGTGTTTTCAAGGCCAAAGAATTTCGATGAAACTGAGTTAGAGACTTAGCTACTTTAAAGGGGCTAAATCGCTAACATTTTGGACCTAGAAATTGACACAAATGTGCCGCAATGCATATAATAATGTAATATGAACATACATCAACTGATTTACATTCAGTTGTTTCTGTTTTTACTGTAATTTCTAATCAGTTGTGTTCAGCGAAATACGGCAGAAGTCTCAATCAAATGGCAATCTCTAGCGTCTGGCTATTCCAGTTTACACAGATAGTATTTATTGGGCATGCTCTCCAGATAATAATATGACTTGTGGAATATGTCTAGCCTCGTTCTTTGAGTCCCTTGTTACAAATGGCGCCAACACGAATTATGGTACATGAATCGTGTACCAACAGTTAAAAGTTTATTTTGTCTTAAATATTGGATATCAGAAGCCCATCTTTTCCCGGTAAGATCACAACATCAATGTTGATTTAGATTGACAAATAAATCGTGTTTTCATTGTCGAAGACTTTGGATGATTTTGAGTTAGAGATTTAGCTACTTTCATGAAAAGAATCTACAAGCTTCTCACTGTATCAAACTCTATGGGTGGGAGAACTTAAAGGAGCTAAATCGCTAATATTTTGGACCTAGAAATTGACACAAATGGGTCGTAACGCATAGAATATATATAAACTGATTTACATTCAATCGTTTCCATTTTTACTCTAATTTCAAATCAGTTAAGTTCAGCGAAATATGTAAGAAGTTTAATCGAATGAAAATTTCTAGCGTCTGGTTATTCTAGTCTACATTGTATTTATTGTGCATACTCTCCCGATATGAATATGCCGTCACCGTTTGACATGACTTTTTGAATGTCTAGCCTCGTTCTTCGAGTCCCTTGTTAGAATGGGCCTGAAGAAACGCATTATGGTACATGATTCGTGTACCAATGGTAAAATGTTTATTTTGTCTTAAATATTGGATATCAGAAGCCCATCTTTTCCTGGTAAGATCACATCAATGTTAATTTAATTTGACAAATAATTCGTGTTTTCAATGTCGAAGATTTTGGATGATATTGAATTAGAGACTTAGCTACTTTAATTTTAGTGTGCCAAGGGGAATAACTCATTTTGCCAAAGTAACCCTATTTTCATATTCTTTCTATCCTTTAAATTCCTTTAACATCAACTTTCCTTCGAAATATAGGTGAAAAATAGCAACATTTTACAGAAATAGTAACCTGTTTTCCGTTGCTGTTGGAGTACGCATGCTTCGTGAACCTGTTCGTTTACGGACAAAGTGAAACAGTTTCTATTTTTAACTAGCGACGAATGCAGTTTATACAAGATGGCGGTGCAGGACGCAGTTCTGTCAGACAGTGATTAGACAAATTTATATTCTGCAATAATAGACATGATTATCGGAGGATTTAGAGGTTTAATGGTGGTAAACAATTACTGGGTAGGTTATGCTCAAAATATTGCATTCGTATTTTAGAATTTGAAAGCTGACAACAGCTTTACGTGAAGGTCACTTGGATTTGTTTACGAAATCTTTTCGTATAGGCCTAGTCTACTATTACTATGTGATGAAACTGAAAGGAAAGTAAAAATCGGTAATTCCCGTTTGAAATCTTATAAATGCCTTTTGCCTTTGTCATTTCCGCGGAAGTTATAACTAGAACTAGGTTACTATTTAGAGAGCACATCGTGTACGGATCTTTTAGTTAGAAATAGACGAATGGAAAATGCATGGTTAATTAATTACCCAATAGGTTGGTTAATCTTTATTTGCTGTGGTCGTAGGCCTATTTTTAGAAATAACCTAAATTCAGGAACTAGATTCAAGACATAATATAATGGTATGTTTGCTCATGAATGACCAGAGTGTGAATTGAAACTACGTATAACTGGTTGTCTGATTCCGCAAGACCAGTAAAAACACATCACATTCTTTTTCCCATACATCCAAAGTTTATTTAGTAGATTGTTAATGCTCATTACCACTTCTCAGAACCCAAAATGGCACCCACATAAAATATAACATAAAGTAGCTAAGTCCGTAACTCAATATCATCCAAAATCTTCGACATTGAAAACACGAACTGTTTTGCAATTTAAATCAGCATTGGTGTTGTGGTCTTACCTGGAAAAGATGGGCTTCTGATATCCAATATTCAAGACAAAATAAACATTTTACCATTGGTACACGAATCGTGTACCATAATGCGTTTCAGCGCCATTTGGAACAAGGGACACAAAGAACAGGGCTAGACATATTCCACAAGTCATGTCAAATGGTGACGCTATATTCTTATCTGGAGAGCATGCGCAATAAATACCATCGATGTAGACTGGAAAAACCAGACGCTAAAGATTGCCATTCACATGAGACATCTGGTGTATTTCGCCGAACATAACTGATTAGAAATTACAGTAAAAACAGAAACGATTGAATGTAAATCAGTTTATATACATTCATATTACATTATTATATGCGTTGCGACCCATTTTTGTCAATTTCTAGGTCCCAAATATTAGCGATTTAGCTCCTTTAAAGTATTACTTATTCAATACCGTAAGGTCACATATCATTGTATGGTCCGCCGTCCGAGTAATCTTTTTGTTTGGTCCGAGTGATCTATCACTTTGTCGACTGGTCTTGGTCCGAGTTGTCTTTGGTTACTTTGTTATCAACTCGACCAGTGATGTACATGCATGTGATGGTTACAACCGATAACGAATGCACCATAAAGGGTTTAATCTTTAAAAAAAACGGTTTAATTCGGTATGTTATATGAGCTTACCCCATCACTTATCGATATACATGTATTGCTGTCAGAAAATATTGCTATATCGATACATTGCAATAAGATCGTTCGCGATACACTGTATCGATACATTTCTACTTTCGTTTTATATTCACCCAGTACTTGATCATAGAATCAGTTATGTAGGCTTTGCAGTAAACAATAAGTGTCCAAAGACAAGAGCAATGTCGTAAAAACAAATAAACTGAAATGTGTATTCACATAATCAGTCATATTATAGGCTTTGCACTACAATAAGTGTCCAAAGACAAGACCAAAGTCGTAACAACAATAAAGCTATTCAAAATAAAACTGTGATAAACTCTGACTATATCGAAGTATTACGATACTGCCATATATTGCAATACGATTTTTGGGCACAATACACAGCCTTACTTATTGAATTAACACAAATCAATACTTTAGCTTAAGCTTTGTATATTTACTTCCAATAAGCTTATTCAAAGAAAAGTTACCTTTGAAAACTGATGTACATATTAGAAAAACTTATTTTTGTCTCCTGCCTTTCCAAGAAAGCAGGGGACTATTAAAATGGGTTCGTCTGTCTGTCCGTCTGTCTCTCCGTCACACTTTTTGGGACACAATAACTCTCTTTCTATTTGAGCAAGTATGTTCAAACTTGGTGTAGGTGTTTATTAGGTCAATACCTTGATGGAGTTCGAAGTTGAGCATATTCTGCTTAGGGTAAGCAGAGATAAGCAATTTGATTGGTTGATGCTTTGGGACACGATAACTTTAGTTCTAATTAAGTGAAAATGAGGACACTTGGTGTATAGCTTTATTACATCAATGCCTTGACTAAGTTCGATAATGAACATTTTCTGTGGAGGGTAAGCAGAGCGATAAGCAATTTGATTGGTTGAGACTTTGGAACACCATAACTCTCCTTCTAATTGAGTTAGAATGTTTAAACTTCATGTAGGCGTTTATTAGGTGAATGCCTTGAATGGCTTGATGGAGTTTGATGATGAACATTGTCTGCTTACGGTAAGGAGAGATAAGCAATCTAATTGTTGTATGCTTTGGGGCACGATTACTTTAGTTATAACAAAGTTAGAGCGATGAAACTTCGAATATAGATTCATTATATCATTACCTTGACAAAGTTCGATGGTGCGAATTTTCTGCTTAGGCTAAGGAGCGATAAGCAATTTGATTGGTCAAGACTTTGGAACATGACAACTCTGCTTTTAATTGAGGTAGAATGTTTAAACTTGATGTAGATGTTCATTAGGTGAATGTCTTGAGTCTTGACTGAGTTCAATGATTAACATTTCGAGCTAAAACTCAGCAGGGCTAATCATTTTCATTGGTCGATGCTTTGGGACAAGATAATCTTGATTCTATCTGATAGAGAGTGATGAAACTTAGTGTATAGTTTGATTGCTTGATACTTTTGAAAAAAAAAATGTACGATTAATTAATATGTGTCATCTATTTATTTTGGGATTTCGGCGGGGAACATCAGACTCACTGTTGGCTTGTTAAATGGACATGTGATATCGGAGAACCTTCAGTAATCAAAGGGCATAACTACCTGTTTTTGAAGTATTCTGATTGTAAAATGAAATAATTTGTCATGAAATGCAACCCAAACAAGGTGAAATTGAAATATATGCAACCAACTATTATCAGAATGTTGTTCTTCAAATTAATGACCATTGGTATTTCAGATCTAACAATGGCATCATCCAGCAATGAAAACCAACATTTGTGGTTCTCTGTAACAGAAGAAACATTGTTTTTACATGATGGCCTGCTGAGAGTAACAGACCTTGTTGAATTACCAACTAATGTTAACGCTAGTCCCGATGGAGATGCAGATATTCTATCTTGTGGATTTGATACAACAGATACCCATGATGTACCCGAAAAACTTCTCACAGTTTGTGGAACACAAAACAGCGCATACAAGCGGCTTATTGAATACCGACTAAATTCCCTACGTGGCTATTGGGCGGCATACAAGGAACTAACCCAAGATGCAACACCCAGCAGAGAATTAAGTCAGCTCTCCCTTCAAGAGGAGACCTTGAATTTATTTAAGAAGGAAGCTGAGCAGGCATCATTTTCAACAAGAATTGGTTTATTACTCTTGCTTCCTCTTCTGCAGTCGCAAAGTCGAATTGATCCGAAGTTATGTGGCGTAACAGCTGAGTTGTTATTGAATTGTTTAAGAGAATGTAAACCATGCAGTCTTTCTAAAGAACCTGGCGATTGTTTAAAGGGTTTAGAAAGTTTATTATGTGATTGGTTAGGTGAAGACAGTAAAGATAAACAGATTAAAGTCGATGATAAGTGTCAACGAGAAAAGGCTGCCTCAGCTCTTGTAGCTTTGGCTTGTGCAAGGTATAAACATAGTATCTTATATCTTCATGAATTAATGTATTATCTTACATCAACAAGTATATATTCATATACTAATTATGTCTGATGTAACTTAGCATGAAAATCACTAAATTGCAGTTCAAATGAAATGGAGTTTAACGTCCTACTGTTCTGCTCCGACTGGGTTAATGAAGATATGCATATGTCAAACCATGCGCTATGCAGAAAACTTTGCAGGGACAACAGCACTACGACCTACTCTTATTTCAAATTCCTAATTTCAAAGGATCTTTTATGTGCACCCAGTATTTACACAGGACCTTGGTTTATGGTCCCATCCAATCGACTATACACTGTCCCTTGTAAGCTCCACTGACAAAGGGGAACCATGCAGGAAAATCCTGATGCACTTTCTCAGGCAACACAGGATAGAACATGACCTCCAGGAAAGCAAGCCAATTATATATTAAGAATAATTTTGTTCCATTCATATATTGAGAGTAATTTTGTTTCATTCATCAAAGCAATTTTGTTTCAGACATATACTGAAAGCTGAATAACTCCTTTTATAATGTTTTTCTCTTTTTTTTTGCAGAGGCCATGTTGATACTTTTATTCATGCTGCAGATTTACTTCAACAGTTACCTGATTTACAGACATTACCTGTAGCAGATATTTTAAGTGGATTATTAGATACAAGAGGTGGAATAGGTCAGCCATCAACTCTACTAGGAAATAAACATGCTGTTAGTTGGGGCTTTGAAGATATGTTAAATGTGATATCTGAAAAACCTCCCGACCAAGATGACAAAGATAAAGAAAAAGGTATCTTGGAGTTTTGGACTTAATTTATTTGTTTGTTTTAGGAAAGTGAAAGAATTTATGCCTTTTTTCAAAATAAGGTATCTTACATAAGGTGAAATGTTAATCACTTAAATCAAAGTCTGTGCAGATTTTAAGTGAAAGGAAAAAGGAACTAACTGGTCATCATTTTCCTAGTAATTATGATGTCATGTCAGCTGTGAATTACTTTTTTGGGGGTGGCATCGAAGGGGACTATGTAGAAAAAAAAAATGGAAACCATCAACTTTGTACAGGTCTTCACAGATACACAGATAGGCTTAGAACAGTACCGTAATTGTATTCTTTAGAATTGTGACCTGTGTATAACTTTATATCATAGATTTTTTAAAAAGAATCATTATTATTTTTATTTACAGTTGAGAGTGAAATAGGTAGAAGTATAGCTACTGATGGTAAATATTTATATACCAGTAATACGATTGGTAAAGGTTTAGCTAAAATTGGTACAGGTCTGCACGGAACTCTAAGGTAACTATATAATGTTTCTGTTTTTAAAAAATAAACATATGATGACAAAGATTTAATTTTCCTTGCATTGCATGAAGTATTAGGGAATGCTTTACCGTTTGAGGTATTGTTTCTACTATAAAGCATAAAGTATACATGTAAAAATGTCAATTCTATGTAACTCATTTGTGGCAGCAAGTTTTCAAGCCATTTGTAAAGGGGTTGTGGGGGTTGGATGCCTGAATGGTTAGCATGTGCACACTGTATCATATAAGGTCTGTCATTGAGTCAACTGGCATGGTTTTGATTCCCTGGTTGTAAGTGACAAGGAGTAAGGTCGCCTGTCCAACCTCTTTGGTTTTCTCTGGGTCCTCCTTTTCCCTCCCATTGCTAAAGACCCCTACATGCAAGCGAATTATTGAAATTAAATTGAACCATATGTTAGTCCCGAAATTACCTGATTTGTGTCAAGTGGATGTTAATCCCTATTTCTCTCTCTCTCTGATTTGTCAAAAGTAGCGTTTGTTGTCTTTATTTTAAGAAGACAATTTTGTAGCTAAGATTTCTAATTTTGAATGACAGATATGTTATAAAGATGAATAAAGACCATGTAATCGGGCCATGAATGTTCAACCATGTAACCGTTTACATCCCCAGTTCATATCTATGACAGAAAACTAAGTAATAAGCATGCACAACTATTTACCTTTTGTTTCAGAGGTTATGTGTACAGTCGTAATTTAAGAATAGGACCAGGTAGAATAGCATATGGTGATAATAAACTATTATATAGACCTGTAACATTTGATCAGGATGAACATAGTAATAATCTAGCTCTTCTTATGGATACAAATACTTTAGAGGTAAGTCAATAACTATATATTGATAAACTTGCTGGGGGGGGTGGGGGTGGATGTCTGAATGGTTTAACACATGTGCTTTAGATCATAAGGTCTGTCATTTTGTCAAGTGACATGATTTTGATTCCCTGCTTGTATGTGACAAGAGGTAGGGTCACCTGTCCAGCCTCATTGGTTTTCTTTGTGTCCTCTAGTTTCCTCCTACTGATAAAGACCCCTATGATCAAGCGAATTATTGAAATAAAATTGAACCATATGTTCAAAATGCCCTAGTTTGTGATGAGTGGACAGTTAACCCCATCTCTCCCTCTCTCTCTCTCTCTCGCCTAAACATGCTATTGATGTAGCCATCTTTAATACCAAAACTTGCTGAAGCTAAAGCCGTGTTTAAATACTGTGAAATACTTTCATCAAGCAATTATTTAAGTCTTGAAGCTGGACATCTTCCATACGCTTAGTAACTGTTATCTTTATTATGTGTGTCAATTGCTAAATGCCACTCATAGGTGTCTAAGAGGATCTTCCATACATCTATTTATCAATGTTTATGGCAAAAAACACTTGAGCCTTATTTTTCAGATGATAAAACCAGTTTTAAAACCAGACAAGTGTTCAGTGGGTAAACCATGTGTTACTGTAGGATTTGTTAGTGATGGGATGTATTTCTATTTAATATGGTGTCAGGTTAATATGGCTGATAAATCAGCTAAAGGAATCAATGTTTATGTAGAAACATACAGTATAGAGGTAAGTCGGATAGCTTTACTGTTAGATCAATGTAACTGTTTCTTAGACGAGAGCCGCAGTGGCTTTGTGAGTATGACGTTTGCTCGCTAACCTGGAAGTCCCGTGTTCAATCCCTGTGTTGGTCGAGAAAGTTCATCAGGTTTTTCCGATGTGGTCCCCCCTTGTCAGTGGTGCAGGATGGAGGGCCTTTCAAGGAACGAAAAACACATTGGCATGCACGTAAGAAATAAGAGTAGGCCGTACTTCTCTCTGTTCAATATTTCCTTCATAGCACACGGTATGGCAATACCTATCTTCATTAGCCCATTTGGTGCAGTAGTATGTTATACACCATTTCATATGACTATAAATAGACAGTAAGCGTGCATGTCCAGTTGTAAATAAACTTGATCATGTATGGAGTGATCAGTTTGGTAAATCAGCGTCAGTGTGTAGGTCAGATATTCAAATCCAAACTCAAAACTCATTTGTTTATTACATATTATCAGGATCAGCTATTATCTTCCATGTGCTTAGAGCATGCCATATGGATGGAGGAGTGAGAGCAATTACAAATGTACATTATTATTAATTATTATTATTATTATTATTATGGTATAATGAATTTGTAACTATTTTAGGATAACAGTTTGAGTGTAAATATCATCAAACCATCAGTTATACTACAAAAGAAAGATGATAATAATCCTAAAACTCTCACTGAGGCGATATTTACCCGTCCACGGCCATTCCGTACCTCCAATTCAACAGCAACACTTGTAGCATTAACAGGCGGTGAAATGTTAGCTACCAGAAAAGAAGATGGTAAGCCCTCTGTAGAACATTTGTGTTTTTTTTGTCATGGAACTGTTTAATTACCAGTAAATATTTGACATATGTGAAGGCAGTTTTAATTAATAAGAGAATGCAAAAGAAATAGAACTGAAAAGTGTATACCATGCCTGGAAATGATAATTTTAGATGTACCTGATGTACCTGACAATCTGTCAATCACCAGTGGACTAGTATCTGACATTTTGAGCTTTGTGTCGCATATATTAAAAATGTTAAAAACATTGATAACAGACAAATTTGTACATAACAAAATGATAAACACCAGAATGACAGACACAAGAAGGATTGTGTCTGACAAAGCCTGAATTTGTGCCTGTCATTGTCTGTCACAGGTGCTTTGTTTTCCAGGCTTGTCTATCAACTATACCAATCGATCAATTTACATGCCCTAAAACTAGCATATATTTTTTAAAACCTCAATTTTCAAACATTGCTACGATTGACTTGAACAGAATGTGGATACATTATGGAAGCCACATTAGCTCCTGATTGGTGGTATAGAATGGTATACATAAATATGTAGTTATAAAAGACTAGACAATAGGGAACTATAAATTTAACTGTATTTATTGTGTTCTAAGTTCTTTGAAATTCTGATTTTATACCAGGTAAATTGACTGACAGGTTAAATTCTTCAGCTGGTCAATTTTCACTACCAATCAATCAAGTAAGGCAAATATGACTAAAGCCAGGGCCCTGTTTAACAGTACAAATATCTTGATTGAATTTCCCGGGGGGGGGGGGGGGGGGGGTGTAGATGGCCGAATGGTTAGCGCGTGCGTATTGTATTATAAGGTCTGCCATTGAGTCAACTGGCGTGGTTTTCATTCCCCGGTTGTACATGACGAGTAGTAGGGTCACCTGTTAAACCTTGTGGGTTTTCTCTGTGTCCTCCTTTTTCCCTCCCACTGCTAAAGACCCCTACATGCAAGCGAATTATTGAAATAAAATTGAACCATATGTTAGTCCCAAAATGACCTAGTTTGTGTCAGTGGATGTTAAACCCCCCTCTCTCTGTCTCTCTCTCTCTCTATGTCTCTGTCTCTCTCTATGTCTCTGTCTCTCTCTCTCTATGTCTCTCTCTCTCTCTCTATGTCTCTGTCTCTCTCTATATCTCTGTCTGTCTCTCTCTCTATGTCTCTGTCTCTCTCTCTCTATGTCTCTGTCTCTCTCTCTATGTCTCTGTCTGTCTCTCTCTCTATGTCTCTCTCTCTCTCTCTCTCTCTCTCTATGTCTCTGTCTCTCTCTCTCTATGTCTCTGTCTGTCTCTCTCTCTATGTCTCTCTCTCTCTCTCTATGTCTCTGTCTCTGTCTCTCTCTCTATGTCTCTCTCTCTCTCTCTCTGATTGAATTCCCTGTAAAATATTAATATGACTTGATTTGATTGTATATTTTATTATGGTTTATTTGACAGTATCAACTTCAACAGTTTTAAGTACATCATGTGGTATACAGTTAAAGACTTTAATTAAAACACCTGTGTTTTGTGATGGTAATAATATCGTGTTCCTCACATCTCTACATGTACAAGGTACACCATCAGCTTCAGCAGCTCGACCTTTCTTTGGTAGTGGTGGAAGTTTGTCGGGCCTGCGCTGTTCATGTAATTAGATATATTTTATAGGTTTCATTTAAAAAAAATAACACTTTTAATCTTTGATTTTATTAACACATTACCAGGAGACACAAGAGCCTGGGATTGTGTGGGGGTTAGTGTGCTCTGGGCAGCACTTTTTTAGTCTTATTGCATTGAAGAAAAGGAAGTTGATTGTTTTTCTGTTGGTACAATAGAAGAATAAAAGGCATCATGAAAATATTTAACATTTTAAGTACGATTCATGTATACTGTGGTGGTAGGAGGTGGTAATCTAACTGTACCACTGTCCTGAGATTGAATGAGACAAAACACAGTTTGGCGTGCACCTTACACCCCCCCCCCCCAAAAAAAACCAAACAAACTTGACAGTTGAAATTCAACAAAGTGTAGGAGTATACACTGTTGCCTGGGCAAAATTCTACTACCCGGCATTGCACATTTGACCATAGAAAACAAGTAACCAAATGCTAGTCTAAAGATGACTGTGTTCAAGAGACATTCCATCCCAATTCACAGTCCATGGAAAAAAGTTTTAAACATTGATTGTATTATGTGTTGATATTTATATCTGCCTCTAATTATAGTTTTTGAGAGCTGCTGTGTCTCGGTGAGTTAGGCACTGGCTCACTAACCAAGATGTCTGGGGTTGGATCCCGGTGTTGGCATCTAGTCATTTGGATGGGATGAAAAACCAAGTTTCCCTGTATTTGTTGAAATATTTTGAAATAAGAGTAGGCTGTAAAGCTGCTGTCTAGGCAAAACGTCTCTCATAGCATTATAACATCATGTATATCTGTGTTCATTAGCCCAGTTGGTTCATTAGGATGTCAAACCCTATGTCATTTGACTAATTGTAGTTTAAAGAGGCTTGATGAAAAATGTGATCGTTGACTTAAATTTTTTTTCAGTGTTAGCCTGTAACTTATGTTTTAATATTACTGATGGACAGTTTAATACTAGAGTTGATTTAATGGATGCACCAAGTTGTTCTCTTGCAAGAGGTACAGCTGTTAATAGTCTAGGTAATTCTCTATTTATTTTTATACCTTTTACAATGGTTGGTATCCATCATTATTCTCTTCTGTACAATATTATAGTTTATACAGTTGGGGGGGGGGGGGTAGCTGAATGGTCATAAGGTCCTTCATTGAGTCAACTGGTGTGGTTTCAATTCCCAAGGTGTAGGATATTGTCTGGGTCCTCCGGTTTCCTCAAGTGGCTAAAGACCCCCTATGAGCAAGTAAATGATTGAAATAAATTTTTACCATATGTTAGTTCCAAAATGATCTAGTTTGTGTCCAGTGTACGTTAAAACCCATTTCTCTTTCACTTCTCTATACAGTGAATACACATGTAAACCACACCTGGTAGTATACATTTATTTAAAAGTGTTGATTATAAGACCAGTGTATCACAGTAATACACATTGTTTAAAAGTGTTAGATTACAAAAAAACATTATACATTATTCTACTGTGTATTGCACAGTAACTCTCAGTGAATATATATATAACCCAATGTTTAAAAGTGTGTATCTATTAAGACCAATATACATCAGTGGTTTATTGTCCATTAAAAGAAAACAATATTTATATATAATCTATACTTTATAATATACAATGTTTCATTGTTTTGTATAAAATGAAATATAGTGACTTGAAGGAAGTAAGGACACAACAAAACATTTTAACTCTTGTTTTAACTGTATTAGGTCACTAGTTATTTTGAGTGATAACAGAGTTATTGAATGGTAATATATTGATATTACAGGAACATGTTTTGATGTGAGTAATAATTCTATCTGGGTGTGTAGTAGTGATTATATAGATCAGTTTTATAATCCCAGTAATCAGGCACCACATCATATCAACAAGAGATTATGTATACCTATAAAACCTAAACCAACAACAACTACAGGTAACTAACAGTTTTTATACCTTTACATCATCCCTTGCTTTCTCCCAGTTAAAATAAGAGTAGTAGGTCACTTTTAGCAGGTCTGTATTATCAGTCCCAGATTGCCAGGAATAATGTAACAGGGCTGTAATTCCACATTTCCAGGAATAACATTAACAGGTCTGTAGTCTTATTCCCACATTACCAGGAATAACATGTACAGGTCTGTATTATCAGTCCCAGATTGCCAGTACAATGTTAACAGGGATGTAGTCTTGAGTATCACATTGCCCGTAATAATGTTAACAGAGTTGTAGTCTTAAGTCCCACATTGCCTGGAGTAATGTTAACAGGGCTGTAGTCCCACATTTCCAGGCATAACATTAACAGGGCTGTAGTCTTGAATCCCACATTGCCAGGAATAACATGTACAGGTGTGTATTATCAGTCCCAGATTAACAGGAAAGACATTAGCAGGTCTGTGTATTTAGGGAATCTGTATGTTGTGAAAGACCAGCTTCACTGTTATCTCAGGTTTCATATAGACAACTGTCACTTCACATTTTGTGTGATGAATTTATACCTTGTCTTTATCACTAATCAAAACAAATGTTTGGAAAATATTTGGACGAAAACGACATATGTTATTAAAGATACTTTATGGGAGATTAGATGAAGAGCTGACAGTTCTCACTATAATAGTTAAAAACTAGATAATATAAAGGGAATTTGCTGAAAATTTCAGTCAAAATGATCCACCCTGAACCAAGATTTTAGCGATTGAATTTTCGGCCTAGCCTCGATCATTATTACTAAAGTCTGTATGATAAAAAACATAGTCTTGATTATCCATTTCATGATTAAATTATGAATGGAAGTCGAACAGCAAATCGGAACCTAATCCAATAAACATCACAGGCTAGCGATGACATCAAGAGTTGAATATGGTCTGGATAAGTTAATTAATGTCTAATTAATAATTTAGATAACGTTTCAGGCCTAAAGAAAGACCTGCAATAGGCAGATTTAGCTCTTGCATAATGTATGTTTAATCTTAAAAGGAAATCAGTATAAATAGTAGAGATATTATTATATTTATTACAGGTGAAATAATATCAGTTAAAAGTGTAGTAGAGACGTTATTACAGCATGCAGGTGGTATGTGTGTACATAAATTAAACAGTGATCCTTATTCTAACTATTTGTTACCACCAACACCTGTCGATCTTCCTCAATTACATAGAATAACAGATATACTAACTAGAGCTATGGAAGATGGCCAAATGTCTATCATTATTAGTGCACTAGTTGTTTTACAGGTATAGTGAAATAAAAGTATTTGTCACAAAAAGAATGTGATCAATGTTTAACTATTTTATGACAAAAGATCTCTTATTATACAAAGTAAATTTTAGGTTATATTATTTAAACATTTGGAACTAAAAGCGGAGATCACGTGGCTAAGTGGGTAAGACGCTGGCTCGCTAGCCTGGAGGTCGGGTGTTCGATCCCTGCATTGGCCGAGAAAGTTCATCCAGATTTTCCAGCATGGTTTCCCCCTTGTCAGTGATGCAGGATGGAGGGCTTGACAAGGACAGCTGTCTAGTCGTTCGGATGGTACGAAAAACCGAGGTCCCGTGTACACATTGGCATGCACGTAAAAGATCCCTTGGCAGTTGGAATTCGATAGAAGAGTAGGCGATAGTGCCGCTGCCCGGGCAAAATTTCCCTCATAGCACACTGTATGGTGTTTGCCCGTCTTCATTAGCCCAGGTTAGGAGCAGAACAGTAGGACGTTAAACCTCATTTCATTTCATTTTGGAACTAAAAGCTTTTGAACTGCACAACCAAGTACTTTTGGTTTTTAAAAAAAAGTCTTTTTCCCAGAGAAATACAAAGGAAAATGTTTATGGCTTTTAATCTTAACATTTCAACACAAGCTGAATTTATGAACATAAATTTTTAGTCTAATCTACACAAATAGAAATTGATATGTCTCTGATGAATATATGGTTGTTTTTGTAATGTTTCTTTTCAGTTAATATTTAAAACCAGTGTATTTGTATTGGAGAGAGAAGGAGAGGCTATTCTCATGAACAAAACCAGGTATACATATATATTCCATAGTCAAATAGTTAATATCATACTTCAATTAATTACAAAATATTTGAAAGACTCTTGACATAACATCCTCTACCTGTACAATCAGAAGGGGGATGGGCCTCGGACAGTTGGATGTGGTTCAAGATGCCGGGAGGTTCAGGGGTCCATCCAAATTTTAGACTTTAATTTTATCTTTCGTGTCCACTGGCAAATATAATACCCTTAGCCCAAGTAAGATAAATTATCAATGAGTGGGGTGTGGGAAAGGTGAATCATGCTTGTTTTGTTTTGTGCCCGAGAAAACCAGTGGATCCGAGGGCCCAGAACTTCCAGTCCACCCCTGTATACAATGGTTCATTGTTGTATTAACCTTTGTACTTGTAATTTCAGATCATTGCTATGGAAATTAGTAATAGCTAAATCTAGTGAAAGTAGTAATATAGCTATACAGAGAGAAGCATGTAAAGCCATTAGTGTAGGGTTGATGGCTTTATATTCTAATAACAACGAAAGACATAAATTATTGTATCAACTTATGACAGAAGGTAGAAAATTCATCTATATATGTATATAATTGTGATTTGTTCGTCTATTTCTTTGTCTCTTCGGGTTTTTTTTTGGGGGGGAGGGTCTAGTGGTTTAACGTGTGCACGTGAAATCACAAGGTCTGTCATTAAGTCAAGTAGCATGGATTTGATTCCCCTCGTAGGTTTTCTCCAGGTGAAAGCGAATTATTGAAATAAAATTAAACCATATGTTAGTCCCGAAATGTGCTGTGGACATTAAACCCAATTTCTCTCTCTCTTTGGGGATGGCAGCTACACTAGGGCCTACCCGGAGGCTGAAATTTGGGGTTTAAGGGCAACTCCAGCCCAGGGAGTAACAACAGTCTGGTGGCATTGCTCTACTTACGGTCTCACAAAAGTCATATAAGGAAGTGTGACATGGCTCTACTTGTGCATTAATAAAATATACAGGTACAATTTAGCAGAAGCTTATAATAAATGGTTAATTGTTGACTTATTATGCAATCAAAGTTTATCATTTTATTTTTAATAATCAACGGAAACATATTTAAAAAAAAAAAAAATTATTTTGTTGGTCAAATAGATGTCCTAAATATGCAAACGATCTTTACAAAATTTATCATTAATATTGATCAACAATTGAATGTGTAATCGTGATATAATGATTTTGGTATATATTTTCTTCAGGAGGAGAGTCATCCGGTTTAGTTGTATTACGTGATCTAATATTAACAGACTTTGCTGCTCAGTTAAAAACTAAAAGTTTAAAATCTGTCGAGACTGATCATCTCAGGTGAATATTTTCTTCTTTATATATCAATATAGTCCAGAAAATAAAATAGATTATGTGTGGTTTAATGTTCGAGAGCGAGACATTAAATAATATATAGGATACTGCATGAGGATGTTAGCCCGATTGTTGTCTTAATATATTACACAATGTTTTGCTTTAGACCATTAAAGAACTTAAAATACACTATCCCGCTCATGTGAGTCTAATATTTCATCTAGTATTTGATTATTTAAAATATTACCATTACATTTACAGATTATGATTACCAACTACAGTTCTATTTTAGAAGACAACAAAATTAAATATTTTATTTTATATTGTGCTGAAGACATTTTCACAATTTATGCGATATAGTATGTAATGTACCTATTGTTAGCTTCTGAAACTGAATTGGGAGGTACAGTAGTTCAGTGTGTAAGGCATTGGCTCGCTAACCATGGGGTATTGAGTTCGCTGCCGGTGTTGACTAAGAAAGTTCCTTTGGATTTCCTGGCCTGGCTTGCCTTGTCAGTGGTGCGGAACGGAGGGCCTGACAAGGAACAGTAATTCAGATGGGTTGAGGTCCTGTGTACACATTGGCATGCATGTAAAAGAACCTCTGACAATAAGAATTGGAAGTAGTCCATAGTGCTACTGTCCAGGCAAATTTTTCCTAATGGTTCACTGTATGACGTATGCTTGTATTCATTAGCTCAGTCAGTGTAGAAAAGTAAGACGTTAAACCTCATTTTATTTTTAAAACTGAATGCATTTATGAATCAAATTACTAATTTGTATTGTAGACTAGAAGATGAATTAGTTCACTATATATTAAAGAGAGCTGTGAAAGGATCATTAGATATATTAAAACGGCCATTAAAAACATCTAGACCTTTTGAAGAAACAGTTACTGATGTTCCAGTAAGCTACAATTTTTACTTCATTGGGATCATTATCAATGCCAAAGAAACCTTTGTAGTCATATTAATCTTTGTTAACAATCTGCAGTTCACCATAATTCTGTAAATAATTCTAGCTTGACATTGTTAGATTTTTTTTGCATTACCTTCAATACAAAAAACCCTTTGTAATGGGAAAATGACCTTTCTTGACAATCTGTTGTCATTTTAAAAATAATGTAGTTGGAACTATGACCTTTAAAAGATAGATTCTTGATAAACAAATCTATGTACAGATCAGGATCATCCGCATGTCCTGTGTGTGTGTGTGGTGGGAGGGGGGAGGGGGACTGCCCCTCTATTGGTCACACAGAGCAGATTATTTTCTTCTATATTCATCGAAACTATGTCAAACATTTGAAGCATTGCCGCCATTTTGGCATCACTTTTTTTTTAATCCTATACATGTATATGCACCTAAATGAGCATTACTATTGTCTCAGAACTTCTGATTTTATCTAATTCTCACGTAATCCCACAGTCTTAACGCCAAACTAGACATTGTCTCTATCCTTCTCAAATTCCTGAACACACTCCTGATAATATTATTTGTTGTATTTTATAGGTTGCCAGTCCATGTGTAATGTATATAATGGCTCTACAATCATATTTATTAAGAGAAACTGTGTTCTATGTTAAAGATACAGACAAGGATAAGGAAAATAAAACTGATAATAAAAGTCAACTGTCATCACAGGTACCAGTAGCTTTATAGTCATGTGTATTGAGTTGCTAAAAAATGTTCAAAAATTGTTTTGCATTTTGTATTGTCAAGAGAAAATGATTTGAAAATTTTGAATAGAGAATGGAGATTTGTATTTCATTATTGCAAACCAACTTGTCAAATATTAATGGATTGTATCCACGTTCAACGCGCCTCATAATATATTGATAAAAGGCCTGGTTTGAAGATTGACAATAATATTTTGCATGATGTGGGGGTTAGGTGCCGAAAGTCAAGTGGCATGGTTTCAATTCTCCACATGTACTTGACAAGGAGTGGGTTTTCTCCCACTGCTAAAGAGCCCTACCGACAATTGAATGATTGGAATAAATTGAACCATGTATTAGTCCCAAAATGACCCATTTCTCTCTCTTATTGCAGGATTTAATTACTGGTGTTATTAATTTAGCTACAAAGATATTTGTTGGTTTATGTGAGGTGAGTTAACTATATTAAATTATATCATCTCCAGCTGCTGTCAAAAAATCACTCTTGAGTATATTTAAAATTCATTTCATATTTCAAGAAATATTTTGGACAGGTACTGTTTACGATAATTTCATTGTATAAAGTAGTAGCCATTGCAGTAAACTGAGAACAGTCTATTGAAGACGGGCATGCGTCATGCAGTATGCTATAAGCCAAATTTTGCGCTGACATTAGTATTATGACTTACTTTTATTCCGATTGTTAAGGGCTCTTTATAAACAGACTATAAGTTGGACCTCTGTTTTTTGTCCCATCAGAATGACCTGATACTATGTCTTGCACTAGTAGGGTTGCCTGTCCAACCTCATAGGTTTTCTCCAGGTGCTCAGGTTTCCTCCAACTGCTAAAGATCCCTCTGCGCAAGTGAATTATAGAAATAAAATCGAACCATGTGTTAGTCCCGAAATGACCTAGTTTATGTTGAGTGGACGTTAAACCCCATTTCTCTCTCTCACTCTCGTCTTGCACTACTGACAAGGACAAACAAGGTTGGCCACTATAGACCTTGAACCTCCTGGGTAATGAACAAGTGCTATACTCACCGAGCCTCTGACAAAGTAATGGACAACTGACTCAATTGTTTTGTGGGAGGCCGCAGAGAGGGGGTGAGGAATGGTTTAACGTGTGCTTTAAGTCATATGATTTACCTTTGGGTCAAGTGGCATGGTTTAATTCCCGGCTTGTAACTGACCTGTTCCCTCCCTCTGCTAAAGACCCCTACGCAGGCGAATTATTGAAATAAAATTAAACCCTATGTCAGTCCTGAAATGGCTTAGTTTGTATTGAGTGGACGTTAAACCCCATTTCTTCCTCTTTCTCTAATTGTGTTATACTTGAAATCAGAAGCAATGATCTTGATTATTTTCAGGTGTTTGAAACATTTATAGAAGTGTGTAATTCTGTGATAGATACAAGTCCAATTGAAGAAATAGACAGTAAACTACAGACAATGGAAAGACTTGCAAAAGGAACTATATTAGGTCATTTATTACCAGTCTTGTTGACAACATTAACACATTCCAGTCTACAAGAGTTGTCTTTAGCCAATGCATTGATGCCACATCTAACAAGACTTGTTCTACTGTCAACACAGGTATAGTAACCATCATGTTCCTGAAGCAACGACTGCAAGTTTTACAACATCTAGACGTTGCTAGATTGCTTTACAATTTCCGAACTTATAGCTACGATATCTCCCTTTACTGCAGACACGTGAACAGTAGCGTCCAATCAGAGGTTGTGACTCAATCACACTCAAATCAAACATTTAACGAACCTTGAACTTTGCAACTCGATTATCACAGGTAGACATTTTAGCTGGAAAGTGCGAGACTTGGTATCCGCAATGATCAGGGAATCTGGTAGGCTCACAAGCAGGGTTAATACCCAATGGAAATTAGTGCCGAAATATGCAGAGTATTACGTGAAGACCTTGATAAGATGTATGGAATTAAAGCGAGATCAAGCCTTCTATTGAAGATGAATAACCATCAGTCCAGGGCAATGTTTCCCACTAGTTTTTAGTAGTCAGTGTGCACAAAACTCACATGGTGTGCAAATGTTATTCTGGTGACATAAGTATCTGCGCAAGATATTTGTACAAATGTGAACTTGAAATTGTAAGACTAGAATTATGTAGTAATTTAGTTACCAAATCATTTTACGGGATACACTAGTTGGTGATACATTATTGACCTTTGTGTACTCATTGCAAATCGTGAGTGAATACATACAGCTTAGAGGGAACAATGGCCAGGGTCACACAAATTATGAGTGCATACATACAGCTTGGAGGGAACAATGGGCCAGGGTCACACAAATCATGAAAGAAATGGAACATTAGGCAGTTTTAATCACCTATTTCAGTCATTGAAAATCTTTAAAAAAAACCAAAAGACTTTTAGAAACTTTCTTTGGTTGATAATATCATCTTTTTCAAGTTGAAATATGAAACTACAGATCCTTTCTATCATTTTACAATAATAGAAATATGTAATCTTCAAATGTCAGTTTCGAAGTTAACAAGACTTGATTCATTTTTGGGTGTTGTCTAATTATCTGCAGAATTGTAATGTAACATTTTTTGTAAGAGGAGGTATGTTATCATTTTGTGTTGTGTTTATTCTTGCAGGCTGCAATGTTGATGAGAAGTCCAAAGAAATGTTCATTACCAGAAGATGATGGTGCTGATCCTGACAGAGATATGTTAAATCTCATTGGTCAGTCTATCCAAACTAAACAGTAAGTTATTACTTTCGTTTTCTTTAATCACTTGAGAGAGAGAGAGAGAGAGAAATGAAAACTGACACATGGTTCAATTTTATTTCAATAATTCACTTGCACGTAAGGGCTTTAGCAGTGGGATGAAACCAACTTACTCCTTGTCACGCCACCTTATGCTAAACCACCCACCTTCTATTTAGATGTAAATTAACCTTTAGATATATACTAAATGGCATCATGAAATTAATGCATCATATATTGATACATCATGAAATTATTTATATATATATTATTGTGTTCTGCTGTATCTTTCTTGTTTCTCTGATGATGGTTTCTTGTTGGTTTAAAAAAGTATCGGTACATCATATGTTCTCAGATAATTAGTAGTACATCATAATTACCTTTTCAGATAATTAGTGGTACATCGTCATAATTATGTTCTCAGATAATTAGTGGTACATTATCATAATTATGTTTTCAGATAATTAATTAGTGGTACATTATACGTATATTATTAGCAACTTTGATTAACCTACTATCTAACTAATAACACAATTATATATAAGTCTATGTATACTTGGGGAGTTGGGTGGTCGAATGGTCTGCACTTTAGTCAAGTTTTGTGGTTACGATCCCACTCTTGTTCGTTACCAGGGGTTGGGTCTCCTGTCCAATCTCATGGGTTTCCGCCTTCTAGTCAAATTGTGTGGTTTCGATCCCACTCTTGTTTGTTACCAGGGGTTGGGTCTCCTGTCCAATCTCATGGGTTTCCGCCTTCTAGTAAATTATTGAAATAAAATTGAACCATATGTTAGTCCTGATATTATCTAGTTTGTGTCTAGTGAATGTTAAGCCCCATTTCTCTCTCTCTCTATGTATACCGTTATTGAATCTTTTTAGAAAAGATAATGAAACAGAAGATGATGGAGAATGTTATTTAGCTAGTTTAAAAATTCCAGCCCCATGGGCATCTGGTAAATCTATAGAAACAATTCATCCAGTTCGTGATAATTATAAAATGAAGGAAACAATTCATATACCTGGTGCTCGATGTCTTTATATCAGATTTGATCCTAAATGTTCATCACAGTATGATTATGATAAGGTAAGTCAGGCTTTAAGTTTTAATTTATAACATTGCTTCCGAACATTACATTAGGATTACTGTTAATTAATGAGGTAGATACATGTACATACATATATAGATAAATATGAAATGAAATGAAATGGGGTTTAATGTCCTACTGTTTTGCTCCTAAACTAGGCTAATGAAGACGGGCATACGCCATATAGTGTGCTACGAGTGAAATTTTGCCCGGGCAGCGGCGCTATAGCCTACTTTTATATCAAATTCCAACTGCCAAGGGATCTTTTATGTGCACGCCAATATGTACACTGGACCTCGGTTTTTCGTCCCATCCGAACGACTAGACAGCTGTACTTGTCAGACCCTCCGTCCTGCATCACTGACAAGTGGAAACCACGCCAGAAAATCTGGATGAACTTTCTCAGCCAATGCAGGGATCGAATAATAGATAAATATAGATCCATACAGATCATAAATAATAAAAAGAGCTACATTTACAAGCTAATAGACAGTATGATGGGACAACTCTGTCAGCTTATTTCTCTTGTTGTGGGAGCAACGGTGGCTCAGTGAGTAAAGCACTGGCTCACTAACCAGGAAGTTGAGGGTTCAATCCTGGTGTGGGCCAAGAAAGTTCCCTGGCATTTTCCATCTTGGCTTCCCTTTGTCAGTGGGGCAGGATGGAGGGCCTGGCAAGGACAGCGTCGATTTGTTCAGATGAAACCAAAAAATGATGTTCCGTGTACACATTGGCATGCACATAAAAGAACCCTTGACAGTTGGAATTTGATGTAAAAGTAGCCCGTAGTGCTGCTGTCTGTCAAAAATTTCCCTAATAGAACACTGCATGGCATATTCTCATCTTCATTAACCCAGTCGGAATAGAATGGTAGGACGTAAAACCCTATTTCATTTTCTCTAAGTGTACAAAAATGGCACACTTCACCCCACAACTAAGTCAGAAAATATACTTCCTCACACCAAAGTAGAAAAATATCCTTCCTCATTCATAGATGAAAGATTTTATTTCTCTTATTAAGTGATGACAATATCCTTCCTCAACGCCCCATCCAAACGAGGAACATAATATCTGTTGTCATGGTCGAAAGATGAAGAAATTTTTCAAAGAGTTAAAGGGAAATTTTTTATTTTTATTTCATATACCTTTTCTTCCTCACATTGTACCTATTTTTCCTCAATATTTATTGGCACAAGTTGTATAATATACGCCCCTCATAAAATTACGAGGATTAAAGGGAATATTGACAAAAAGTTGATATTGCGAACAAGTGGGATATATTATGGGGTTTTTTTTGCGGGTGGGGGGGTGGTAAGGGAAATATAATGTAATTTATTGATTTTGGTGCATTAATAGTTGTGTCCATACACCTGCCTATCCTTCCGTTCATGATTCAAAATTACATAACAAACATTTAATTTATCATTTTCTATGTATGGCGTCGTTCACGCCATCCACCCAGTTCCTTGGGTTATTCGTTTAAATTGAAGTTTTGAAATTTTGTGATGGTCCATTAATTATCTATTTTGTTATTATTCTTTGACTTTTTATCTACAGTTAATACTGTATGCCGGTCCAAATACAAACTCGAAGAAAATAGCAGAATATGGTGGTAATACATTTGGTTTTGGTAGCAGAAGTGTTTTAGGTTCTGGTTGGCCTAAAGATTTAGTCAAGGTAAAATTTTATAGCTAGTGTTTCTGTTTTTGACAATTAAAAAAGCTTTTAAACATTTGTTATATCTTCGATGTTGTGGTATATTTCCATTTTATCTTGTTATACTCATGAACTAAATTGGTTGTTGAAAGGTGCCCAACAATAATGCTATATCATGAATATCAATATTGACATATCTTTATTAGGATGGCTCAGTTCTGTTCAATATTTATGAAGCCAGATTGAATTGAAATTTTCGACATCCTCTGCATACTTTATAACCCGATTGAATCCAACCTGGGAGGTTATGTACTGTTGATATCTGGTTGTGTTTTCTTAATTACATGTTAAATAGTATACATTTTAACGTGGATTAATTTGTGAAACATTAGATATTGTATGAAAAGGGCTGGCTTTAAACATGTGCACAATGATATATTACATATTTGATATGCTGAATAGTTAGCACGTATCATAACGCCTGTCATTGTGTAGGGTCGCTGGTCCAACCTCATGGGTTTTCTCCGGGTTCTCCGGTTTCCTCCCACTGCTAAAGACCCCTACGCGCAAGCGAATTATTGAAATAAGATTAAACCATATGTTAGTCCCTAAATGACCTAGTTTGTGTCAAGTGGACGTTAAACCCCATTTCTCTCTCGCTCTCTCTCTTTTGATGGAGATACAGTGATGTTCTGTTTGAAATGTATTATCTATTTGATATTTTTGATAAAACTGGTTGATGGTGATACAGTGATGATCTCGTTTGATATGTGTTATTATTTGATATTTTTGAAACAGGTTGATGGAGATACAGTAACGTTCTCGTTTGATATGTGTTATTATTTGATATTTTTGAAACAGGTTGATGGAGATACAGTGACGTTCTCGTTTGAGATGAGAAGTGGTAGAGAACATAATACACCTGATAAAGCTATGTGGGGTTTTCTTGCTACTGTACATGCCCAGGTCAGTTTATTTTTACTGATATTCAACTGACACTGTTGTGACTTTTGGGAGAGCATGATATGAAAATAAAGTGAAGTGGTGTTTGACCTGATCCATTTCATCACCAGCTGGACTAATGAAAATGGGTATACCCCAATCAGTGTACTATGAGGGACATTTTGCCTGGACAGTGGAACTATGACCTACTCTAATTTCAGATTCCAATTGTCAAGGGTTCTTTTAGGTGTGTGCAAATGATTACACAGGACCTCAGTTTTTCGTTCCGCCACAAGACTAGACGCTTTTCCTTGCTAGGTCCCCTGTTCTGCACCTCCAACAAGGAGAAGCCATGCCGACACCGGGAGCAAAATGTATCAAAGCTTTCATTTGACAGACATTTCATTTCCTGATATCCATTGTTCAAAGTACTTTGTGGCACAGGGTGAGATTGTAAATTTACTACAGAGTTAAAGTTGGTAGTATTTATCTTAGTTGGCCTGATAATATATATACACTTCCATAATGCATTCATTGACATATATGGAGGGGGGAGGGGCACAATTGCCTGTCTGGAATGTTCCAAGTTGCAATCAAATGTCACTGAATTGATTTTATTTCAGCTGTAGTAATTAGTACATGACTTTTTTTTTGCCCAAAAGTCTTGTGTTTATTCCATTCACGCCTTTTGATGAAATGAGAGAATTCATTTCTGGATTGTTCTATCGAGTATGCCCTTTTTACGCTCCACTAATTACCTGTCACCGACTTCTACAATATTTTCATATGTATGTGTTTTTACATTATCTCCAGGAATCTGTGGAGGAAGTCGGAGGAGGTCTTCCATTCCTGGCTGATCTAGCCCTAGGTTTATCTGTTTTATCATGTATGATGTTACAAATTATGTTTGATGGTCCAGAAAAAACAGAGGTGGAAATAACCTGTCAACATTTATTTAAAAGTAAAATATTACAAAGGTATGTTTCTACCAGTAATCAATAAATAGAATACATTGAATATTTTAACATAAGATACAATTTTATAAATACACAATAAGAGAATTTATTACTATGCAATGTTTCATCTTTATCGAGCAAATGATACAAATATGTTGCTGAAATGAAATGAAATGGGGTTTAACGTCCTACCCTTCTGCTCCTAACCTGGGCTAATGAAGACGGGCATACGCCATACATGCGCTATGAGGGAAATTTTGCCCGGGCAGCGGCGCTACGGCCTACTCTTATATCGAATTCCAACTGCCAAGGGATCTTTTACGTGCACGCCAATGTGTACACGGGACCTCATTTTTGCGTCCCATCCGAACGACTAGACAGCTGTCCTTGTCAGGCCCTCCGTCCTGCATCTCTGACAAGGGGAAACCACGCCGGAAAATCAGGATAAATTTTCTCAGCCAATGCAGAGTCGAACACCCGACCTCCAGGCTAGCAAGCCAGCATCTTACCCACTTAGCCATGTGATCCCCAAATATGTTGCTGGTAGACAAATATATACAGAATACATCTAAATCAATATACCCCATATACAATATCAATACACACATTTGTTATACACAAGATCAACATATCCATTTGCTATACACAAGACCAAAACACACATTATTTTATATACACAAAATCAATACACATTTAGCATTCACAATATCAATACACATTTCTTATACACAAGATCAAATCACATTTAGTATACACAATATCAATACACATTTCTTATACACAAGATCAAATCACATTTAGTATACACAAGATCAATACTCATTTAGTATACACAAGATCAATACACATTTAGCATACCCAAGATCATTACAGGTCTCTTAGACACATGATCAATATATATTTGTTATTGACAGATCAATATACATATTGAAAGATTGGTTTTACACAAGATCAATATACAGTATCAATAAATAAAATACAAGATCAATACACACAGGGTAGTACACAAGATCAAAATAATTGTTTATTTGTTGTGTTTTAGATGTGTTTGGCAATCAGAACCTGAAATAACCAAATCAACAGAAAAGAGTAAAAAGAAAGCTGGAAGTAAAGCTGCGTTTAGTCCCGTTCTAGCTAGAATTAAATTACCCACCGATTTAATGGATGGTTTACGTAAACTTTCTAAACGACAGACACCTAGAGTTCGACCTAGTATAAAGTATGTATAAATTATTTTTAACATTTAAACTTAAAAATAAATTTGAATAATTTGGTAACTAATAATAACATACGTAATATACACATTTGATTTTAAGTTTATCAGGATCTTAATACTTAGCCTTGTGTTTGGCTGTGAGCTATGTTTGTTTTTTCTCTTAAATTTTCAAAACTTTAAATTCTGCAGCCAAAAATTTTTTAAAAGAGCAAACAACTGTTGTTTGTTTTCAGTAAGAAGCGAAGTTTTCATAATTCATCTTAAACAACTAAAATTTAAATTGATGTTGCCTTAATTTATAATAATATATACTTGTGGAGAATTTATACAACCATTATCAATATTATTATATATTTGTAGAGAATTAAATATAACCATTGTTACAAGTAATAATAGAATTATATATTTGTAGAGAAGTCTTAGAACCATTGTTATTGATAATAATATATAAGTAATACCATAATAGAATTATATATTTGTAGAGAATTAATAGAACCGTTTGTATTGATAGCAATACATATTTGCAGAGAAGTAATAATATATATTTCTAGAAAAGTAATAATATTATTATATATTTTTCGAGAAGTAAAAATATTATTATATATTTCTCGAGAAGTAAAAATATTATTATATATTTGTAGAGAAGTAAAAAATAATATTATATATTTGTAGAGAAGTAATAATGATGATATATATATTTGTTGTGAAGTAATAATGATGATATATATATATGTAGAGAAGTAATAATGATGATATATATATTTGTAGAGAAGTAATAATGATATATATTTGTAGAGAAGTAATCCAACCATTAATACTAGAAGAGATGATAATGTCAGCTGTGGTGAAGCATCTGTCACTAGTGGAAGCTTTACGTTCATTACCCGATATACAGAAACATGAAACAGATGAATTTTGGTTATTATCATCAGTTGTTGATGAAGTCTTCAGAAGATTTGATGCTTTAATTAGACAATTACAGGTACAGTTTAAATTTTAATTCAGTTACATTAGCAAAAACCATGAAAGTATTATCCGGCCTGGTTCATCTTTTTAATGGTGCAGGATTGAGGACATGTCAAAGAAAAAAGTCTAGTCTTTCTGATCGTATTTAAAACTGAGATCCACACATTGGTGTGACCGTAAAAGAACCCTTGTTTGTTGGACTTTGATTAAAGTAGGCTGTTCAGACAAGATTTATCTCATAGCACACTGCAGGGTGTATGCCCATCTCCATGAGACAAACTAGTGCTGAAGAGTAGGAACATATTTCATTTCATTAAATATATTTCATTTGTAAGTAATCAGTACCAGATCCAGGTAAATTAGTAAAGTGCTTTAGTTCGCACTAATGAGAATTGGATTATTAACAGACAAGCCATTTAGTGTTAACTTGAAATCATCAAGCCCTTGGTTTTCCCAACATAGATGACATTTGAATATTTAACATATATTTATTATTAACACTGTTTGATATATATTACTAGACATTGGCTGATTTAGAACAGAGATGGTTTAATGAAGTAGAAGAACACAGACAAGAAAAGAATCCATCTTTTACACCCTATTTTACAGATTATCATCTACATGAGGTAAGTTTATTTATTCCACGGCTTGATCAAATACGAATATTATCTGTTTAAAACATAGACATCATGTGTTTTTTTTTTTTAAAACAATATTTTTATTCAGGGTGTCTGAATGGGATTGGGTAGCAAGCTTAGCATAAGTAAAACCCCTCTCCCTATTCTGTGTTTAAAGAGTTATACTAAACAAAATTTCACCGGTCCAACATCATGGGTTTTCTCATGGTCCTTCAGTTTCCTATCACTGCTAAAACCCCCTATGCTCAAGCAAATTATTGAAATAAAATTATTGAACCATATGTTAGTCCCGAGTGGTCGTTGAACCCAATTTATCTCTCTTTTCCTAACCCAAATTTAGATCAGTAAACATCCAGTTATCCAGTAGTTGTGCCTTTTGTAATTATAAATTTGTCAGATTTAATTATTTTTGTGTTTCTATGGAATCCAATTTGATTTGTTGCTTAGTTTTAAATATTGATATATTTCAGTTAAAACATAAAGAATTGACAATGTTATGTTTTCTAAAAGAAGTAGCTCTTGATACAGAAGATACCGAAAGAGCTGTGAAAACTTTACGGTAAGACTGTCTTATGTTAGAACTTGTTTGAATTTTAACAATATTTCTCCAAAATTCACATCAAGGCATACTAATAAACAATGAAGGGGGAATTTTTTATGGTGTAAGGGTAATAATTTCACCTATGTCATCCTCTAGATAGAATAGTCAATTCTTTTAGAAAGAGGAATTTTCGGGGTTTTGTCTTGAGCAAAGATTACTTATTATCTAAGAATTTGAATTCTGGTGATAGCCGAGAAAGGTTTGCAGGTTTTTCCCTTGTCAGTGATGCAGGATGAAGGGTCTGGCAAGGAAAAGCTTCTAATTGTTCAGATGGATAAAAACCCAAATCAAAATAGGAGTAGGCAGTTTACATTTGTCTGGGCAAGATTGCCCTAATAGCACACTTCACTATTTTGATTGGTGTAGAAACCTTGAGAGTGAAACAAAAGGGGCACTATGTTGCAGAAAATATGAATATTTGTTTTAATTAATGATCAGAGCATGAAAATTCATTTTAGACTTCCTTCAAAATGAGTGTTATAAATTTGTATTTTTAGGGTGATGTAGAGAATAATTGTAAATTTTTCAGTGAAAAGTTTAACAGTGATGTAGAGAATATTTGTATATTTTTTAGTGAAAAGTTTAACAGTGATGTAGAGAATATTTGTATATTTTTCAGTGAAAAGTTTAACAGTGATGTAGAGAATATTTGTATGTTTTTCTGTGAAATGTTTAACTTTGATGTAGAGAATATTTGTATATTTTTCAGTGAAATGTTTTGTAGAGAATATTTGTATGTTTTTCAGTGAAAAGTTTAACGGTGATGTAGAGAATATTTGTATATTTTTCAGTGAAAAGTTTAACAGTGATGTAGAGAATAGTGATAAAGAAAGTATAAAATCCATGTATAAAACTAAACAGATAGTAGAGGGGATATTATCACGATTAGATCTACTGTTACATGTTAATATATCATTTGTTACCAGTGCTACTACAATGACTAGAACAGCTTCTAACTATGCTAATAATACCAGAGAAGGTTTGTACAGTCAATAGATTTCATTTTATTAGTAGACTTTTAATAGTAAGTGCAGGGGGCCCACACAGAAACAGTTGATCAAGACATACTAGGACATATTTGTGATTGGACATTTGCCAAATTGTGCAGGACATGTCCGGCATATATGGCTGAAACAGCATCCATGGAAAGGACACAAACAACTCAAACAACGAACATATCAAATCAAGTTGATTTAATCTGGTTTCTAGCCATAAGAGTCACTGTGCTAAACAGTAAGTTGTAGTAAGTTAAAAAAAACTGTGATCTTCATCTATATATTATTTAGGGAGAGGGGTTTTATATAGGCTTAGTCTGTTCCCAAATCCCATTCAGTCATCCTGAATAAAAATATTGTTTAAAAAAAAAACTTCATCAATTTAGAAAAATTATTATTTCATTATGAGTAAACATAGGATGATAAATGAAAGTAGCTCTGGTTTATTTACAGGAATAATGGCCCGATCTGATACTGATATGTTACGACCAGGTTCAGTATTAGGTAGAAGTATGTCAGCTCCATCTGGTGTAGAAGATGATACATTCCTGGAAGTAATGAGGTTGCAAAGGTAAGCTATCGACGAAAACTATTATCAGAGTTGGTGCCGTCCGGAAGCCACTGTCCTTTCTGTTTCACCTTCAGAGGACACTTCACTATTGATTAGTATGTTGTGGGTTAGGGCATTTCACTCTTCACTATTATGCTGTGGGTTAGGATACTTCACTCTTGACTAGTAGATTGTAGACCAAGACGAACTTTCAGAAATTTTTCAAGCAGGATTCCATCAGGTCTGGAATAATGTATGTGGCGCTGACAAGGAAAGTGTTGCGAGTCGTTCATATAGTATTAAAAAACGAGGTTTGCAAACTACAATAATATGAAAGATGAATTTCTAATAGGAAAATCGGTCCCAAAATTTGTTCAAAGATGCTGAATTAAAATTTCATTGATGTATGCTAATGCTGCTTGCTTTGTAATAAGCCTTTCACCTTGTTCTTGTTTTAAATCCGATTGAATCTAATCTGTGAAATTATCTAGCGTTGATATTTTGATTTTGTTTTCTTAATTAAATGTTAAATAATCAATCCGAGTACATATTAGCATCGATTAAGCCGTGAGAAATTTGATATTTTAGAAATGAAATATAATAATAGAAGATTGTTGGATAGAGATATTGTATGAATGATAAAACTACTGTTATATGTATTTTAGACGTCGTCAGTTATGTAAACGTGATGTAGGATCTATATTACAAGATTTAGTAGATGAAGATGGACGTGATATGCCACCACATGTAGCTTTAGTTGATCAACTTTTCTCATTCATTGGTAGTGCTCCAGAAACATCGGTAAGTACATATGGTTATCTATTATTCTATGTAGGTATACGTGTATGGTAGATGAATACTTATTTATATACAGTATAACAACTGATGAAAACGCTTGAGAAAGAGCAAACAGGGGATCACGTGGCTAAGTGGGTAAGACGCTAGCTCGCTAGCCTGGAGGTCGGGTGTTCGATCCCTGCATTGGCCGAGAAAGTTCATCCAGATTTTCCGGCGTGGTTCTCCCTTGTCAGTGATGCAGGATGGAGGGGCTGACAAGGAAAGCTGTCTAGTCGTTCGGATGGGACGAAAAACCGAGGTCCCGTGTACACATTGGCGTGCACGTAAAAGATCCCTTGGCAGTTGGAATTCGATATAAGAGTAGGCCGTAGTGCCGCTGCCCGGGCAAAATTTCCCTCATAGCACACTGTATGGCGTATGCCCGTCTTCATTAGCCCAGGTTAGGAGCAGAACAGTAGGACGTTAAACCCCATTTCATTTCATTTCATTTCAAAGAGCAAACAGGTAGAGTATGATTTGATGCATATCAGAATTAAGTAAAAGTGGTAGATTTATCATATTTTTTATTTATTTATATATTTATTTTCTGTAAACATAGAAGTTTATATATTTATTTTCTTGTAATTTATCTACTTTAAGATATATTTCTGTATATGTACATGTTTACGGGATTGAATTTCCTATTCCTCTCCTGCAGTAGACACTATAGAAAATTGCACATAAAAAATATTATGAAATTACACTGAATCCGAATGTCAAAGTTCAAAATTTTGCCGTTTAGCGCCGAGGTTTGATGTGTGTCGTTCAAAAGAGCAGTTGAACACCCAATAATGCCACATTTTAGGAGTTCACATAGCTTTTAAAATTTTGTGTATGAACCTCAAGGATGGTATCTATTGTCTAAAGAAATGGAGTGTAAATATTTTTTCTTAATTCCATAGTGTTTTTAGAGTGGGAAACTGATTTATAACAATTTGCTCTGTCGTGACAATGTATGTGAAGTAATTCCTGCTTGAGTTTCAAACTTGTATTAAATGACCACCAACTGTACAACACCATTTTTGTAAACACTACCCGATTGCATATTCTGTTGATTTAAATGTAACAGGAAAATAACATATGTCTCATTGATAAATTTGTCTTTCAGGTATCGTGTGAACATTTTTTGAAAGCTGCTAAAGTACGATGGAAGAGAGGTAACTCTAGAAAGAATGCTCTGATCTCCATGAAAGAATTATTGACATCAGCATCCCGTGTTCCAGGGTCATCGTACCTGCTTTCATCAATTACATCAGTCTTAAAACATGGTCCAAAGTAAGTATGATTGTCATAAGATCTTCTTCACACAAAATCGTGAAGGAGCCGCTGTGGTTCAGTGAGTAAGACGCTGGCTCACTAAACAGGAGACCTCACGTTCGATCCCGGTGTTTGCCGTGCAGGAATGTGGGCTTGACAAGGACAGTGTCTTGTAGTTCAGATGGTACGAAAAACCAAGGTCCCATATAGACATTGCCGACCAGTTGGAATTCGTTATAAGAGTAGTTAGTAGCGCCTCTGTTTGGGCAAAATATCCTGATGTATCACTGAATGGCGTACACCTGTCTTCTTCAGGACGTTAAACCACATTTCATTTCATTACATTTACTAATATTATAAGAGCCAGGAGTTAAATACACCATAGCTATCACTGTTCATAGATGGAATTATTGTTGATTATTTCCAGGGTAGAAGAATTAACTTGTGGTGGTTTAGTAAATGTAATACAAGATGCCTATGCTGAAACAGTTACATCAGTTGTACAGTTAGCATCTAAACATCCTATAGCTGGCTGTAATAGTGTTGTATTACTCTGTACTGTACCTTATACCAGGTAATTTATAATCAAGTCTTATATTCTCATAGAGCGTTTCAGATTCTGAACCAGGGTCCTCATTCACGAAAACCTAAACTGAAATATTTTAAGGAGCAGACATCTCATTAGTTGAGGGTTAACATCTTAGTACAAATTTGAGTTCTTAGCCAATGAAAGGTTAGAGTTATTAAAATATTGAAGTTTTCATGATTAAGGCCCCAGGGTTCTTGTTTCCTTCATATTTGCCAATCTTGACTGACTTTTGGTGTAGTTGACTGGCTGGAGAACTTACACGCCATACAATTAAACATTTTAAAGGATTTATCCTTAAAACACAGTTCAATACAGTGGAAATTCTAGTTTTTATGTGTAATAATATGTAAAAATATATTTTTTTGAAAAACATATTTTGCTAGTCTTAGGTGAACAAAATATGTAAACAGTTGACTGACTGGCAAAATTTTTATTTTCTAATATTTCCATATTATTTGTTAACAGAGCAGAGGAAAAGTGTTTAGTAAGATCTGGATTAGTTCATTTATTAGATCAACTGTGTGGATTGGCCAATCGTAGTACAGACCTACAATCACCTGATACCCAGACGATACATCAAAAAGTCTCGTTATTAGCATGGGCAGGATTTAGGGTATTAGCTAGCAGATGTGTTACATGGGAAACAGAAGAAGGTTAGTACTTTGTGTATATATATTGTATAGTTTGTTATCTAACACAGGTTAAGGCAGGGACACATCATTTTAGTGAAACCCTTTAATATTTGTTGTTTATTTCTTGCTATGTTGGTAGTTTGTATCTTCTCCGCAGGTTTTTTTTTAGCGGTTTTGTTTGTGTGTAGTGCAGTCCTCCTGTACTACTATTGTGTATATAGAGAGAAATGGGGTTTAATGTCCACTCAACACAAACTAGGTCATTTCAGGACAAACGATTTGACTCAATGACTGGCCTTATGATCTATATGTAAAGCGTAAATGTCAAACCATTTATTTATTTATTACAGGTGTATTAGAAGATGATTTAGATCATTCCGGATTAGCATGTCAAGTTTCCATATTATTAACACATTATTTAACACGTGTAACAGAGAATACAGGTAATGAAGCTGCTGGGACGGAGGCCTTACAGGAAGTTCTAGCATTACTTAATAGTTTATCAAGGTATGTCAAATCTTCCCTCTTGCTACCTTTTAAATGTCAAGTTAGTATCAAGAATCGTGAATGTCAAGAATCGTGAATGTCAAATTTCAGATTGTATCTACTGTTTTATTGATCCAGGAATCACATGTATTTGTGGATATAGTATTTTCATTCACACATTTAATAGATATGGCCCCCCATATCATCCTGATACATGATTGTGCTAATCCTGATACATCATTGTATTAATCCTGATAAATGGTTGTGTTAATGATAATACAATAAAAATATGTACATTTATAGGGTGTTAGAACTCCACACATTGGGGCATGCTCACAGCGCACAATCCTTATACATGGTTGTGTTAATGCTGATAGATGTTTGTTGTTAATCCTGATAAATGTTTGTGTTAATCCTGATAAATGTTTGTGTTAGTCTATAATTATCTAATGAAATGAAGAATTCATTGTTAATTATTCTATATTGCAGAAGTCGTATGGGAAAAGCTATATTATCTCAACCAGCCTGTGTTTCTAAACTACTCTCATTGTTACTAGATCAACGGTTAGTTTATTCTACATTTTCATTAAGATTTAATGACAGGTCTTGGAAATAATGGTTTTGATTGTAACAAACAAAATGAATATGTATTATAAAGTTAAAATGACTATGCATTATAAAGTTAAATAAATATGTATCACAAAGTAAAATGAATATGAATTATAAAGTTAAAATGAATATGCATTATAAATCTAAAATAAATATGCATTATAAATTTAAATTGACTATGCATCATAAATATGCAGTGTAAAGTTAAAATTAATATGCAGAAAAGGAATATGTATATTAATTAAAGCTAAAGGTTAAAATGAATATGCATTGTGAAGTTAAAATGGATATCATTATAACATTAAATGAATATGCATTGTGAAGTTAAAATGAATATGTATTAGAAATTTAAAATGGATGAAGTTAAAATGAATATATATATTTTTTTTTTTTACAGACCTTCACCTAAACTGGTGTTGATAATTTTACAGCTGTGTGGTGTAGCTTTACCATTAATGTCACCTACAGATTGTGCTAATGTTGAACTTCCTGCCTGGGGTCAACATTTGACATCTGGTCACTGGAGTAACGCCCAACCTGTTGATGATCCTCCTGCTAAAATAGTCAGTTTATTGCTGGCTAAACTTGGAGACTTCTTAGTTCCAGGTATGATGAGATTTCCTAAGGAATTTCAGAGGAAAAAAATGAAAATTGATATGCATTGCAAATAATTCACCCCTGTTTATTCACCCACTTTTCATGTGATAATATTTTGTAATTACCGCTGTCTGTCTTGTAAATGCTCTTCAAGTCAGAGATTTTATATCTTTTCTAAAACTTACTGGGATTGTTTGGTTAGTTCTAAGAAGGGACTTTATTAAAATATTAATGTTCTGCATAGTTATTGCTGCTGACCTAAATAAATTTAAAGAAGGGTTCCCGCGTACAAACTGGGTGATTTAATGGTATATATGGACTAAAAACATATTCAAACTAATTAATTTGTCATAATTTTGGTTCAAATCCTTCTCAAACATTGTAATTGCGAAGGAATGCCCTGCTATAAAAATTCGATCAAACCAGGTCATGTTTACGTCACGTGACTTACCTCTCTTGGAAGTCAGAGGAGAATTAATTGCATACATAAGACGATGTTGTCTTTAATCGCTTACTATTTTGTACACATATCGAATTCTAATTAAATTCTCGGATTATCCACTACCCGCGTCTTTTTCCGTCATTTTTAGCTCAGAAAGTGTTGTACGTCTAACTCTTCATAAAGTTTCTCAACTTGTACATCAAGCGCTCAATGTTCGCGTGTGACCTTTGACATCACGCGTGCAGAAATTCACAATCGTCGGGCTGTTGATTAGGGGAACCCTTACATTTTTGTCCTGTATACGCTCCATGAATGTTTTTCGGGGAATTCAGTATTTTTCTAGTAAGATTGGATATCTCTACTTTCCATATATACCAAAATTGCCATACTTTTATTGGAAATAACCACCCGATAAATACTTTTCTGTGAACCCATCTTTAAATCCACCTTTGAGAATTCTGCTGGTAGACCTACATGCATTGGCTGACCAAGTCATGTTTACTTACTTCAAAGTGCCTGTATAATGTGATAGTTCAATAGTCTGTGTGCTTCAGAGTCAATAAATAAAAGGAATTTAAAATTCTTCTTGAGATTAGCATATTTAGATAAATAGAATTGTTGACATCTGACTCTAAACTAAATAAATGTATAATCCTTTAGTGGCATTTAGCAATTGGAAACATAACAAAACTATACAGTTATATGGGACAACAATCACGTGCTTGATAACGATAAGAGAATACTTATCGAAACGTCGTGCTTGTGTATAATAAACCAGTGATTGTTGTCCCATATAACTGTATAGTTTTGTTAAATAAATGTAAGAGTAAATTTAATAGTCATAAAAATATATTATATATTTATTCAAAGGAGATCAAGTATTATTGTCTAGTAGGAGTCCATCACAAGAGGTAACTAGTGGAGGTCATAGTTCATCTAGTAATAAATGTGACCAATCAGAAGATAGTGATGTACAAGGTGGCCGTATTAGTGTATATTTACATAAGAAAGATGATCAAACAGCACATGATGTTATACAACCATTACTCAGGTAAGCAATACTTCTGTTTCTCCTGGGGATGTGGTTCCCCCTTGTCAGTGATGCAAGACGGAGGGTCTGACAAGGACAGCTGTCTAGTCATTCGGATGGTACGAAAAACCGAGGTCCCATGTACACATGCATGCATGTAAATGATCCCTTGACAGTTGGAATTCGATATAATATAAGAGTATGCCATAGTGCTGCTGTCCGGGCAAAATTTCCCTCATAGCACAATGTATGACGCATGTTCGTCTCCATTAGCCCCGTTCGAAGCAGAACACTAGGATGTTTTAAAAACCCCATTATTTCATTTCGTTTCATTTCATTTATTTCTGCTGGGTGGTTGGGTGGCCAAATGGTCTAAGGCGTACACTTTAGATCATAAGATGTGTCATTGAGTCAAGTGGTGTTGTTTCGATTCCAAACTTGTATGTTTAGAGGAGTAGGATCACATGTTCAACCTCGTGGGTTTTCTGAGGATTCCTCTAGTTTTCTCATACGCTCAAGTGAATAATTGAAATAAAAACTGAACCATATGTTAGTCCCAAAATGACCTAGTTTGTGTTATATGTAAAATGAGATTAAATATCCGACCTAAAGCCTGCAGCGATCTACTAAACATACCCAATCGTTTACAGCTTCCCTTGCGCGCTTACTGGTAATTTAGTTTCACAGAGTTAACAGTAATTTGTGTTTATAAGTATCCAATTAGTTGGAATTAGTGCTATAACAAGACAATTATTATTACTACCATGTATATGCAGCCATATACAAGCAATAGATATAGAATTGTGTTATATTTTAGTGTTGATGGAAGAGCTTTTAGAGGTGGTCTAGGTGCCAGTATGGAGAGAGTTTCACGAATGGATCGAGAATTAACAAAGGTTTGTTCTCATTGTATCTTTAAATTGATTTTATATTTTTATAGCGATAACTGATTTAATCTTTTCTTATATATAAAATCAATGTGGACTCATCTGACATGTAAACGTATTTGACAGTCTTTCTTGTCTTTTTAGGAGCTTTTTACATATTAATTATTTGTTGTATTACTATTTACATACTTGTGGGACTGACAAGTAAAGGGGTGTCTAGTCATTCGAATGAGACAAAAAAACATGAGGTCAACCTGTGTACATGTCAGCATGTACAAAAGAACCATTGATAGTTGGAATTCAATGAAGATTAGACAGAAATGTCACTGTCTGGGTGAAATTCTCCTCTCTAGCATAGCACACATGCTTATTAGAAAAATTTAGAGTGGTCTAAAAATGACCAAAGTATTAAATTTAATGAAATGGGGTTTAATGTCCTACTGTTCTGCTCCTGTACTGGACAAATGAAGACAGGCATATGCCATGCAGTGTGCTATGAGGGAAATTTTGCCTGGACAGTGGCACTTCGGCCCACTCTTATATTGAATTCCAACTTCCAAGTTATACACGGGACCTTGGTTTTCTATCCCATCCGCTGTCCTTATATTAAACATTACATTTGTATTTGTCAGATATGGTAAATAAGTCTTCTAATATTTGTTTATAGAGTGGTAAAACAGAAGTAGTAACAGAAGAAGCCATGACAGCTTTACGTAAAGCGTATAAATGGGCTCAGTTAGGATTAGTTTTATCAACCGGTCCACCTACAGATACAACACAAACAGATACAGTGTCAGATGGCAAGAAGAAAACTGCTACAGACGTTGTTTGTAAAGAGAAAAATCTAGAATTAGCAAAGTAGGTTTCCTTTTTTTTCTTTTTCTTCATTTTAAATCCCTTACCTTGATCATACATTTTTAGACTGTATCTTGTATCTAATTTTTTTCCCTGCTTAATCCGGAGTTGTTTATTATACATTGAATTAAGAAATCAATGGTAGATACATGTAATAAGCAGGCTTGGATTCAATCAGATTAAAAAGAGACCCATCAATAGATTTTACTCAACACTTATAGGTGACGCTAGCTTGTTTGTGTGCTTAGTTTTCACTTGATTTATTTTATACTAGAACCGATCCAGTACGAGCCTTTATCAGTGGTCATGTAGCCAATAGTATGGCAGCAGAAGTTATCTCCCTTCTTCATAGTTTGTTAGCTGCACCATTAACATCATCTGCTCAAACCTGGTCTGAAGCTGTACAAAGAGTAAGTAGCTAGATTATTATATCATTAATGCTCCGTCTTCATTAAAGTGGCATTATGGAAGATTAGATAAAGAGCTGACAGTTCTCGCTATAATAGTTAAAAAATAGATAATGTAAGGGGAATATGCTGAAAATTTCAGTCAAGCCAAGAAAAGGATTATGTATTATGCTATATGTCTGAGTTAACTGTATGGATAATATGCAATCCTTTTAGAGGCATTTAGCAATTGACTCATAATATTAGATTACCTGGTATTGGATGCCATCACATTATGACTAATATTGCATTCTTACTTAGTATCTTAATAAAAACTACAACTACAACTGTAACATGTAACTAGAATATATTCTTGATTCTATGATTTTCAGTATCACCAAAACACTTTACAGATTATTCAGGAAATATATATAATTGGGATAATATTTCTTCAAATATTTGGTACTGTCAGTGTCCAAATGTATGTGCTGTGTTATATTTCCATATTGTTGTGTATTTTTTACAGGTATTAATGAATTCTGTATCGTGTTTACCATTATTGATGACATCATTAGAAGGATTAGGATCACCCAGATGTCATACCAGACAATTAATGACCATGGCTAAATTAGCGAATGCTGCATTATGTGCTTTGGGTGGATTTGGTGAACTTGTTAAACCGGGATGTCAGATAGAGGTATTTATTTGAAATGATTATATTCATTTTATTTCTAGAAATAATAACAAATTCTTGAAGTCAGAATTAATGGAATTTGTTGTTTCGTCTATCTGATCCTTTTGATGTAAGTTATTAATCTCTACATGAGAAAGAATCTGGTATATTTTAACATACAGTAGCTGATTGAGGTAGGCAAAAGTAGCGACCCTGCCTTGTCAAGCTACTATGATCAGAGTATGAATCTTCTGACTAGTCCAAGAAGTTGTTTTTCAGTATGCCTTCCAAACAAGTGCAAGGGTGCGGGATGGTGATGACTAGTCATCATGTTTCAATATCATTTGGAGTTTACTCACTGCCATTGCAAAACCTATTAATAGTTTATACATCACAAATATCATCTGATTTGTTTACAGTTTTGTTATGTTGCAATAAAATTAGTAATAATATGGTAGAGTTGCTGGTGAGCATATTTCCATTTGCCCAACAATTTACTTATATTTTTTGTAAGTTGGCAAGAATGAGAATATATTTCATACTGTTTGAGTGGCATTTAGTAATTGAACACATTAAAATAAACACAACAGTTCTATGGATAAAAATTACTGTATTTCTATTAAAGCTACGTTTATCGTTATTGTTACTGTTTTGTGCTTGATAACGACAAGAGAATCACTGTGTTTATTTTAATATATTTGATCTTTAATTTATAAAGTTTTTATACTGTTATTAAACATACTTATAAATATTTATTGTTGTTTTATTTGATCAGATAATAGGAAATGATATACATGAGTCAACTGGTAATGTTATAACCCTATCTGAACAGACTGATATAGCTATAGTATTATTAGATGGTGATAAAACAGATAGTTCTACACCCAGATATAGTGATTTAATAGAAATACCTGTATCTAGATTACGGCCTGTTAGAAATAAGGTACGTATATATATTTATTAACTCTGTTTCAATTAAGAATTGGAGATGACATTGAAACAGTGTAGTGAACCTTCGTGGGGCTGGCTCACTGACCAGGAGGTCCTGGGTCCAAAACCAGTTCAGATGGGACAAAAAACAACAATAATGTCCATTGAATGGTATTGGCAGCATTTTGAAATCAAAATAAGAACAGGCAGTTGTGCTGGTGTCAGGACAATATTTCACTCAAAGTACACTACATAATGTATGCCCGGCTAGTTACAAAAAACATTTCATTCAATCATTCCTTGTGCTTTTTTGCGCTGAGGTGCGTTTCCATTGAAATATCTCATTCACAAATTAGGTATAGTTTCAGTAATATTCAATTAACCATTTGTTAATGCCAAAGATAAAAAATGTGGGATCTGGGTCTTTCTATCGACAAATCTGAATCAAGCTTTTTTTATTCAATGGAAACATGATTATCATAAGAAATGTGTTTAACCCTTCAGTACATTTAAATATTGACTACCCCAGTTCCTTGACGAAAATTACAGAAAGGTGATGTATTAACACCGCCACATCCCTGAACAGACCAAAACAGCTGTTCATTAGAATGCTTCAAACCATCAGAGATATGTGAATAGCTTTGAGTATTATAGGACCATTTACTAGTTCATGTGGACGCCACAAGTGTACATGTGATGGAGTGGTTAAAGGAACCCCTAGTTATGGTGGTTTTGGGCGGTATTAGCCCTAAAGGGATCGTCAAGGCCATTCATACATGAACAGAATATTTACTGTTCAAGCATTTCATCTCATATTATATTATCTTTAACATACTCATAGCTCCATAAGAATATTTCTAAGATTTTTTACAGTAAATTATTTAGTAATCTTAAAAAGAAAAAAAAATCTGTTAGTTTTGACAAATATTCCAAATTTAATGTATCTTTTTATTTTGAATTCTCACCAGTCCAGCTAATACCATTAAAAACTCTCTGTACTTTTCAGACGTTCCTGAAACACCAACAAGAGATGAGTGATACTGTATTTACAGCTGTCCAAGCATTGCTTGATCCACAAGGGACTGATCAATCTTATCTACAACAATCATTACCACTTATAGGTGACGGTAACAGTCTGGGTAACCAGACATGTCGTGTAGTCGCTGAAATAAAAACACGAGCTTGTATGGTACTAGCACAATATCTACAGAATCTCGAGTTTGCGAAAGTATTTAGTCAGAGATGTGGATCATCTATAAATATCATGAAATCTTTAGCTAAAGAATGTAATAAAGGTAGGGATTTCTATGGTGGCCCATGGTCGCAATAGCGTTTTTTGGGTTATTTTTGGTATTTCATTTAAAATAATAAAAATATTAGTACAAAAAAAAAAAAAAAAACATTTTTTTTTTTTTTACAAAATAAAAAAAAATAATCTTTTAAAATTTAAAAAAAAGAAAATCTTTTTAAAAATTTAAAAAAAAAAAAATATTTTTAAAATGAAAAAAAAAAATCTATATATATATATATAAAAAAAAATAATAAAATATATTTTAAAAAAAATAAAAAAGAAATAATATTAAAAAAAAAATTAAATGAAAAAAAAAAAAAATTGAAAAAGAAAAGATAAAAAATAATTCCCGACGTGGCCCATCGTCGCAATAGTGTCTTGAGTATCCAGACCCAGTATACAGCTATCATTAGACTAGAGCGACCAGAAACATTTTGTGGCCCATTGTTGCAGTAGTATCTCGATTATCATGTGTGGGATCTATGAAGAACGTATAAACTCGAACGACAAGAAACGAGTCTGTAGTTATCTCACGTCAACATAATTGTAGATACTTCAATTTTGATTGGCTAAGCACTAAAATAAATCTAATATTATCTATTATCCAATCAAATACTAAAATTTGAATTTTATCTTAGTAAAACAGGCCCCAGACGAAGTCCACGTAGGCTATCATGCTCTATTTTGTCTTTGAAATTGATGTTGTGCGCCATCGCACTTTCGCACCTCTTACTCCTGTGGTCGTAGCGGGGGACTAGCGATGACCTCAGGGAGAGCAGGGGTTTCACAAAAACTGAAGCTAAAATCACTAACATAGATTTTAAAATCAAAGTGAAATTTTAAATTTATGCGTTTCACAAAGATTGGTTGTAACTTAAAATTTAATTTTAATAGATTTTAGTTAAAATTACTTGTGCCTTGATGTGAGGCAACTATAGACTCGTTTCTTGTCGCTCGAGTCTATACCATACGTTCTTCATAGATCCCACACAGGATAATCTGAACGACAGACCCACGATGTTTGACAGGTCACCCTACTCCTTGTCACGTACAACCGGGGATTCGAAATCACGCCAGTTGACTCAATGACGGGCTTTATGATATGATAGGCTTTATGATACAGCGCGCACGTGCTAACACATATATATCCAAGTCCATAGACGTCATGGGTGGAAAAATTGTGTTTCACGTGTTGATGTCTGTTTACCTTTTTCCTTTCGGAAGGGGAGATAACTACAAACTCGTTTCTTGTCGCTCGAGTTATGCCACATAGGATAATCGAGACACTATAGCAACAATGGGCCACGAGGTATTTCTGGTCACTCGAGTCTAATGATAGCTGTCGTAGGCTGATTTTATACTGAGTCTGGATAATCAAGACACTATTACGACGATGGGCCACGTGCAGAATTCTTTTTTTGATTTTTTCTATTTCACTTATTTTTTTTTTTAATTAAAATGTTATTTTTTTTATAGATTTTTTTTTATTTTAAAAAAAAATGTTTTTTTCTTAAATTTTAAAAAGATTTTTTTTTCTTTTTAATTTAAAAAGATTTTTTTTTCTTTTTAATTTAAAAAGATTTTTTTTTCTTAAATTTTAAAAAGATTTTTTTTTTTATTTTGTTAAACAAAAGAAAAAAAAATGTTTCTTTTTTTTTACTTTTATTTTTTATGATTTTAAATGAAATACAAAAAATAACCCCAAAAACGCTATTGCGACCATGGGCCACCATAGATTTCTGATTAATTGATAAACATTTAAGGGAATTGCCATGTCTAACCTATGGTAACTTCGCAATTAATTTTATATTATTTTTCAAAACCTGCTCCACATAAATTTGGTATGATCTTTAAATAGACATCTAAAGCTGTGATTCAAGTCATAGCTTTGGCACATGTCTCTTGTAGTTTTAAACATATTAAATTTTGAAATCAGCTTAAAAATGATCAATTTTCGTCTTAAATCGGTCTTCTCTGATCAGAATTAAATAGTTTTTGGCATGCAAATAGCTAAGCTAGTGCTTAGTAAATCACATTTGGGCACCATGTGGGTGACAAAATCGTGCTGTATAGAATTCTTAAAATTGATAATAAGGATTGATGTATTTGTATATAATGTGAAATTGGTTCAGATTTAGAATTCTTAATAATATTAATATTAACACGATTTTTGTATATAATGATTAACAGGTAAATGATTGATGTTTTTGTATATAATGTGGAATTAGTGCAGTATTAGAATTGTTAACAATATTAATAATAATGTTTTTGTATATAATGAGGTATATAATGTAAACAGATAATATTTTATATTGATTTATATAATGATTAACAGGTAGTCGTAAACCAGTTATAGAAGCTCATGTAGAAAGATTGAGAATGTTATATAGAGATTGTGCTAAACCTCCTCCTCCTCCATGTAAAAACAACACAAAAGCTGTAAGTATTATATATGTATATACATATACCTAAGACTTTTATATATGAGATTTAGCTACGGTGGCTAAGCGGGTAAGACGCTGGCTTGCTAGCCTGGAGTTTGCGTGTTTCATCCCTGCATTGGTCGAGAAAGTTCGTCAGGATTTTCCGATGTGGTTTACCCTTGTCAGTGGTGCAGGACGGAGGGCCTGAAAAGGACAGTTGTCTAGTCGCTCGGACGGTACGAAAAACTGAGGTCCCATGTATACATTGGTGTCCACGTAAAAGATCCCTTGGCAGTTGGAATTTGGTATAAGAGTAGGCCATGACCCTGGCAAATTTCCCTCACAGCACACTGTATGGCATATGTCCGTCTTCTTTAGCCTAGTCGGAGCAGAACAGTAGGACATTAAACCCCATTTCATTTCATTTATATATGTGTTGCTTTTTTAAAAGAATGACAGGTGTTAATCTACAGCATTGTTTGCAAAACTGTGGTTAAGTGGCATATTCTGTTTATAATATTGTTTTAATCAAAGTTAAACATATTATTATAAATTTTTTCCACTTTATAAAATGTTCTTGATTTATTGCAGGGTAAAGAAATGGTATGGAATGCTGGTTGTAATTTCCCACCTGCTAGAGCATGTTTATTTTCTCATGGTTTAACATCTGTAACATTTCTTGGTGATCCAAGTGCCAGTAGTGGTTTACCTAGAGGTTGTATGATCTATGCTAATCAACCAATACCTACACAGGTAAATAAAACTATTATAGCATTCAATTATACAGGCCTTCACGTGAATAAATTCCTCGAGAGTCAAAAAAAGCTCTCCTGAAATTGGAAAAAGGGGAAATCGCTCTCCTGAGAAAGCTCTCCCGAATCTCTTGAGGAGAGCTTAGTTAGCATTTGTGATAAAGTCCATAGATTTTAATCCATTTCGAAACCAAACGGCCAGAATTGGGTCAAATGAGGTCCCGGTAAGAAACAGCGTAATTCGAAGCTCCTGTTAACTTTAATATCTGACTTCAACAAGTTCAAGTCAGTAATACTCCTGAATAGACTACTGTCTTCGTTTATTTGATGGATAAACGGATATCATCAGTCAATCGAAATTAGGATTTTTCTACTACGGCCAAAATAAGCTGATACGACACCATGATATTTCTTCATATTTAAAACACAAATTAATGTTTTGTCTATCACGTAACTTATAATGTTTTTATTCATTTGTGGATGAAAGACAAGCGAAATAATGACCATGTGACTCCCATGATTGAAATTGCTTTATATAAAATAAAATTCCGCACGACTATGCCATGGCGTTAAATAAAAAGGGCAATATTTTTAAGAATAAATCCCTGTCAGCATGTGTAAAAAATAAAATTGAATAAAACTAAAACACTATTTAAAACTAAATCTTGCAATGTTGGTTTATTGACCTAATTCCAACCAATGCATGTCACGTGTTATCGGGAATCTGAAAGCATTGAAGATCTTGACGGAAAAATATATTACTAATGTCTGTTTCTCGGGATATCCGGTGTTCTATCGGGGATTATTCAATGGATATTTAAATTTAACTAACAATGGGTCAGTGAAACCATAAAATGCATTATCCAATTATTATTTTCATATCTACCTAGAATTCGTACGGATCGAGAGTCGAAGACGGGGTGCGAAGCACGAGATTCACAATCCATGCGGAGCGAGATGTCTACCTTCGCCACGTGGTTTATTATTACAAAGAAACTTAGTGGACCTGTTATGAATAACCAGCAGGCTTTTTGGGGGTTTTTTTTGCCGAATTATCAAAATTACCGTTAAATGTGCTAATTACTCGGATTATGAACCGGATGGCCGATTCTCACTAAGGTATGACTGTTATTGTAGGCGACAAGCAAGTAGATTGTCGATATGATATTGACAGTATTTTTCGTTACCTGGGCCCTTATTCACGGAAACTTAAACTAAGATACAATCGAAATTTTAAGAAATACTGCAATTCGATTGGCTGACCAGTAAAATCAATTTGCATATATCCAATTTGCATATTGGTCAGCCAATCGAATTGCAGTATTTCTTAAAATTTCTTTTGTATCTTAGTTTAAGTTTTCGTGAATAAGGGCCCAGTATACTGAGTATATTTTTCCTGATTATTTTCTTTGAGGGGAGTCAAATTAGACATTGAGGAGAGCTATAAAAAGCGCACCTCGACTGACATCCAGGCGCGTCCAGGAGAGCGAGAGCGATCGCGCTCCTTTTACGTGAAGGCCTGATTATACTATGAATAACTCTTATATAATACTCAAATACTAAAGGGGGTGTGTGTCCCAAATTGTCCAACGTGGAGTATTTTCGATCTCACACCTATACATGAGATAGCGTCGCCTGTCCAACTGCGTGGATTTTATCTGGATCCTCCAGTTTCCTTCCAAAGCTAAAGACCCCTATTGAAAGAAAATTGAACCATATGTTAGTCCCAAAATGACCTAGTTTGTGTCGAGTGGATTTTAAACCCAGTTTCGCTATCTCTTTTAGTGTAAAAGCTGAGAAAGTAAAGTCGATAAGTAGAATTTTAAGGGATAAGAGTGATTACAATTTACCATCATAAATTCTTTAAATGAATGAGCTATTGTAGTGAGAAAGGAATTCAAATGACGATTATAGACTACACTAATCTCTTTTAGATGGTGGTTGTGCGTATAATAATAATAATAATGTCATTTATAGAACGCTATTTCACACAGAGGCTATGTTTGAAGGTTGAGAGTGTAACATTAAGTAATATATTGATACTGCACGAGAACGTTATTCCGAGCGTTGTTTTAACATAATACACAATGTTTTGCTTGAGATCATTAAACAACTTAAAATACAGACATTATTCCGCACATACATATCAATGAAATCATCACGTGAGTCCAATATTTCATGTGATATATCACACGTGTCCAATATTTCATCTAGTATAAAATAATGTATGATTGGTACATTGCCCTTAGATTATTTGAAATAATGGTAAGCCAATATCAAAGGATGACCTCACACCTGTGATTTAAGACTGTATAATTATATATTTATAGGCACCATCGTTTTATTGGGAGATAAAGATATGTTCCTTAGGTGACAGTCAGGATGATAGTGGAGTTATGGTATCGTTTGGTTTTGCTCCAGCAGCAGAGAAAAAAGATGGTGCGTGGACAAACCCTATTGGTACATGTCTACTGTTAAAGTAAGTATTGTTATGTAAATTGTTAGTTTGCAGAATTTATGATGATATCTTTTTAAAATCCAAAACTTGATTGATAAATGAAAAAGGTTTAGTCTGAAGATACCTGTGTTAAATTACTGGGCAAATCGATATACTTCATAAATTAATGGGAACTTGATATACTTTCAAAATTATTGGGAAAATCGATATCTGATTAAAACACAGATCCAATTTCATTCGTTTTTTGTAGATCAAAATTTTGTTTTACTTGTCTTTACTACACTAGGATCTGGAAGAATTGTTATATAACATGCATTCTGGTTGAAGTGAGGGATTAGCCAATGAAACGGTCTGTTACGTAGAGTTCTTGGCATTAGATGCACGGAACTTTGGGTAAACCACTAGAAACATCAACGCTGATTGATTAATCAATGTCTGATGTCATGTAGTGTATTGAAAGTATAAAAAAACGAAACGAAATATAGATCTGTATTTTAATCAGATTGGGAAAATCGTTATAGTTCCTAAATTCTGATCCCTTCTTGTACTGTATTTCATGTAAAACTATTTGTTAATTTAGTAATGGTAAAGCTGTACATTATAATGGAGCTAGTTTATTACAATGGAGAAGTGTCCGTATGGATATAACACTAGGTAAAGGTGATATAGCAGGAATAGGATGGGAAAGGACAGGTTCTAATATAGACAATCCTAAAGGTCGAGTATATTTTACACATCAAGGACAGAAATTACCTAATACTATAGATGATGTTTCTGGTGGTATGTTTCCTGTTGTACACATACAGAAAAAGGTAAATCGCCATGTTCTCAAATAAAGCCATAACTTTATGATGATAGATCATAGAAAGAAAATTTGGTGTATGAAATAGATAAACATGATTAAAAAGATAAGGATGGTACTTGATTCATAGATACAACAAATTATGTTTCAGCTCTTGTGGTAGATTGAGACATTTTCTTATTCAGACAGGGATTGCATTGTTGCCTGAAATCCCATTAATTTTACTGCTCTTCTACTTCCCGTTAATGTAGATTGACACTCGGATCCATTTTAACCAAACACTCGCATACATTTTAAATCTAATACCTTTATACCATTATCTTTTTTTATCAACAGAATTGTCGAGTACAAGCTAATTTTGGAGCTCATCCGTTTGCCTTTGCTGAAGGTCAAGAACATCGTGATGCAGCAGAAGCAGCTAGTGATTTAACGAGAGAAATTCGTGAATCATTTGGACATCTGCCGTTTCATCCTAATTCTGATACAGAAGAGGAAGGATTGACTAATACTAGTAGTGGTGTTAGTTTAGATACAGAAGAAATTACATCACAAGATGGCATCTTACTTAAAACAGCTAATACACCATCACCACTTAATGGTAATTATAATATATTACTATAGGACTAATACGCCATCACCACTTAATGGTAATTATAATATATTACTATAGGACTAATACGCCATCACCACTTAATGGTAATTATAATATATTACTATAGGACTAATACGCCATCACCACTTAATGGTAATTATAATATATTACTATAGGACTAATACACAATCACCACTTAATGGTAATTATAATATATTACTATAGGACTAATACACCATCACCACTTAATGGTAATTATAATATATTACTATAGGACTAATACACCATCACCACTTAATGGTAATTATAATATATTACTATAGGACTAATACACCATCACCACTTAATGGTAATTATAATATATTACTATAGGGCTATTGTGTGAAATAGCACTGCATTTGTCTTTTAAATGGGGAATTTAGTGGCCAAATGGTTAACGCATGCACTTTAAATCATAAGGTCTGTCATTCAGTCAAGTGACATGGTTTTGATTCCCCATTTGTCTGTAACAAATTGTAGGGTCTATCGAAATAAAATTGAACCATATGTTAGTCCCGAAATGACTTAGTTTGTGTTGAGTGGACATTAAACTCCCTCTCTCTCTCTCTAGCTCTTCCAGCAATGGTTTGGAAAATTATAGAAAAATATCGGTCCCACTTTACAAAATGAATGAAAGGTTTTGAAATAAGATATTTCTTTATAACAATTTATTTCAGACTATTCCACCGATACGTGTTTACAGTATAAAGTTTTAGATAGTTATAGTAACATGATACAGATGGGACCTAATATAACTGGTCAGGTGGTACAAGATGACCAATCAGATGAAGAACCAATGGAAGATGATATGCCTGTAGAAGATCACTATGCCTTGTTGGTTAAAGCATGGGAACAGAAAGTATTCCCTATAATCAGACGACGATTTAGAAACGAAGCTGAAAGAAAAGATGGGTTAGAACAGATTCGTGGAGCTCTTCAGTTAGGTAAGATGTACTGTTTATAATTGTAACCCCATCTGTCCCTCCATTTGTTGTACATAAATAGTTTGTCCAATATAAGTTTGATAATAAGCAGAGTATTAAACAATTAGATTGTTAAATACTTTATAAAAATTAATTATGAAGTGTCATCTATGTATTTGGTATTGAGGCAGGGGACATCAGTCTCATTTTTTAGGTATGTTGAACTATTTATTATTGTGCCTCCATCCAACCCTTCATCCGGTGTAAAGTTGCGATAGATCAATACCTTGTCTAATATATAGTGATAAACAATTAGATTGCTAAATATGTTATAAAAAATAGTAATTAATAAGTGTCATCTATTTATTGGGTATTGAGATGGGGACATCAGTCTGATTTTTAGGCACTTTAAACTATATTTTGTTGTCCCCCCCCATCCGTTCCTCCATCCAGTGTAAATTTTTGTTACATGAATTATTTGTCTAATATTAGTTTTACAATAAGCAGAGTGATAAACAATTTGATTGCTAGATGTTTTATAAAATGTGGGGCAAGTAATTCATCTATTTAATTTGGGATTGAGGCAGGAGATAGCAGCCACAATTTTTATTTATTGATATTTTTTTTATTATTATTATTATTTTTTATATTTAAATTCTTTATTTATTTATTTTAAAGATATTTATTTTTTTATATATATATATTAAAGGTATGACTGATATAGCTAGACAAACTGTAGAATTTCTATATGAAGAAAATGGTGGAATACCACGAGATCTACATCTACCTACTATAGATGATATAAAAGAAGATTTAGCTAAATTTACAATCGAGAGAGTAAAGAAAGGAACAACAGTTATTATACGACTCCATCACTCATCATCTACAGTACTACCAAAATTTGCTGTTAGAAGTATGTTTAAAACATTCGGTGCCACTGGAACTGTGCTAGAAATTGATTCAGTAAGTTCTGCTTTTGTACATCAAAAGATGTCTTAGTTGTCAAATCTCAATGGCATTTAGCAATAGAACTAGAAATATACAGGTCAAAATTCTATGGAATACAATTACTGCTGATTACTGAGTGACGTTTCAATAGGCTTGATAATGACTAGAGAAGCCTAGTTGAAATGTCGCTCAGTAATAAGCAGTAATTATATTCCATAAAATTGTGACCTGCGTACCTCAAAAGAAAGTATGTTGTGTTCTAGACAAAGTAAGCATAAACTGCCCAGTGTTCCAAACACGGTAAGCATTCAGTGCCCAGTGTTCTAGAAACAGTAAGCATATCCTGCGCAGTGTTCTAGAAACAATAAGCATACCCTGCCCAGTGTTCTAGAAACAATAAGCATATCCTACCCAGTGTTCTAGAAACAAGAAGCATACCTTGCCTGATGTTCTAGAAACAAGAAGCATACCCTGCCCGATGTTCTAGAAAACTTTAAGCATACCCTATCCAGTGTTCTACTTCTTCTATACAAAGTAGGCATTCCCTGCCCAATGTTCTAGACACAATAAACATACCCTATCCAGTGTTCTACTTCTTCTAGACACAGTAAGCATTTTTGCTTGGATACAGGTTCTGCATCCCTTCTAAAGTATTATATTTTTTGCCATGCAGATCAATTCAAGAAGCGAAGGTCTTTATTCTACTCTACTACATATACAGTTAAAGCAAATCTATTTTATACTTTTATCTCCCGTTGAGTGGAAAACATAGAAGATGTTTCGAAATTAGAATTATATTTTGATATATGAATTGTAAAGATGATAAATTAACTGATATTTTGTAGCCCAATGAGTTAGTACAAGTAGAGACATATTTAAGAAGTGAAGGAGTATTAGTGCGATTCTGGTATCCTATACAGAGTTTAGAGAAACCACCACAAGGTTTACGTAAAGCATCTATATCTGGTGGACAAACTCTAGATACATCTAATATACATATTCACGGGTAAGCGTATCTATACAAATATTTGTGACTGTTGTTTGTTTGTGTCCCGTGTACACATTGGCATGCACGTAAAAGATCCCTTGGCAGTTGGAATTCGATATAAGAGTAGGCCGTAGTGCCGCTGTCCGGGCAAACTTTCCCTCATAGCACATTGTATGGCGTATGCCCGTCTTCATTAGCCCAGTTAGGAGCAGAACAGTAGGACGTTAAACTCCATTTCATTTCATTTGTTTGTTTGTTTGTTTGTTCAAGGTTGGCGGTTACACTAGGGCTATCCCGAGGCTGAAATTTGGTTTTTAGGGGTAGTTTAGATTGGGGATTAACATAGGCCTGGTGGCGTTGGACTATCGCTTCTGTATTAGGAATTATACTACTTTCAACCCGTGCAGCACCAAGTCATCTGCTAGTTATTCTTATTATCTTCACTTCTACTTTTATTGTTATAACACACACAAGTGTACTATGAACCAGGAACTGATCATGATGTCATCATAGCCGTCTTCAAATTGTGACGTGACATGAAGAATTGATGCAGAATTGTCCAAGGAACAAGCATGCCAAACTTCTTGAATTGACAGAGGTCTAGGCTTTTCTCGAAGAGCGTCTCGCCCCCCAAGAACAACAAAAATAAAATGAGTAGCGCAATCCAAAAATATTGACAGAAGAAAAGTATAAATGTAAATCCATGCTAATGAGGTCAAACTAATTTTTCGTCATTTAATTTATTTTGGCCCTAAATACATGATATCTTTCTACTGCGATTTCCTGGGTTTGTATCAAAGTGTAGCCCGAGAAGAACCTTTCAGAATATTTTGCCTCTGTTTCTCAGGGATAACAAGGAAATTATGCCCACATATCATTCAGTTGTTAAGAAAAACAGACTAGTCATAGTACAATCTCTTTCACAGCAGTAATGCGATAGCCTTTTCTTAACTCTGTACAAAATGTGTGGTTTACATCGGACGTAGTAATACAAACTGCTATAGGCAGAATTGGAGTGTTTTACTCATTTTACGCGAACATGTATTATTTTATGTACCCATTTACACTAAACAGGAAATATTTTTTTATCCAGATATACTTAAAACAACTTTATTTATATTTCTAATAATTTAAAATGTTATAGTATTTAATTTGCAGAAGAGAAAAAGTTAATATTGAGAGCTAATTAACTCACCCCGATGTCATCCCTATCAGTGGTATTGACAACCAAGCTAATATTTACTGCTGATCAGTTTGGTCATTGTGTGCTTTTGTAAAATACTTTTTATTGTATATGGTGAGAAATGCTATATTTGCCATAGTAACAACCTTATAAAATGGTTGTTATCAAATATTTATTTTAAATCTAATATTTTTTCATTTTTGTCTTTCAGTGAATTGATTTCAAGAGAGAATTATCTGATGAAACATTTCCTGAGAACAGCTTTCCTCTATCTAATAGAACATTGCAATTCTCCTGGAATGGAGGTGACCAATGATTGCTCTCCACAGGAATCATGTGCTGCCACTCTTCAACAGCTTGATTTAGAAAACATTCAACTATTGGCTGGTGAATTGTTGGCTCCTCCCACTTCAGCAGGCATAATTCAGACTTCCTTAATAGGAACAACTTGTGAACCAAATAAAACTTTGAATACAATGGCTTGTTCATTGAGTAGCATTATGTTTAGTGATGCTAAAAGGTTACAAAGAGAGCTGGCTATTGCAATATCAAGAGCAGCCAATCAAGGAGAAGATTATCTTCTAGAATTGACCAATCAAATTTGCTCTTGTTTACCAGTAAGTGTTCAATCTACATATATCAGATATAGTTTTTATGCAAATCAGTTGTTTTACATGACCAATAGTTAGGCTTGTTATATTGGAATCCAATAATAACATCTCTTTCAGACACTCTTCAATTTTAAACTGGAGTACCCTAGTTGAAATGTCACCCAGCAATAAACATAATTGTATTCCATAGAATTCAGCATTTTCTTCAATTTTGTAATTCTATTTATAGAATGCTCCCGAGATGTTTGCATGTATGGAGTTTCCTGTGAGTAATTTGAAAACTATACAAGATGTAGAATTTCCAGGAGCAGCCTGTCTTGTGGTCTCATGTAAAACAGATCCTAAAGGAGCTAAAAAAGAGTAAGTAATTTATTGATCTGTAAGGTTTTAGGAAAGTTGAGGCATAAACATGCATAATTGATTGATCTGTAAGGTTTTAGGGTAGTGGAGGCATAAACGTACGTAATTGATTGATCTGTGAGGTTTTAGGATAGTTGAGGCATAAACATACGTAATTAATTGATCTAGAAGATAGGTGGTTCAAGGTAATTGTATCCCTTATTATAACCATAATATGGTGTCTTTTAATTTGATGCAAAGACACCATATATGGGAAATGTTTCAACAAGAAAATAAATCTTTTTTGTATTGAAAGTTCAAAATTTTTTATTCTTGTAAATAACACGCACCCTTATTCAGAGAGGACTGCCCAACAAAGCATGTGTTGTATATCAGTTTTTAAGTTAACACTTTAGCTATTAGACTGCCCTAAACTGCCCTAAGTAGGGCTCCTTAGACCACCCCAAACTGCCCTGTATCATGTACTGCTGTGCCCCCCACACAAAGTACTAAATGGTCCTATGTTGCGGAATGCTATTCACATATCATTGGTGGTCTAAGAAATAGCAGTTTCAGACAGTTTCGCTCTGTTCAGGGATGTACCTATATTTTTTCTGTAGTATTCTCAAAGGAATTGGGGTAGTCAATATGTGCATGTTCCAAGTGCGAAAGGGTTTACATCTACTTATAGCTAAATTAAATGGGCATTAGGTAAGATTAGATAAAGAGCTGACATTTCTCGCTATAATAGTTGAAAAATCGATAATGAAAACGGAATATGCTGAAAATTTCAGGCAAATTGCTTCACTCTGAACCAAGATATTAGCGATTCAATGTTAGGCTATCCTTGATCATCATTACTACCATTGGTATGATGATAAAGCAAGTATTGATTATCTACTTTTACGTTAAATTATCCATCACAAAACGTATTCAAATCCACTAAATATCTCAGGCTAACGATGGCATCAAGAGTTGATTATGGTCTTGATAAGTTAATTAATATCTAATTAATAATTTAGATAACATTTCAGGCCTAAAGAAAGACCTGCAATAGACAGATTTAGCTCTTGCATAATGTATGTTTAAGAGCTGTACATCAGTATTTACGGCATCGTGCCATCTTAGTTACTTATCAATTTATCTCTTGCAGGTCATCACCGTATAAATCACCTTGGGCTAGAATAAGTACTCACACAGGCAGACGTGTCAAAAAATCTGGAGAACCTGTCCGTCAACTAGTTGTCAGTTATCCTAATGATGTCACCTCCTCTAGTAATATGAATGAACAATATTGTCCGGCTATAATACCTGGTGATCGTGTAAATGTACGAGTAGGAGTAGCACCTCCTCCTGGTATAATTCTTACAATACATGCTCTACCCTTGCAATTTCTGACGGCCATCACATATCTGGAAACCTTGTTGACAGAAAAATTTGGATGTGGTATGAAGGGCTGTGAACTTCACCGTGGAGAATTTCCACACCAGAAATCCTTTCCAACCCTTGAACAACAGCCTAGTTTATGGAGCTTAGATAATATAACAATAACGCCATCTGTGTTCGGTTACGTAATTGAACAATTGTGTAGCTATATCTGGAGAACAGACATACCAGCTTTAATCAAAGAATTTGTATTTCATATTCTGGCACAGGCATTTAGAATTTTAGATTTTAGCGCTGGTGGACATGGGAATGGCTTGACTCATGTAAATAAAAGATTTAGTCCACTACAAGGTCTCTTGAATAATCTTCCAGTAGAATTAAAGAAATTGTACGAAGACCAGATCAAAGACTGGCAATCAGCTTCAGGAATTGGTGCTTCTGATTCAGGTCGATTTTCAACCTATTTCCATGCCTTGATGGAAGTAAATCTTGCCATATCAGAAGTCAACGATGGCTGCAGTGAGAAATCCGAAGGTGCAACAGCTCCTGAAGTAACAGCTACATCACCAGGTAGCGGAGCAGTTGTCAAAAAGAAGAAACTTAAATCGAAAAAGGAAAGAGAAAGGTCAACGTCTGGAAGAAAGACATCAGCTAGTCCCAGAGTAAGTGAGAGCGATTCATCAACGGCCACGGAATCTCTCGCAGCCAGCAGTAGCAGTAGCTTATCTGTAGCTTCTACAAGTACTGATACAACAAACTTATCAACATCACCCAGTTCTAAACAGTCCAGCTCTACCAGTCTTAAAACAGACGAACAGTCATGGTTTAAAAGAGTGGTTTCAGTCAATACTTTAATCAGGAGTTTGGCTTTTAGTGAAGAAAGTAATGAAAAAGTTTTATCCGAAGCTGTCACAGAGGCTTATAAGGAATTAACAATCCCGTCTGCTCATTCCCGTTTGTTGATTTTAACAGGAATACCAGAACATGTACCCGTAGACAAGATCAAACAGGCTGTTAATAAAGTATGTAGTGTTCATGGAGGACTGGATAAAGATGGCTTATATGTTCCTAACTATGAAATAAAACTACCAGAGAAACCAGGAGAAGCAGCAGAAAAAACAACTCCTCCATGTTCTAACAGATTCGCTGTTATTGCACTACCAGCAGGAGCTAAACTCGAGGCTGTCAAAAAATCATTGTATAAATGTAAACCTATTGTGATTGGTTTAAATAGCGACGAAGAAGGTTTGATTGACATACCAGACGAAGTTCTGTCTATTTCGACAGTCAACTCATCGTTGTTAACGGAAGTCCAGAGTTCTAATATGGCTCTGGAGAACTTTTTATCATATAAACTATACTGTGGTGGACAGATGCAGTTACAAGAGGGCGCTGTCAGATCATTCACGGATATATTCCACAGTTGCTATTTTGTCGCCCAGCAGACTGGAATTGTTGATCTACGATCTGGATTTATTACATTAGAGAAAGAACATATATTGAAGAATTCACAAGATAATATGTTATATTTATTTTTGAACAATATGAGACCACCAAAGAAACCATTAGCCGATCTGGTAACACATATATTATTACAGTATGGTACAGTTAGAACACCTGATAAAGAGGCGTAAGTTGTTTTATGTATCTTCCTTAAATTTAACCTTGTGGGGTTGGGTTACTGGTGGGTGTGATGCAGGCACTTTAAAGTATCTTAAGTCTTTAACTCAATATCATCCACAGTCTTCGACATTGCAAACACGACTTATTGGTCAATTTAAATCAACATTGATGTTGTTATCTTACTGTGAAAAGATGGGCTTCTGTGGCCTGTTTCATAAAATTTTAACTAAGATAAAAATCCAAATTTTAGTAATTTGATTGGATAATATTAGATTGATTTTAGTGCTTAGCCAATCAAAACTGAAGAATTTACTAAAATTGGATTTTATCTTTAACAGGGCCCTGATATCCAATATTTAAGACGCATTGAACATTTTAAGATTGGCACACAAATCGCATGCCAGAATGCTTTTGAGTCTAGTGATATGGTTTCAATTACAAGGTTTTCCCTAGGCCCTCAAGTTTTCCTTCCTACTGCTAAAGACTGAATACAAGTGAATTATTGAAAATTAATTGTACCATATGTTAGTCCTGAAATAACCTCCCCTTTTGTGTATTGTTTTTTTTTTCAGTCAACCACCAAGTGATAAAAATGGAAAGGGTAAACCAGCCAAAAAATCTCCCAGATCTACAAAAGAGAAAGTTGTATTTGGTACACTAGAAAAGTATGTCAAAGTCTTCATTCCTTTTGTTGAAACTATAGGATAAAACACTGGTATTAGTTCTGGCGGGGTTGGATGGCCGAATGGTTAGCATGTGCGTGCTGTATCATAAGGTCTGTTATTGAGTCAACTGGTGTAGTTTAGATTCCCCAGTTGAATGTGACAAGGAGTAGGGTTGCCTGTCCAACCTCATGGGTTTTCTCCAGGTCTTCTGGTTTCCTCCCACTGCTAAAGACCCCTACACGCAAGCAAATTATTGAAATAAAATTGAACCATGTGTTAATCCCAAAATGACCTAGTTTGGATGGATTGAGCGCAATCATAAATGTAAATTATTATTATTATTGATATACAGTACAGTATACCAAAGTTTGATTTAATTGTTATTAAAGTTTACTTTAATTGTTATTAAAGTTTACTTTAATTGTTATTAAAGTTTGATTTGTTATTAAAGTTTGATTTGATTTGTTATTAAAGTTTGATTTGTTATTATTAAAGTTTGATTTAATTGTTATTATTAAAGTTTGATTTAATTGTTATTATTAAAGTTTGATTTAATTGTTATTATTAAAGTTTGATTTAATTGTTATTATTAAAGTTTGATTTAATTGTTATTAGGAATCCTATAAAAGACCGCAAGGTTAAGGGTAAAGATATACCAGAAAAAACATCTAAAGATTTACCTGCATCTTTTAAAGAACTAAAGGTAAACACACAAATAATTATTATTTTTATTTATTTACTTGCAACATATTGAAGTTTACAGTAAAGAGTGAGCAGACAATTATTGACAACACCGTCTTCATTACCCCAGTCAGAGCAGAACAGTAGGACGTTAAACCCCATTATATAGACAAGATTTTTGTTTTGGACAGGTTCGAATTGTTGACATTTCAAAACATGTCTTTGTGGGAACCACAGTGGCTCTGGTTTACCAACAAGGAGGTTCTGGGTTCAGTCCCAGTGTTAGCCAAGCAAGTTTCTCAGGATTTTCCAGTTGTTGCAGGGAAAGGAAAAGTGTCTGGTCATTTGGATCGTGTGATAAACCAAGGTAGATCTGTGTGATTGTTGAAGTGCACATAAAAGAGCCCTTAACAGTTGACACAATTTGTGCATAAAAATAGGAGCCATTTTAGCATATGCAGACCTACATATAATGATTTTACTCTATAAATCAGGACAGACTCTTCTAATTGATACATTCATCAGAGAAAGTTGAGAGTGATAAATTTAGCCTAATTAAAACTTGAACAGTATGCATAAGAAATTTTTTAGATAGCTGGAATTTTATTCTATCTATTTGTGACTGTCGTTTGTCTGCCTGTCTGTCCCGAGGCTGAAATTTGGTGTAATGGTGTAGCTGGGACCAGAGAGTAACATAGGCTAGGTGGCATTGGCCTACTTTCAACCCTTGCAGCGCCGGGTCATCTGTTAGTATTATATAGTATTCAATAATGATGATATTATTTGTAGATTGGTAGTAAAGGAGAAGGCAAGTCGTTAACATTAGATGGTTTTCTACAGTATATAATAGATACAGGACATCAAGATATTAGAAGCATATGGAGAGCTTTATTAGCTACAGGATTTGATTTTCATTATAATAGGTATATGATACTAACATTTTCACTGAACTAAAGCTGATTGAAGGCTATTATCTAGTAATTCTTGAAAAAAAAATGTCCTTTTAACATATTATTTTCAAGAACTTGTTTAACTGTATAAGTTAATATATTTTGTGTTCATTGGTCCACCCACATTGGCTCGGTGAGCAAGGTGCTGGCTCAATAACCAAGAGGTCATGGGAACGATCTTGGTGTTGACCCAGAAATTTCCTCAGGATTTTATCGCCCTGTTCCCCCTTGTCTGTATGAGACAAAAAAAGGTCCTGTGTATATATTGGTGTGCATGTAAAAATTTACATCATAGCACACTGCTTGGCAAATGCTTCTCTTCATTAGCTATGTTAATGTCATGGAATGGAGTGAGTATCCCGTCCATGTTGAATTATGACTTGTGAGTGATAAAAATCATTAGGAGTATGTGAAAATGTACCCCGTTTAAGTGAGGTTATGAGAATACAAATCATTGTGAAATATTGGGGAGGCTAAGTGGGTAAGATACTGGCCTGTAAGTCGGGTGTTCGATCCCTGCATTCGTGTGGGACAGAGGACCTGACAAGGACAGCTGTCTGGATGTTTGGATGGGACAAAAAAACGAGGTCCCGTGTATACGCTGGCATGTACGAAAAAGATCGCTTGGCAGTTGGAATTCAATATAGGAGTAGGTGATAGTGCCGCCACCCGTGCAAAATTTCCCTCATAGTACACTGTACGGCATTGTGCCCATCTTCATTAGCCCAGTCGGAGCAGAACAGTAGGACGTTAAACCCCATTTCATTTCTGTGAGATATATTTGTTTTATTTATCCCGTGTACACATTGGCGTGCACGTAAAAGATCCCTTGGCAGTTGGAATTCGATATAAGAGTAGGCCGTAGTGCCGCTGTCCGGGCAAAATTTCCCTCATAGCACACTGTATGGCGTATGCCCGTCTTCATTAGCCCAGTTTAGGAGCAGAACAGTAAGACGTTAAACTCCATTTCATTTCATTTTTGTTTTATTTATCAGATGTTCCTGTACTGATATAAATCAAGCTCAACAATTAACTAAACAATGGACAAGAGAGATGGATTCAGCTTTAGTTGTATATATTAATCAACTAACACGTCAACTAGCTGTAGGATCAGCTAGATTACATCCACATGAAATTATACTGTCTGAGTCTGATCTAGCTTCAGATAAATATGTCAAATTACAAGGTATAGTTGTTTTAATGGGACAAATTAAATATGAGTTTTATTATAAGGCAAATGGATGACATAATTATATGAATTCATGAAAGTTTTCTTAAAATTTTAAAAAGTCATTGTCATTATATCATTTTGAAACAGGAAGCACCAATCATGAAAAAACACTGTCAGCAAAAATATTGCAAACAGGTTAATTCTTTAACTTATTTTTATACGTCCGTCCGTCCACAATTTGTTTGTGGACACTCTACAGGTCACAATTCTTATCCGATTTTGACGAAACTTGAAATATAGGTTTATCTCCAAAAGATCTCGGTTCCTTTCGATATTGGCATGTATTGGATTGAAACTTCATGGATTATGGCCCCTGTTTGTATGAAAAATCACGTTTTTAGCTTGTGGACACTATAGAGGTCATAATTTTTATCCGATTTTGTTGAAACTTGAAATGTAAGTTGATAACCCAAAGATCTCGGTTCCTTTCGATATTCGCGCATATCGGACCATAACTTCCTGAATTATGCCCCCTGATTGTACGAAAAATCGCGTTTTTAGCTTGTGGACCCTATAGAGGTCATAATTTTTATCCGATTTAAAAAAACGTATAATTATATCACCGTTACACCCTAAGGACGGCTGAGTTCGAATTTTGTAAAATTCAGCCCAAAATTGACAGACAAAATGGCAGCCCTTCGTTCTCAAATAGCGTAAAAACATGGCAAATCAAGGTTGTAGACCCTATAGAGGTCACAATTTTTATCTGATTTTGTTGAAACTTGAAATGTAAGTTTATAACCCAAAGATTTCGGTTCCTTTCGATATTTGCGCATATCGAATTGTAATTTCCTGAATTATGGCCCTTGATTGTAGGAAAAATCACTTTCTTTTTAGCTTGTTCTCTATCCATCTCTCGAAAATGTGGGCGTATTCTGCCTGGCAGCCGCTGGTTATTTCACTCTTTGAGTGAATGCCCCCCGAGATGGATACCTTGAGTCGTCACCCTCACTACACAAATCGCTAAATTTAGTAACTGGATAGAGCAATATACTAGAACACATATACAGATATATATTTCAGTTTGTTTTTTACACTCTCGATGGCCTCTACTACATGAAGATCTGACCGGTTGTAGTGGAAGGTTACGTCAGACGTCATACGAGCAGCTTTTGACCCTATGACGTCAGACATTTGATTAACCAATCAGCGTTGATGTTTCTAGTGGCTTACCCACAGTTCCGCGCACCTCACTCCAAAAACTTGCCGTAACAAGACCGTTTCATTGACTCATCCCTCGCGTCATGCAGAATACAGGTTATGTAACAACTCTTCTAGAATGTGGTAAAAGACCAGTAAAACGAAATTTTGAACTATAAAAAAATGAAACGAAAAAGGATCTGTGTGTGCTAAATAAGTAATTATTTGATAAAATTTTATGTTGACTTGATTTACAGGTGTACCACTAGAGAGTATAAGATTACGATTTGCTCTACTACAGAAAATCAACGTTCATCTTGAGTCTTTCTTCTTACCACTAGTTGACCTTCGACCTTATTCTACATTTAGTCGTAGTACAGCGCATGTGATATCTAAGATAAGAAATATAATATTCTATGATTTGAAGAATAACCTGGTTAATAGAATATTAAATGCTACGGCATTACGTAAACCTGATCAAGCTGCACCAGAGATAACTCTAGATCCTTTAGAGACTATCGGAGGTTAGTAAATTATTTTATTGTCTACACTTAATAAATAATGAACCACGGTTGAAAAATTCTGTTTCACTAATATGAAAAGAAATGATTTTTTATCTTCAAACTTCTATGTTGACTCAGAAAACCCCAGATTTGCTTAACATCATGCTTTAGACACGCCCTTTCTCGATATTAAAAGGTTTAGTCAAAAATATGTGCCTCATGTGCCGAAAAAGACAGTACATTACCCATTAACATTACCCCAACCCAGATGAAAAGCTAATATGTTTTACTTATCATTTCTTGTCTTCTGCCATTTCTGAAACCACCAAGTAAACATATCTCCTGTAGCTGCTGCTTTCTTGTAATATTTTCAATATATTTTGTTTTTAGATTTACTTTATTATGTCAAGTAACATGTTATATTTTACCTGTATATTTATATATTATAGGAGAGAAGAAGTATAGTTTTTCTACTGTATATTGTCAAGCATATAGACAGTTATCTAATATACCATCTAGTAGATTATGTGTAAGATTAGCTAGTGGTGGTGATCCTACATATTCCTTTAATGTTAGATTGACGGGAGAAGAAGTTCATGGAAACAGTAAGATATCTATTTAATAAGGCAGGGGTGGGTGGCTGAATAATTATCATAAGGTCTGTCATTGAGTCAACTGGTTTGATTTCGACAATACTTCAAAAATATCTGATGCATTAGGGAGATTTTTATTTTATTTTATTTTTGGGGGGGTCAAGAATCATTTGGCTAATTAACTTATGAATATGAATGTGGCAATTATGAGACTTTTTATGTTGTATGTGTTAAAATGAAAACAGGCCATGTGGTGCTGTGGTTGGGAAGTATCTGGAACGATAATATTTTTTTTCATGGACTAATATTAGACATTTACACTACGCTCAAGTTAATGGTACCTGAAGCAAAAAACACAAACCTATTTTTAAACGACAGGAAAGTAATGGAATTTGATGTCAACACAATATTTTGGTTATTTTCAGCCTGAATTATATTTATTATGTGTACATTGAATTTTAACAGACAAGGGTTGTTTTCCAATTTTTTATTTGTCGACTGTGCAGGCACTACTCCTGATGAGTAGGAACAGAAGAAAATTCTCTTTCCTCACATTGCATACGAAATTAGAATTACCATATGTTGGTCTTAAAATGACCAAAGTCTTGTGTCTATGGGATGTTAAAACCCCATTCCTTTCCATTGTTACCATTCCTATATTAGGATATAAACACCTAAATTATATAAATATTGTTCAGTAATTATTGTCCCAGTTATTATACTTCAATACTTTCATTCTGTTTTGTAGGTGGTTCATTCCGACATTTCTTGGGGCAGATAGCCAAAGAATTACAAAGTTCCGCCATCTCTTTCCTTGTTCCGTGTCCTAGTTCATCAACAGGTATCAACAGAGGAAAATGTTTCCTGAAACCAGGTAAAATGACGTATCCAGAGGAAAAACTTCTGCAATTCCTTGGACAAGTAAGTTCTTAATATTGATTTCTGTTTAAAAGAAGTAATTGTAGTATTTAAGGAAAAATATGAAATTATTGCGAAATGTCTACTAAAAAAGATCATCTCTATATATTTTATCTTGTGAAATAAAAGAAATGAAATAAAATTGTGTGCACTGATTGGGCTAAGGAAGATTTCAATTTATAACTGTCATGGGATCCTTAATGTGCTGCCAATGCTATACACAAAATCTTGTATTTTTTTTCGTACCAATTGAACGATTAGACACTTGTTCTTGATAAGAAAAAGACGGGGTGGGGGAGATCTTGTGGTTTACAGTGTGCATGAAATCATAAGGTCTGTCATTGAGTCAAGTGGTGTGCGTTCAATTCATCGCAGACAAGGAGTACCTTGTTGGTTTTCCCTTGATCCTCTGATTTCCTCCCACTACTAAAGACCCATACACACAAGTGAATTATTGAAATGAAATTGAAGCATGTGTTAGTCCCAAAGTGACCTATTTCCATCTCTAGCTTATGAATTCTGTTGTTTATTGTTTTGATTGTTTTATTTACCTAGTTATTGTATTTTTCTTATAGTTATTAGGAGTAACAATGAGAGCGGACATTCCACTAGAATTAGATATTGTATCATCATTCTGGAAATGTTTAACATCAAAAACTATTGATCCTATAACAGACATACATGAAGCTGATATACTTACTTATAATTATATCAAAAAAATAGAAATGGTTTGTACAAATTTGAACATTTACCTCCATAAAATTATCTGGTTGAATATATAGCTAAATTTCTACTAACTGATGGATTGAGCCTCAAAATTGTTGTGACAGACATGCACTGAATAATGTCTACATCTCTGCTACTCTTGGGAGTTTTGCCATTCCCCCTCCCCTTTTACAATTTCTACATCTGTCAGCTGTCTGTCCAGCCTATGATAGTATTTTTAGGGGATTTTTGCCGTTCCACCTCCCCTTTCTCAATTTATACATGTATTTGTTAGGATGATGTAATCATCTTTTATATGGACAGGTGTTGGACTGATTTAAAGTTTAGATGATGAGTAGACTGGAACTCAACTGGCTTGTGAAATTCTCCCCTGCAAAAATTATAGTTAGTCCTAAGGTTTTGTATAAAAGAACATCAAGTTAACATTAAGTGTTCTTTAATAGATATCAAAATAACATATTTGGCAAATGGTGTCTACAAAAGTCTATTCATATTAGACTGGCAAACCCAGCTTGGGAATCGCTGGGACTGCACTTTTGGTACAAAACTGTAAAGGCAGACCCTGTGAGGAGAGGCAGTTGTAGGTGGCATCTGTTGAATCTGAGTTAGTTAAATTTTGCACCATGTTTGCTATAGACTTGTAAAATTTGATAAAAACAGATAATAATGTATTTTTAAGGGGAAAATATTAAGCTACAACTTAATAAAATGCCCAATATAACTGTGGGTTGAAAAGTATGTTTGGGTATTGAACATTTCATGAACTCAAGTGATGATATTATATTTGAATTATTACAGATTGAAACAGAAGGTGAATTACAAGCTTTATGTAGTGATGTATATCCTAGATTTGTTTATTCTTCATTGATGGGTGATGATACGGAACTTATACCAGGTGGTCATAATATACCTGTCAGGTACGGCATTATCTTATATTATACAAACACCTGTCAGGTACGTCTATATCTTACATATACCTGTCAGGTATGTCATTATATTATATAAAAACACAGCATTATACCATACATACATATACCTGTCAGGTAGTCTTACACCATAACATATACCTGTTTGGTACCACATTATCATATATTATACACATAGGCGTACGGGGAAATTTTTGACTTGGGGGCGGTGGTGGTTGGTGCCCAAAAAATGTAGTTAGGTTCTTAGTATGTTACATAATAATAATAAATTCTCTGTTAAATTGGACACATTCAAGAACACAATAGCTTTTTTTATACAACTTTTACAAAATACAATTGTGTGCCCAAATTTTCCCAGCATTTGGTGCCCAAAATGGGGGGGGCGGCCGCCCCCCAGCCCCCCCAGCTCGTACGCCTATGATTATACAAACACTTGTCAGGTATAGCATTATCATACATATACCTGTCAGGTACATCTTATACCATACATATACCTGTCAGGTACATCTTATACCATACATATACCTGTCAGGTACATCTTATACCATACATATACCTGTCAGGTACATCTTATACTATACATATACCTGTCAGGTACATCTTATACTATACAAATACCTGTCAGGTACATCTTATACCTGATAGAAAGCAATCCTTAATTGCTATTGTACATAATTGCTTATTAAAATATTCTCTTTTCACTGGCTTGATTATAGTCAGTTCAATAAGTGACACTTTTTATTGTCAATCATTATGGAAATTTATAAAATAAAGTTTGTACTAATCAGTTATAATCTATATTATAGTTGGAACAATCGTCACAAGTATGTAGAAGCTATACGTAATCTACGGTTAAAGGAATTATTGAATGTAGGAAGAATGGAGTGTTTAAAGACAGGACTAGCATCTATTATACCAATACAGTTATTAAACCTATATACACCAACAGATCTAGAGATTAGAACATGTGGTTTACCAATTGTTAATTTACAATTCTTAAAGGTATTTAATTTATATCATTCATTGGTCTAGAATTATACTCCGCGTAAGTTTTCACTTTCACTTATCACACCAAAACAGTCCAAGATAGTATTATATTTGGCATTAGGTGCGTTAATTTAGTTAAAATAAAAGATTTTCTAAAATGTTTTTATGGTCCTATGATTCTATAAAAAAAGTTTTATGGCCCTATGATTTTTTAAAAAGGGTTCTATGGCCCTACAATTTTATAAAAAAGGTTTTATTGCCCTATGATTTAAAAAAAAAAACAACAACTTTTGTTAGGGCCCTATGCTTGTATAAGCAATATTTTATGCCCTGTAAATGAATGAAATGGGTTTAATGGCCCAATGTGTCTAAAATAAAGTCATTATTAATTGTGGTAACAAATTGTCAATATTTTCATAAATGAGACTGGGAAAGTCTTGCGATAAAATAATAAATAAAATATTTCCAAATATCAGAAATTATTAGCTATTTAAACTTTTCAGGGGTAGGGGGTGGATGGCCAAATGGTTAGCGAGTGCGCGTTGTATCATACATAAGGTCTGTCATTGAGTCAACTGGCATGATTTCAATTCCCCGGTTGTACGTGACAAGGAGTAGGGTCGCCTGTCCAATCTCGTGGGTTTTCTCCGGATCCTCCCGCTGCTAAAGACCTGTACGAGTAAGCGAACTATAGAAATAAAATTGAACCATATGTTAGTCCTGAAATGACCTACTTTGTGTTGAGTGGATGTTAAACCCTCTCTCTCTCTCTTTTTAAACTTTCCAAATTGTGAGAAATGGTATCAGGTGTTCTAGAAAGAGTGTGCTAATGTACATATTTTTTTATCTTCAGATGCACACTATGTATCAGATAGGATTAACAGATACAGATCCTCATATAGAATATTTCTGGGAAACATTAGAAAGTTTTACACCAGAAGAATTAGCTAAATTTATTAAATTTGCTTGTAATCAAGAACGAATACCTCAGAGGTGTCCGTGTCAAGATGGAGGATTAGAATCGGCACATGTTCCACCATATCCAATGAAGATTGCTCCTCCAGATGGAACAGGTAATAAACATCATAACTATTAGTAACGCTAGCTCAAAATATCTGATGTTGATATTGTTAGTAAAGCCAGCCCAAAATATCCTATGTTGATACTGTTAGTAAAGCTAGCTTAAAATATCCTATGTTGCCACTATTAGTAAAGTCAGTTGCCAGTTATTAATAATCCTTATATTGGCTGACACCATTAGTAAAGCCAACCTAAAATATCCTATGTTGAAACCAGGGCTTCCACTTTAAACTTTTAACTGTCAATCATTTTTGATAATAATAATACACAGAAACTTTACAATTTACATTCATTTTTCATGTTTTTATTTATAATATGGTATTGTGGATTCATGTGTCCAAACCACTTTGGCATAGTAGGACCAACATATCCTATGTTGCCACTATTAGTAAAGGAGGTCCACAATATTCTATGTTGACACTATTAGTAAAGCCAGCCCAAAAAATCATTTGCTGACGCTATTAGTAAAGCCTGTCCAAATTATCCTATGTTGACACTATTAGTAAAGCCAGTCCAAAATATCCTATGTTGACACTATTAGTAAATCAAGCCGAAAAGAACTATTGGAACTATTAGTAAAGTTAACCCCAAAATTTTACGAACAAGCACACTACAATTTAAAGAGTAAGCTATCAGATAATTATTAGATCACAAGAATGATATGGGACTGACTGTATTTATAAAATTTCATACATGCAGATATTTTTCTAAGATATGAAATCTAATTTTATTTCAGGTCCAGCCGATAAGCGTTACATTCGTGTAGAAACATGCCTGTTTATGATAAAACTCCCACAATACAGTAGTCAGGAAGTGATGTCAGACAGGTTACGATATGCGATCAACTGTCGTGAAGATCCTCTCAGTGGCTGAATTAAATGTTCAAATCCACCACAAGCCTTGTGATATTTCCGCTTACACAAAATTCAGCTTCAGTGCTTCATATTTTATCATTGTTTTTTTTTTATATATACAAAGCTTGAAGCTTATCATTGATTGTGAACACCGGTTTCATAGATCGTGAATACCAGTTAAATCTATTTAAGACAAGATATATCTTTAATTTTATATTTTTTGAAGATTTCATGAGTATATATAAAAAACGTTTTCACTCTTCTAAAAGATAAATATCGCGGTTGTTCTATTTGGAATATACACACAGTAATTTTACACGAGACTAAGGGCCAATATCTTATTGATGGTGGGATCAGTTGGATCTTATTGATGGTGGGATCAGTTGGTTTTATGCATAATTAGTTAACTAATGACAAGAATTTGATATTAAGAGTGCCTAATGTAAAATTAAACTTATATATTCTTTATATTTTTTCAATAATTTATAGATAAAACTGATTTTAACCAATGTTAACTTAGAAAATATTATCTTATCAGTCTAATATGTAATTAGGCAAAGACAAATGTCATAACATATTCAACATTTAAAATAATGTTCTAAGTTCATATGTGACCTGTCATAGCAAAATGAGTTGGATATTGTTAAACAAAATTCTTTATTGAATAGGGGGTTGGATGGCCGAATGGTTAGCACGTGTGTCATTGAGTCAACTGGCGTGGTTTCGATTCTCCGGTTGTATGCGACAAGGTGTAGGGTCACCTGTCCAATCTCATGGATTTTCTCCGGTTTCCTCCCACTGCTAAAGACCCCTACGTGCAAGCAAATTATTGAAAAAAAATTGAACCATATGTTAGTCCCGAAATGACCTGTTTGTGTCGAGTGGACATTAAACCCTGTCTCTCACTCTTTTTTTTTTTGAATATGATATTTTCATCATATTGTTTAAACTAATAATGTTCAAAATTTTGATTATAAAATATTATTGACAAGAAAACAATGTGTTCTATATAATGATTCCAGTGTAACCAGATATCATATCTATTAATAACTACAATTAACTGAAAGTTTATGCAAGGCTTTTGTTCAAATATTATGATGTGTATATTATATATACTAATAACATTTTGTTGATAATATGAGCTTTAAAGATGGGTTCCCGCGTACAAACTGGGTGATTTAATGGTATATATGGACCAAAAACATATTCAAACTAATTAATTTGTCATAATTATGCTTCAAATCCTTCTCAAACATTGTAATTGCTAAGGAATGCCCTGCTACTAAAATTCGATTAAACCAGGTCATGTTTACGTCACGTCTTGGGAGTCAGAGGAAAATTCATTGCATACATAAGACGATGTTGTCTTTAATCGCTTACTATTTATTACAAATATCGAATCCTAATTAAATTCTTGGATTATCCACTACCCGCGTCTTTTTCCGTCATTTTTATCTCAGAAAGTATTGTACGTCTAACTCTTCATAAAGTTTATCAACTTGTACATCAAGCACTCAAGGTTCGCTTGTGACCTTTGACATCACGCGTGCAGAAGTTCCTAATCGTCGGACTGTTGATTAGGGGAACCCTTACATTTTTGTCCTGTATACGCTCCATGAGTGTTTTTCGGGGAATCCAGTATTTTTCTAGTAAGATTGGATATCTCTACTTTCCATATATACCAAAATTGCCATACTTTTATTGGAAATAACCACCCGATAAATACTTTTCTGGGAACCCATCTTTAAACGATATAGCACTGTGTGTTCAAGCTTATCATTTTGAAGAATCTGTTCGTATTCTTGGCATTTTTGTAAAACATAAGATCTCTTTAGATTTACAGGTAGTTGTATGGTATCAAAATCCCAACAAAATATCAGACTGCTGTATAAAAATATAACATATATTGGCAGAGTGTACAACTAAATCTAAAACAATTTCATGCTTCACAAAATGTCTCTATTGTATTTAGTCTTGCTCAACCAGATTCTCAATCCAATATATATAATTAGATCACTCTTGACAACCTAGTCTATGACTTACATACTTTAAACAAACAATACTATTTGCTCAGAATTTAAAGTCAGTTTTCCAGTATAAATTAATGTGGCTTGGAGATAGGGGCGCCTTCTCAACCTCGTGGGTTTACTCCGGATACTCCGGTTTCCTCCCACAGGAAAGACCCCTGCGCGTGCGCTAAGATAATGAAAAAAAAAAGACAACTTGTCTGCGATATCACCTTCGGTGGAAGCGGACGTTAAACACTAACAACAACAATAAATTAATGACCTACCTGTACTCCAATCCATCTCTCTCTCTCTGGTTATCATGAATGACCTACTAGGGTAAATGTGTTATATTACTGAGTGGTCTGGTTGATGAAAATTAGCTATATTTTAATTAATGATGTATATAAATGTATATTATGAATGGTATTTTGTATGATAGTAAAACTGAATAACTAATAAAGCTATTTATTTGATTAGTTAATTAATTAATTATTGATTTATTTTCCTATAATATGTTTTGAGTTATTTTTTTTGACCATATATTTGGTAGTTTACTGTATATTATTATTATTATAGTATATTTTAGTTTATTATTATGACAACTCGTTAACTTTATATTATGTTTGTATATATAAAACATCTTTAAATTGGTTGTAAAGATTTTTATATTGTTATATTATTATCAACAAGTTTTTTGTTCAACCCCCAGATGTGTATTATATTTGACTAGCATCAAAGTGCTGAGTATAATGAAGGCTTTCTGCCACTAAGCTCCTTCCCCATTTGTTTATGTTGTTATTGAAGTGAAAATAGAATAATAAAATATATCAGTTGAAATATATATTTTTTATTTGTTACTTTTTAGCAGTCACGTACTTATAATACAGTTAAATGCAAAAGATGACTCCAACCCTCCCTCCACTGATCGTATCTTAATTTCTCCAACACTATCTATGATATAATATCACACTATTTAATAAAGTTAGTATATCACACTATGGTATTATTATATTATGGATATTATTTAATATCCGATGTAGACTCAATATTTTCTTGAGCAGTCTCCTCGAATCTACTGAAATATCTGTCCATGTAATGTACCGTCTCGAACACAACCTGTAAATACAGTAACAGTATATTCACTATAAACAATCATTCATGAAATAAAATGGGGTTTAACGTCCTACTTTTCTGCACCGATTGGGCTAATGAAGACTGGCTATGCTATGGGGGAAATTTTGCGTGGACATCAGCAATACGGCCTACTATTATATCGATTTACAACTGTCAAGGGATCTTTTAGGTGAACCCAACCTGTGTATGGAACTTGGGTTTTTATCCCATCCAAACAACTAGACACTTTTCTTGTCATGCCCTCCGACCTGCACAACTGATAAGGGGAAACTACGCTGGCAAATCACAATGCCAAATTGTACATTAATGTACAGTAATACATTTTTGGTGATCTCGTCTGACAGACATTATTAAAACAAGATTGGGTGAATTTGAAAAATATTAAAATATAGTAGACATTAAGTTGCCTGTATGTACATACCTCTACCATAATAAGTACTATAATCATCCATTCTAATCTAACATGATGTGTATCATTTAAATGACTACTTAATAATTCGGTTAATTCACAACAATGTTTTATTCTTTCATTTAAAACCTAGAATAATAAAACACAGACATGTGAATACAGAATACACCGCTAACAGCAACCTCAAATTGATCATTACCAGGTACTTCAAAAGTCAAGTATAGACTCATCTGTATGATTAATCACCGAGTTATTATTCTTGATTTATAAATCTTTAATTTAGCTTTGTGTAAGATTTAGATCGAGAGCTGCCCGCTCTTACTATAAATGTTCAAAAATAAACAATGAAAGATAGGTTGCCAGGCAACGAAACATACGCCCACAGCAGCTAAATCGTCCGAGCGGTCGACAAGGGTTGTCGCATATTTATTCCTTTGCAGGTAATTGGGGGCCTTTACAAGACAGTTCCATACAGATCAGATTATAATTTTTGCCGTTTGAGGGTTCACAAGGTTCTACAAACTGAAACAAGGGTCTGAACTATTGAAGTAATCTACAGAAATTGTGAAAATTTAACAGGCTTTTTTGTTTTACTAATTTAAATAATACATATAAATTTCATACAGATCAGATGATCATGTTTGTCATTCAAACATTCACAAGGTTCACAACCGCCATAACTCTAGAAATTATTGACGGAAATTGCTGAAATTCAATAGACCTCTGTTTCACAAACTGAAATGATGCATATAAATTTCATACATATCGGATGATAACTTTCATCAACGAGCCATAACAAGGTTGAACAAAGTGAAACAAAGGCAATAACTCTAGAAGTATTAAAAGGAAATTGCTAAATTCAATAGGATTCTTCTCTCTACTAATTTAAATGATGCTTGTAAATTTCATACAGATCGGCAGATAACTTTTGATGTTAGAGTGTTCACAAGGTTCAATAAAGTGAAACAAGGGCCATAACTCTAGACTTAATGAACAGAAATTATTGAAATTAAATAGGCTTCTTCGTTTCACTAATTTAAATCATGCATATAAATTTCACAACAATTGGGTGATAACTTTTGGCGTTAGAGTGTTCACAAGGTTCAATAAAGTGAAACAAGGGCCATAACTCTAGACGTAATAAACAGAAATTGATGAAATTCAATAGGCTTCTTCGTTGCACTAATTTAAATAATGCATATAAATTTCAGAAAGATAGGATGATAACTTTTGGGGTTAGAGTGTTCACAAGGTTCAATAAAGTGAAACAAGGGCCATAACTTTAGACGTAATAAACAGAAATTGATGAAATTCAATAGGCTTCTTCGTTGCACTAATTTAAATAATGCATATAAATTTCAGAAAGATAGGATGATAACTTTTGGGGTTAGAGTGTTCACAAGGTTAAACAAAGTGAAACAAGGGCCATAACTCTGAAGTAATAAACGGAAATTGCTGAAATTCAATAGACTTCTTCGTTTCCCTAACTTTAATATTGCATATAAATTTCACAAAGATCGGATGTAAACTTTTGGCATTAGAGCATTCACAAGGATCAATAAAGTGAAACAAGGGCCATAACTCTAGACGGAATAAATGGAAATTATTGAAATTAAATAGGCTTCTTCAACTCACTAATGTAAACAACATATATCAATTTCAAAACAACTGGATGATAACTTTTGGCGTTAGAGCGCTCACAAGAATTTGTGGACGATGGACGAACGGACCGACGGACCGACAGACGGACGGACGGGGGCGACGACAATATACGTCCACATTTCTATGTGGGCATATAAAAATGAGTATCAGCCAAATTACTTTATCCTGAGCGAAGTTATAAGTTTTCACAATATACTCTTGATTGTTAAACAAAATCTTGATTATCCATTTTTACATTAAATTATTAATTGGAAATTGTCTTTTAATCCCTTCAAAATCACAGCGGCCATCTTATGGTCTAGAGCAGTGATTCTCAACCAGTGTGCCGTAGCACACAGGTGTGCCACGAGATCTTCCTAAGTGTGTTGCGAAATTTTGAATGGCACACTAAGAATATGTGAAAAACCATGCGATCCCAATTGAGTATTCACTGGTGTCCACTGATAAGTTCATAGCTGTGTTTTCTTTATTTAGTTTGAGTCATTCTATGTGTCTATGACTAGTCTCTGTCTACGGATGTATTCCATCTGACTTACCATGTTTTTTTGAGCAAAAAATTCAAATATTTTTCATATATATTTAGCCAGGTGTACCGCTATTTTTTCATGTGTTCCAAGGTGTGCCGTTGGCAAAAGAAGGTTGAGAACCACTAGTCTAGAGAGTTGATTATAAGCTTGTCATGTGAATAAATAGTCTAAATAATAATTTATTTTATAACAATTGAAGACAAAATAAAGATCTGCAATAGGCAGATTTAGCTTTTATATAATGTATTACATGGTGCGCGTGAGCATGACATGAAGATAGGCGCGCCTTCTAAACCTTGCTGGTTTACTCCTGGTACTCGGGTTTCCTCCGACAGGAAAGACTCCTACCCATGAGCTAAATATAATAAAATAAGACTTGTCTGCAATATCACCCTCGGTGGAAGCGTACATTAAACCTTAAGAACAACAACCGGGTGAATGTCAGTTGATAAACCAACTAGGAAGACATCAATTGGACATATATTTTATTAAAAATACTACCTTAGTTCTTCTGGCTATAATAAGATGATTACAAACACGTTGATATAAAGTTTCTAATATATCTCGATCCCAGTAAAAGTCGGGTGTATCCAGTAAATCAGAACTCAGATTTATTTCATGCCTGAAAGAAAACATAGGTTGCCAGACAATTAACCATACATCCACTGTAATAATTTCTAAATAAATATGCATACTTAACAATTAGTCTGTTAAGAGACTAGTTTAAAAATTGTCTTGGAGGACAAGTCCCGGAGCCCCATTTTGTCCACGCTGTGCTCACAAGAATTTACCCATTTCATTCAATTCATAAAGACTAATAAATTTTACTCTGTGCAATTGCTCATAATCATACCGTAAAGCAAAAAGTTCTCCTGTTTTTCGTAGCACGTCTCTTCTTGACATTTTGATTTTTTTCCCATCTCGTAGATCCTATCAAATAAAAGTAAATTACTGGTATATGGGTAATATGATATTACTAATATCAATTATGATTTTGAACAGAGAGAGAGAGAGAGAGAGAGAGAGATGGGTGGTGTTTAACATCCACTTGACACAAACTAGGTCATTTCGGGACTAACATATGGTTCAGTTTAACTTCAATAATTCACTTGCAGGTAGGGGTCAATAGCAGTGGGAGAAAACTGGAGAACCCATAGAAGTTGGACAAGTGACTCCTTGTCACGTTCAAGCAGGTAATCGAAACACGCCACTTGACTCAATGACAGACCTTATGATCCAACACGCACGCGTTAACCATTCCGCCACCTATCCCCCTAATTTTTAAGAGAAAAGGCACACTGTTGTATAGGCATACAAGATCAATATCTTCATCAGTCTTACAGGTAGATTTAAATACAAAGATAGGTTGTCAGGCAACAAAACATATACCAACTTCAGCTAATTCATCAGAGCTGCCTATAAAGGTTGTCACATTGTGAATCTTTAGATCAATAAAAAGCAAATACTCTATACTGTAAAATATTGCATGCACGTTGACAAAATGTTATCATAATCAAAGACATTATTGACACGAAACTGTTGTAATTGTTATTCAACAGAACAATTTAAACAAAGAACATAAATAGAAAGCATCAGATGGCGACTTTCACAAGATCCTACAGAGTGAGCCATAACTCCTGAACCAAATACCAGTAATGGAAATTTTTGAAAAATGTGCCAAGCTGTTTTATTTCACTACTCTGATGATAAATTTTGTTACCTGAGAGTTCTCAAAATTGTGTGCCAGAGAGTTCTCAAAATTTTACATAGTGTTCAAGGGCAATAAGCCTGGAGTTGTGACATGTATGTACTATTTACATTTATGTACATACCTCTGTAACTTGTTCAATAGAAGATATAAAGGTTTCTAAAGAAGCTTCCCAAATTGCTAATTTTACTACAAAAAATATAATAACATTACATTTACATTCAACCAGCAAGGTAGCAAATACTTCTGTTTTCTGACCAGCAGACATTCAGGTCAACAGACTTTCAATGGAATATTGTCAGAAAAATGGAAATTCAGACTATAGCTATGTAGTGCAGTATTATAGACCAAACCAGTATAATTTTCAGTCCATCTTTTTGTGTGATGTTTTGGTGAAATATCAAAATTTAAATATTTGGAACTAAACGCTTTTGAGTAGAGCACCTAAGTTCTTTTTGTTTTTAAATTAGTTATTTTCCTGAAGAAATTGGAGGCAGGATTTTAATAGGTATTCCTATTGGTGCGGCATTAAGTGAACGTAATAAAGTACCTGATTGTGTTAAGGCATTTGAACAGGTATATTTCTCTAGATTTAATTCTTCATTAGTTTTATTGACAGTACATAAATTAATTTTATCTCCGGATAGATCTGTTATTCCTCTGCAATATAAAAATATAAGGTATTACACACAATGATAGTTACATATATAATACATACATAACAATTTCTGATGACCTAATTTATGCATAAATTTAAATTTATAAATGTAAAAATGGTTCACCAATATAATCTATTTGACTTACTCAGAAAGTTGAAATTCCATTCGTTCATTTTCATGCAGTGAAAGACTAATATCATATGGGTCTTCACAATGTTTCTGTACAAATCGTATAACTTCATTTCTCTGAAATAAATAATGGGTGAACAGCAATATTACACAATTTTGTGTGGAGGTCAAAAAATTGTTTTCTGGATGTATGGAAGCAATTAAATCAGACGTTTAAACTCAAAATATATAATTTTTAAAATTATGACATTAATTATTGGCAACCAAGCATCAAAATGATCTTATTTATAAATAATAATCATGCAAACAGTGAATATAGACCAAGTCATTAAATATTCCAGATGTCTTCTTAGGGGTTTGAATGGCCAACTGCTTTAATGTGTGCTCTTTATATCAAAAGATTTGTCTTTGAGTTAAGTGGTGTGATTTCAAATCCCTGCTTGTATTTGACAATAGAAATAGGGTCGTCATTCCAATCCTGTCGAATTCTCTGTGTACTCTAGTTTTTCACTCACTGCTATAGACCCCTACGTGCAAGCAAATTAGTGAAATAGAAATGAACCATATGTTAGTCCAGAAATGGCCTAGTTTGTGTAGACTGGATGTATAAGCCCATTTCTCTCTCTCTCCCTCTTGGTGGGTTAAAATTGCATTATATGTATATTTCTTGGATGCATAAAGTTTTAAAATTACCTCAGTGGTAGGTAAATTCCAAAATACAACCGACCCTTCTCTGAAAACAAAATAGACCATTTTAATAAATATAAAAACTTAAGTAACCAAATGTAAAATTTAACAACTTTGGAATTAGATATTAATAATTTAAACATACATTATGCAAGACCTAAATCTTCCTATTGCAGGTCTTTCTTCAGGCCTGAAATGTTTTCTAAATTATTAATTAGACATTAATTAACTGATTCAGGCCATAATCAACTCTCGATGGCATTGGATTTCTCTGATATTAAATAGATTAGAACGGTTCACACACATTTTGATTTAATCTAAAAATGGAGGAGCGGGACTTCGGACAACGAGTACGGTGGTTGAAATTATTGCACACGTCTTATCAAACCTTCAAAGGCTAATATCTTTGCTCGCAATAGAGTAATTTGAATGAAATTTTCAAATTATTCATTTTACATGATCTATTTTCGAACTATTATAGCAAGAATGGCTAGCTCTTTATCTAAATCTTACCTAAATCTTACATAATGTATCTTTAAATAGTAAAATAAAATATGTGTACAATAAACTTTGTTTCATGACCCCTCACCAAGGATGGAAATAGCAGTTAAAGATGACATGACAAAATAACAGTCACTACTGAATTAATACCTGACAGAAAAAATATTTATCTGTTCTAGACAAAATGACAGGAACTAATGGGTTTTATGCTTGACAGGCGCCTTGCATGTCTTCCCAGCTCACACCAAACTTAGGCTTCCTGTCTACAGTTAGCTCTGATTAAAAACAGACACTAAGCTAGTTAACCAACATTTTAAGTCCTAAATCGACCTTTTTAGTCGAAAACGCTGTGTATACTTCGAGAATTTTGCTGAGTATTTATTCTGCTTCCATTTAATAATATTGAAAAAGTTTATTTAGTCTCTGTATGTATGACAGGAATGGAGTAGAAACGCATTACGAAACAGTATATTAATTTTTGTATATGGTGACCATTTAGGGTAGAGATCTATTCTTAAAGAATGAAGTAGATGGATCTCCGTGTGCAGAATGTTTCTAGGTTTGTCTCTTATATTTTTTCAGCACAGGCTGATAAGCATTCAATTATGATATTTCATATATCACAAACTTACTTAAAAAAAAAAATTTCTCTGCTATTTCCATTCACAGCATAATTAGCTTTCACATAGATGGCATTATCAACATCTGAAAAACATGTAATTCTGTCTAATTACACAGGTTCTAACAAAACTGTATTTAGTATTCAAGAAACCATAAATGTTTAAACATGACAATTAAGTTTATTCATCAGAAAATCATGAAATAATGACATGACTTTACACTTCTTGTCAACACACATTATATCTTTCTGATTCTGAATCACTGTAAATCCAATATCACAACTTTATGATAACATTTTGTCAATCACTTGTATACATTTCAAGAAATTTGCCTACAAAACCTGTTAATTGTGAAGTAAATTGTACTCCAGGGCACTTAGCACCCATGGCCCACTGATCAAAAACCATCATGACCTGTACCATGTCGGCCTTTGATCTACAGGGTATTCAGTCACCGAAACACCCAGTGAAAAAATTCATCTCACCTGCAGGTAATTCTAATTGATTATATAAACCTTGAATTTCTAAGGCTTTCCGTAATTCATCTAAATATATTTCTTCTCCTACTGCATATGCTGTCACTTTAAGCATCTCCTGAAAATAAATTATCTCTTCAAATATCATCTCTTATTGTTTTTATTTAAACACACAAATAAGAATAAGGCATAAAAAAAAACTTTTGGTCACTAATGTATTGGCCAAAGAGATTTTGAACCCAAACCCATTATCTCCCAATAATACCATAGCACCTATTAAACCTCTGGCTAAAATGTGTCAAGTACATGTATGCTCACATCCTTTTAACCTGCACAGAAATGTAACAGTTACAGAATGTCAGGCAGGCTTGTTTCCAATCTGGATTGTTTGTACTTAACATTTATATATTAGGTTTTTTTTATAGAAAACTATAGTTCAATTTAGAGGAATCTGCCAAGATTGTGAAATTGTCAAATATAGCCTCAAAACGTGCAATTATAAATACTACAGCACAGTTTCCAGGTACCTCTGGTATAGGGAATTATAATTCTATTTGATAGCAATTTTTATAATACACAATCAAATTTAATTAATCTTCTCTTCTGGTCGTCATTGTTTTCCAAGAACGAAGGATGGAATCTAAAAGTTATTAACCTGGTCACCAAGGCCACTTGATGGTTTTCTTCTTGTTGGTCGTTTGGCTGTTATCATTTTAGCAGTTTGTTTTAAATTCACATCAGTACCAAATTGAATTGTTCGGATTCCTGTCCAAAAAATGGGCTGCTGGACAGAGCACAGTTGCACAGGTTTTAAAACAGACCGAGAGCTGGTCACTGAATGGATTTTTCTATGTCCTGGGGGCAGAACTAATCGTCTATTATTTTGTGCAATGGTAATACATTTTGAACACTGTCTTATGAAAGGATATGGTCTAAAAGATTTAAATAACATTGTTAATTCTGATGGAATCATTAATTATTTCATTATCTTTAATTCTACTTTTTTTTCAATTCTGGGACAAACTTTGGTGTTGTTCAAGCTGATGTAAATCATCATATAATCAACTGCTCAACGTTTTCTTTGATTCAAAAGTTGCCTGACTATTTCTCCACTAATATTCACAGATAAAACTTCATGACATCAAACGATTCATATAATTTCTAATAAAATATATTGTGAGACGTCTCAGCCCTTGAATACTTCAACAACAGTCACACATGGTATAAGGGGCGGCAACTCTAAATAATATTTTGGTTAAAGGGAAATAACTAGATTTAAGAAATAAATATTGATTTATAACGGAAATTCAAAAATACTTCTAATGTGCCCATTATAGAAATACGTATATTGATTCAGAAATGCACGTGTGAAGTTTGATACACGCATTTGCTCTGTTTTAGAAAATTAATAACAGGTACTTGTATATTTCTGTCTGGATGTCCGAGACCGGCTTAATTGCAGACTGTCATATCCGGTTGAAAATAAACATTTCAAGTAAATTAGCTTCCAAGACAAGAGGTAACTTATTTATCTTTTTCATCATCTTCTTGTTGGGTATTTGAGCAAACTTTGTAAAAAAACTTTTAATAAGAGATGAAATATTGTGAAGAAATGTTAATTAAATCATTATTTGCCGGCTTTATTTATTTCTGATGAAAAGAACACCACCTCTCCTAACTCTAGCCTCTAGCCCTAGGGCCTACCGTCACCGTGCTGTCATCCAAACCGATCAGGAGTGATTCACTGATTGAGTGAATATTCTCTAGGCTCTACAAATTAAATTCTCAAACATATTTTTCAAGTATTAGAGATATAAATAAAGCTGTTTAAAACATATCTGTATAAAAAAAATTTCCTACTTAAAACAAGTTGAAGGTGGCACTAGCTGGCACCATTCTGCCCTGTCCAGACGTCCGACCTATGTAAACAATGCGTGTGCTACAGACGCCAGTGATCATCAAAGTGTGATGTGATGTCAAACTTAAAATGCAGTTGAACTTTTAAAGGTCATGCCCCACAGCGGTAGAAGAAGGCTTTTGCATTACCTCTCAGAAACAGATAGGTTGTCATCATGATGTACTATGTAGGCCTATCCTATCCTATAGTCCAAAAGGATAAGCTACCGGTGCAAAATATCTTAGAATCAGAAACAGTATTCCTACTTTTTACTACTCTACTCTTCTCAGTTCTCAGTAGCAAATTTCTGTTTCAATCGTGCATGAGCTATTGTGATTCACTCCAGCACAAATTGAAAGAAAACATCTAAACCTTCCAACAGTGAGTGATTCATGCTTCATTCTGACACTCTGTTATGTTATTTGTTATGATTAGAATGGTTAGTAATCAAGAAAACAGTTGTTTAAATTTCAGTCAGCAAAGTTAATTGTTATTAAATTTTTTTTTCCATTTAACAATTTTATATTTCGTTTCTATTTTAAAGGTTAAATCATTCATCTAGTCATGGCATTAACAATAGAGAGATTATTAGAAGATGCTCATCTGTTGATAACAAGATTAAAAGATCATGATGCTACAGCTGATATATTAATATCTAATACACAGACCTTACATACTAGAGTAGATGGTATGAAACAGGTAATTAGTTATATTACAGTTTTACTTATAAAAGAATAGGATATTTAAACACTGGCATCCCTAAACCTCAGTGGTATAAATAAGTCTTTCTTTTTCAGTTTTCACTTTGGCTTAAAGCATCAACGTGCTGGAAGGAATAGTCATTGACCTTTATTTAATTTAATTCTTGTTGACTACAGCTAAATAACTATTTCCAGACCTGTTCTAGATGATCAAAGCAATAAACATTTGGCCCAGATGTTAGTAGATAGAAATGAATTAACACACAATCATTGGCTAATGATCTTAGAAATCAAAAAATTGAAATGAAATGAAAAGGAGTTTAACATCCTACTGTTCTGCTCCGAACTGGGCGAATTACAACGGGCATACGCCATACAGTGTGCTATGAGGGAAATTTTGGCTTACTCTTATATCGAATTCCAACTGTTAAGGAATCTTTTACGTGCACCCCAATGTGTACATAGGACCTTGTTTTTTTCGTTCCATCAGAACGACTAGACAGCTGTCCATTCTTCATCACTGACAAGGGGGAACTAAGCTGGAAAATCTGGATGAACTTTCTCGACCAATGCAGGGATCGAACACCCGACCTCCAGGCTAACAAACCAGCGTCTAACCCACTTAGCCACCGTGACCCCCGAAGAAATCAAAAAGATGGTGACATGAAATAAATAAACAGTAATGGAAACTCTAGATGTCCATAAAAGGATTGATCAATTTTAATATTCTCTTAAAGAATATTATTTTGGTAATATTACCTTTTATTGTATATGATCTGCAAATCTTTTAGTCTGGAATATTCATGAAATAAAGTATGGAATTGTTTTTTTAGTATCAAGATGATATCACAGAACTAAATGAAATTGCCAAACATAGACCTCGATCAACACTGGTATTGGGTATAGCACAAGAAAATCGGCAGATAAGAGAACTTCAACAAGAAAATCATGAATTACAGATGTCCCTGGAAGATCATCAGTCAGCATTAGAACTTATCATGCAGAAATATCGAGAACAAGTGGCTCAGTTAATACATGGCAATAAAGTAGAAGCTATAATAGCTAATAGATCAGAAAGTTCTAAGGTAAAGAATTTTAAGGGATATTCAGCAGAGCTCTCAAATAACACAATGTGTTTTTGAGTATTTACCTTCAGGTTTTTTTCAGTATTTAGGCGCTTGTTGGAAGCTGACATTTAAGTTGTTAGATAAATGGAAAAACTTCAGGCATTGTGTACTAGAAATTGGAAAGACACTTGAGGTTTGTCATTAAGTCAAGTGCTTCGCTTTCAATCCCAAGCTTGTACATGACGAGAAGTTGGGTCCCCCGCCCTGCCGTGGGGGGGGGGGGGAGGTCACTGCATCCTATGTTTTTTTGCTGATGTCAAGGATCTCTAATAATTGTCCTGAAATGACCCAGTTTCTGTCGAATGGATGTTAAACTCCATATCGCTCGCTCTTCAAATCGATTTATAAACAATTTAATTTGTGTAAATATGTGTGTTTTCAGGATGTTAAACTTCATATCGCTCGCTCTTCAAATCGATTTATAAACAATTTAATTTGTGTAAATATGTGTGTTTTCAGGATGTTAAACTTCATATCGCTCGCTCTTCAAATCGATTTATAAACAATTTAATTTGTGTAAATATGTGTGTTTTCAGGATGTTAAACTTCATATTGCTCGCTCTTCAAATCGATTTATAAACAATTTAATATGTGTAAATATGTGTGTTTTCAGGATGTTAAACTTCATATCGCTCGCTCTTCAAATCGTAATGCCGCTTGATTTATAAACAGTTTAATATGTGTAAATATGTGTATTTTCAGGAAGACGTAACAAATTTATTAAGTAAGATACATGAGATGGCCGCTGTCATGAAAAAAGCTGTGGATGTTGACGAAGAAATGTCAACTAAGGAATATGAAGAGTTAACCAAATTAAAAACAGAGAATCAAACCTTAAGAGAAATATTAGAGATTTGTACAACATCTAAAGATAGAATAGTACAAGATGAGGATACAGAAGATAAATCATCTCAAACAGAAAATACTTGATTTATTTCACAGTCTTAATTTATAAATTAGAAAAATTGATCGGAGAAACTTCCGAAAATTCAAAAGCTGAAAATTGGGATTTGTTTATCTGAAATGCAGCTTAGAAAAAATTTGGTTTATAAAGTTTGGGAAAGCAGCAGAATTTTTATTTATTTACCTATATCTGATTTTTTGATTGTTGATCAGAAAATATAATTTGATATATCAAGTTTCAGAAATCAGCAGAATCTTTATTTATCTGACCCTTTGAAACACACATTAGGTAATATAATTTGGTATAATAAGTTTGAGAAAGCAGCAGAGTTTTAATTAATTATTTGACCTTTTGAAATACTGTACAGATTAGGGAATTTTGATTATATGGCTTATTGAAATGCAGATTAAGAAATATTATTTAGAGTATCAAGTTTGTTGAGTTTTTGTGAAACTGTCTTTATATCAGGCATCTGTTAAGTGTGTAATGTATTAGATGCTGTGTGTTTAGAAAGTTTCTTTTGACAAAAATATAAATAGCAAGGACTATTTTCTATAATATATATGACATTATTTTCATTACACATATTTTATTTGATGTATATACTGGTAGCTTTACATGATATTCTAGCCAATGGTAAGGTGTTCCTGCTTACTGCAACTACTTATATCAGTGCCGGAAAGTGTCAGATTTAGATGTAGAGAGGTGACAGGCTATTCCATTTATGATGCCCCTCCCCATGTGTTTTAAACACAATTGAGCAAAACCGAGGATAATGATGGACGTTTAAAACTACAGTGCATGTAACAAAGGCATATGATAGTATCAAAAAAAAAATACACTTGGCCAGGGGTCCGTTTAAGAGTTAGGTCTTGAGGTCCTAGGTTTCCATATGCTACGGTGAATCTGAGTCTTATTTTAATATGCAGGAACAAATTCATGCTTTGTCAGACACAATTCGCGTGTGGTGCCTGTTATTTTCTCAGTCACAGATTTTCCCATTTTTTTGTTTTTGTTGATATATTATATACAACCCTGGCCAAAAGTTCAAAATGTCAAGTCCAACTTCAGTAATGCCTGAAATAATCTGAAGACATTTACCATTTTATTAGGGAAAAATATTTTATAATATTGTAATGTAAGAGATTAATGTAAATATCACATATATCGGGAAGTGGGGGGGGGGGCATTTTGTATATATTTTTGTTATTGGGTCATTTGGGTGTTTAGGTGGACAGAATATCTTGTGTAATTTTTGTATGAATAAAAGATATCTAATGTCTTCCTGGTTTTGTTCCTGATATTCAATTAAAGTTACAATTTCAAATTTTCTAAGAAAGTCAAAACATGATTAATAATTATTTCTATGTCTTTTGCTCAATAGGTTGTCAACTCACTATTATACGATCATAGGTTATCTTTCTCACATTTAAAAATCTTCACACTGGAAATAATAACACAATTACCTACCTTGTTTTTCTATTCCCTACCATGGAATAGCTTATCTTCAAATGTTTGAATTTGAAGTTGAAAATGATATTTTTGCCAATTTCTCAACTGGCAATAGTGAATTATAGGATTAATAGGATTATTCTTTAACAAGGTAGGACTGTTTATAGATACCATCTATTTTAGGGCTTTATTTTAATACATTTTAAAAATATAACTTAAAAATATGAAATTGTAACTTTTGTAAATTGTAAAGTCAACCAGATTGGGTAGGGGTGGGGAGAGCTAAATTCTCATCTACATAAAACAAGTGGATGTAAGTAGTTGATTATTCATTCTTACCAAGAGGAAATCACTTTGCTATACTTTACTTTAACTGGATTAAATGATGGCTGTATTCTGGAGAGGGAGGGAGAAATGTGGTTTAACGTCCACTCGACACAAACTAGGTCATTTCGGGACTAACATATGGTTTAATTTTATTTCAATAATTCGCTTTAGCAGTGGGAGGAAACCGGAGGACCCGGAGAAAACCCACGAGGTTGGACAGGCGACCCTACTCCTTGTCATGTACAACCAGGGATTCGAAACCACGCCAGTTGACTCAATGACAGGCCTTATGAATACAGCACGCACATGCTAACCATTCGGCCATCCAACCCCCCCTGTATTCTGGAAGCAATGGTAACAAGCATCAGACCATTAACCATTCCTACATTTAGACAGCAAAAATGGAAGATTGTTTTAGAGTGTTCTCAAGGAATTGTACAAAACAGAAAGATGGGCGGAGTGAATGTCACTGTACAACCAAAATGGGGCGTATAAAAATGACCGTATTTTGGGGTTTGAACTAAAAGATAATGATCGTTTAAATATAAACTCCATGAAATGGGGTTTAAGGGCCCTACTTGGCTAATGCCGAATAGTTAGCGAGTTGTATCATTAGGTCTGTGAGTCAACCGGTGTGGTTTCAATTCCCGGGTTGTACATGACAAGGAGTAGGGTTGTAGGGTTGCCTTTCTAACCTCGTGGGTTTTCTCCGATCTCCTCCCACTGCTAAAAAAAGGATAGGTTGCCAGGCAACGAAATATACACCCACAGCAGCTATATTGTCCGGGCAGTCAACAAGAGTTGTCGCATATTTTTACTTTTTTCGGTAATGAAACATTTATAATACATTAAAATCTGATTAAGAGTAACAACTAATTAAGCAATTATCAGAAACCCATTAGAATTTGTTTGGTTTTTATAAAGTTCTGCCCCATGCTAACATTTAGTATATGAAACTTTTAACATCATGGATTTAGCTGTTCAAGTCATTAAGATTCATTGAAAATCAATATACTTGTTCGTCTCAAGACCTTAAACTCTGTGTATCAATCTGAAGTCAATCGGATGATAACTTTAGCCTCTAGAGCGTCACAAGATTTTTCTAAGTGATCAAGGGCCATAACTCTGGCAGTAATTATCCAAAATCGTTGAAAATCAATATGATTCTTCATCTCATGGACTCAAACACTGTGTATAATTTAAAGACAATCGAATATTAACTTTAGCCTATAGAGCGTCCACAAGATTTTTCAAAGTGATCAAGGGCCATAACTCTAGCAGTAATTATCGGAAATCACTGAAAATCAATAGGCTTCTTCGTCTCATGACCTTAAACACTGTGTATAAACTTAAAGTCAATCGGATATTAACTTTAGTCTCTAGAGCGTCCACAAGATTTTTCAAAGTGATCAAGGGCCATAACTCTGGCAGTAATTATCGGAAATCGCTGAAAATCAATAGGCTTCTTCGTCTCATGACCTTAAACACTGTATAAATTTAAAGTCAATCGGATATTAACTTTAGCCTCAAGAGCATCCACAAGATTTTTCAAAGTGAACAAGGGCCTAACTCTGGCAGTAATTATCAGGAATCGCTGAAAATCAATAGGCTTCTTCGTCTCATGACCTTAAACACTGTGTATAAATTTGAAGTCAATCTGATATTAACTTTAGCCTCTAGTGCGTCCACAAGATTTTTCAAAGTGATCAAGGGCAATAACTCTGGCAATATTTATTAGAAATCGCTGAAAATCAATAGGATTCTTTGTCTCATGATCTTAAACACTGTTTATAAATTTAAAGTCAATCGGATATTAACTTTGACCTCTAGAGCATCCACAAGATTTTTTGAAGTGATCAAGGGCAATAACTCAGGCAGTAAGTATCGAAAATCGTTGAAAATCAATAGGCTTCTTCGTCTCATGACCTTTCCTTAAACACTGTGTATAAATTTAAAGTCAATCGAATCGACGGACGGACGGACGGGGGCGACAACAATATACAACCACATTTCAATGTGGGCGTATAAAAACCTACGCGCAAGCAAATTATTGAAATAAAATTGAACCATGTTAGTCCTGAAATGACCTAGTTTGTGTCAAGTGGACCTTAAACCCCATTCCTCTTTCTCTCTCTCTGGACATCAAAGGATTATATATTTAACTATGGGTGTTGCCTTTTTGAATTTGATGGTTTATTTTGTATATATTTATAATGTGAGAGATAATTAAAATATGACCATAATAATGGCCACACCTAAATGAAGAATCTGACATTACATTAAAATCATTTGGCGGAAATAGTAATTTGTAATCATATGAATAAACTTCCGTTTCTGAATATAACTACTTCAGATTACTTCCTGAATGTCAACAGGAAGCAAAACAAAATCCATCATAACAATTTATTACATATAATTTATTCATTATAACAATACACTTCCTGTTACAAAAATGAAAAACAAAAACCCAAGAGGGCTAACATAGCTAAATGTGTTTTATTAATTTACAATATTATTTTTGTGATTTAAGGGTCTCGAGTGAGACATTGCGTAATATATTGATAACTTAAAGCGATAATTTCATATTTTCTAAGAAAGTCAAAACATAATTATTTCTATGCCTTTTGCTCAATAGGTTGTCAACTCACTATTATACGATTATAGGTATTATTCTCCCTCTTAAAAATCCTTTGACCCCGGAAATAATAACACAATTACCTCCCTTATTTTTCTATTCCCCCCCCCCCATGGAATAGCTATCTTCAAACGTTTGAATTTAAAGTTGAAAATGATATTTTTGCCAATTTTTCAACTGGCAATAGTGAATTATAGGATTATTCTTTAACAAGGTAAGACTGTTTATAGATACCACCTATTTTTTAAAATTTATTAAAATAAAGCCTTAAAAGGCTTCATTTTAATAAATTTTAAAAATATAACTTAAAAATATGAAATTTCAGCTTTAAAATACATATATTGTCCGATACGCTCATCTCCATGAAATCTTCCTGTCCAATATTTTATTTAATATTCCATAATGTAGGTTGGCATGTTGCCCAGACATTATTTTAAATGGCATGTTGCCCAGACATTATCTTAACATCAAAGAATGACGTCACATCTGTATTTTCAGATCATATAGTGCTCTGATTATATAATAATAATATCTTTATTCAAGTACTTTGTGGCCAATGGTTCAAAATGTATACAATATGTGCCTTGATTATAGAAGAAATTATAGGTGTAAATGATATCACAGATTATTATTTTAATTTTAATTTAAATATCTCTATATTCTTTTTCAAATTGTTCTTGACCCATTCATATAGGGCACAAGTAAATATTTTTATAATTCTGCAATCAGCAAGGTAGGTATATATATATATATATTATATATATATATATATATATATATATATATCACATTTCAAAGAAATCCATCCAGATATTATGGAGACAAATTTTTCAAACAAATCTTATTTTGAAATTCCTTATTACAAGCTATATAGTTTCCATGGACGGTCAAATATCAACAAGTGATTCGTAATGTCCACTTTTCACCTGATAGCTGTATAATTTAGCAAGTTTCAACAAAATTTAAAGTTTTGGTGGAATGTCAATATCAAGTGATCCTGAATTTCCACTGTTCTTCCTTTTTGCTTAACAATCTAGTACGTTTCAACGAAATCTAAAAAGTTCTAGACATGCAGAGGGTTTATAAGGCTTGTGAACTAAGGAACTGGAAGGATAATATACATGACATGTATGATGTACTATAAAAATCTTATCTATTTACATTGAGCTGAAGGAAGCTCTGGTGGATCAGCAAATAAGACACTGGCTTGCTTACCAGGAGGTCTCAGGGTTTGCTCCCGGTGTTGGCGAGCAAGGGAGGGCAGGCAAGAACAGTCCTTCAGATTGGAAGAAAAACAAAGGTCGTGTGAACACACATTGGCGTGCACGTAAAAGAACCTTTGACAGTTTGAATTCCAAATAAGAGTAGACAGTAGCGCCACTGTCCGTGCAAAATTTTCCTCATAGCACACTGTACGACTAAAGCTGTCATCATAGCCCAATTTGTGCAGAAAGTAGGATGTTAAAATACATTTCATTTCATTTCATTGAGTTCAAATTATATATCAACATCTTAACATGTGGTATAATATTTTAAATAATTAATTATATAGATATGTACTGCACATTATTATTATAATTCGATTAATAATGATTTTGTTTCAACTAAAGATACACCCATAGCAGCTAAGTCACATTTTTAATCTTTTGTAAGCAATGGCAGCATTTACAAGACACTAAAATTTAATCAAGGGCAACAACTTATGAAGGAATTATTAAAAATAATTACAATTGGATAGGCTTGCAGCTAGTTCTTCCAACAGCTAACACAACATATCATCTATAGCTGTTCGAGTTAACAGAAATTTATGAAAATTAATAGGGTTTTTTTTGGTCACATTAATAGAAACAATGTGTTATGTCAATTGGCTTATAACTTTAGTCTCTGGGGAGTCTACAAACAGTTGCTGTCGATGGACCAATGGACGGACAGCCATGGGTGACGGCATATACAACCATATTTCAAGGTGGGTGAAAAAAAAAAAAAATACAAAATAAATTTAGTTACAAAAGATAATAAATATGAAGCTTTTGTGCAAGGAATTTTCCTGTTCGATAAATAAATGATAAGCAGGGCTCGTTGATCACATCTAATGCAATATACATATTTGTACATTTTACTACATCTATTAGCATTGGAATAGTTATATAAACTAATAAATAATCTAAGCACGTATAATGATGAGACATTCTATTAAAAGAACATATTAGCACTAATGATGATAAAAAGATTGGTCACATTCAAAGACATGTTTTGATAAAGTATCAAAGCCACTGATTGTTATTCCTTAAAAACTACAAGATCGTGAAAGTTTAATCACTAAAATGATTATCGTGAAAGTTTCATCGCTAAAATGATTATTATCATGAAAGTTTCATCTCTAAGTAATATGATTATCGTGAAAGTTAATTGCTAAATAGATTATTGTGAAAGTTTTATCTGTTAATAGATTATTGTAAAAGTTTTATCTGTTAATAGATTATTGTGAAAGTTTCATCTCTTAATAGATTATTGTGAAAGTTTCATCTCTAAAATGATTATTATCGTGAAAGTTAAATTTCTAAAATGATTATCTTGAAAGTTTAATCTCTAAATAGATTATTGTGAAAGTTTTATCTCTAAAATGGTTATTGTGAAACTTTTATCTCTGAATAGATTATCGTGAAAGTTTAATCTCTAAATAGATTATTGTAAAAGTTTATTGTGGAGTGAGGAGTTACCAGTATTGGGTCCTTAAACAATTTGTCTTGTTTTATATATGTATACATACTATTTGCAAGATACTTCACAAAATCAATATTAAATAATTTATTACAAAATATCCTATATACACTTTACAAAGAACTTACATAGTACAAAAATAGAAAGCTATTGTCTAAACACTCATTTTCATTCTTCCAATTAGATATACAGTAACTTTGTTTACTAGATTTACTTTATACATAGCAAGTATAGCAGTAAGTATTGTTCACAGCAGAGCATGGCTTCCATGTTGATCGTATATGATGGTCATGACTGAGGGCTATGGAAAATGACCAACACTGGATCTGACCCATCACGATACCCTACCATAAATAAAATAAAAACCCATGCAATAAGAATTTAATTTGTAAAGTTTTCATGTGTTATCAAAAATGACCGACTATGAAAATGTTGAAGTGGAAGCCTAGCAGCAGAGCTTTCACTTTAAATTCCACAATTTTGCCAGTCAATCAATTTTAGATGTATTTTGTTTACCTCAGATTATTAAAGCATTTTTTCGAAAGAATAAAACAATTTTGAGTATTATTCCAATATATTATTTAAATTTTTAAGTGTTTTTACACATAAACTATAAATTTATTGTGATTTAAGGTTAAATTCTAATTTTATGGCATGTAAATTGACTGCCAGGTAAGTTCTCCAGGTGGACAATGTCACTGCCAGTCAATGACTGAAATTAGAGCCCTGGTTCACAGATACAAGAAAATAGATGTGTTGCCAGGCAACAAAACATACTCTTGCAGCAGCTAAATCATCAGCGCAAGGATGCATCTTCGTCTCACATATATTATTATTATTATTATAGCACAGCATATTTATAGTGCACCCTTTCATATAACGTGTTCAGAGGCACTTTATAAAGTAATCCCCCCCCCCCCAAAAAAAAAATACATATAAATTTCAAACAGATTAGATAATAAATGTAGTCTCACATATATTATTATTATTATTATAGCACAGCATATTTATAGTGCACCCTTTCATATAACGTGTTCAGAGGCACTTTATAAAGTAATCCCCCCCCCCCCCAAAAAAAAATACATATAAATTTCAAACAGATTAGATAATAAATGTAGTCTAGAGTCTTCATGAGAAATTGTGGACGACGGACATATGGACAAGCGGAGGCGACGGCAATATACAACCACATTTCCACATTGGCGTAAAAAACCAATAAGAACACATATTTGTGATTGGAAGAAAATATAATATTAGACGTATTATTTATATAGTTATGATGGTTGATATAATTCTTGTCGTTGATAAGTGTTGTACTGTCTTGGTCTTTCACATATCAATGGCTGTCGTTCATTATCGAACTGGTCCATTGCTCGTTGTCTATTTCGTGCTTGTTCCAAACGACGTCTTCGCTGTGCTCGTGGACATGGTGGGAATGGAGCATGTCCTTTAGTGAGGTTAAACTGAATTGCTGTTCCTACGATACATAGGACAGCCCAAGTTACCACCATTATTATATCTGAAATAATGAATATCTATTATATAATCCACTTACTATATGGTTCTAGTCATATAAATTCAATCTATCAGGTTCCAAGTTCACATATATAGAAGGATAACTCATGATTTCCTTTTGCATTCGTCACTTCCCTTTCATGAAAGCTTCATAACGCATCTATTGTAACAATGACCTCTGTCTTAAAATTATACTTGGAACGTGTTTAACCGGTTCTATCACATATGTGATAATGACTGACACCAAAATTGTCCTTTAAGTTAAGATTTTACTCAACTTTCAATCACTGTTTATGAGAAATATCTTTAATTCAGAAACACAAAACCTTGCACACAGTTTCTTATTGATGAATTTAATACATTAAAACAAAAAAAGGTTATATAAGGGCTATATTTTAGTTAAAACAAGGCGAACAATTTTGGGTAAATTCTTAACTGAATGCTTTGTGAACTCGGGGGCTAGATTTGTAATCTTGGTTATGGAATTCTATGTAAATGATGCATGAGCTATCATTTTGCTAACAAAGTTTAAAAACATGAAAACAAACTCGGTAGTTCAATAATTCACTTGCATGTAGGGGTCTTTAGCAGTGGGATGAAAGCAGATATCTGGAGAAAAACCAACAGGTTCCTTACGTACCAGCGGTAAATTGAAACCACTTCTCTGCCCCGATCTATAAAAACGAACAGATGCCACACAGTGTAATTTGCAGGACATTTTATCCAGATAGCGAGGCTACAGTCTACTTTGACCACTAACAAGTGAATATCACAAGGAAAAATCCTGTAAAAATTTCTCTGTGTCAAGCCGGGATCGAACCTAGGACTTCCTAGATAGCGAGCCAACGTCATACTAACTGAGAACACCAAATCTAAAACCACTTCTCAAACAATACATTGGACATACCATTTATATCGAACGGTGTCACTACTTTAATTTTCTCATATCCATCTATGATAGCATGGTTGATGGTATTAAGGATAATGAGTTTCAGTGTTGTATGTAGTAAATAGTCTATAATAATACATATCAGATAAGATCCTACAAAAGCACAGGTTAGGATATTCAGCTGAAATAAACAAATAAATACAAGAAATAAAACATACATTATGCAAGAACTAAATCTGCCTATTGCAGGTCTTTCTTTGGGCCTGAAATGTTATCTAAATTATTAATTAGACATTAATTAATTATCCAGACCATAATCAACTGTGGATGCCATTGGTAGCCTGCGATGTTTAGTGGATTGGAATACATTTTTTAACTATTATAGCGAGAACTGTCAACTCTTATCTGATCACCCATAATGCCCCTTTAACATCATCCACGTCACTATTACTAACCATTTTAGTAAAACAGAGTGATACTAATGGATAGATTATTTTATTTCTACTATTAATGAATAGATTATTTTATTTCTACTAACAGTTCAATAAAACAGAGTGATATTAATGGATAGATTAATTTATTTCTATTATTAATGAATAGATTATTTTATTTCTACTAACCATTTTAGTAAAACAGAGGGATACTAATGGATAGATTATTTTATTTCTACTATTAATGAATAGATTATTTTATTTCTACTAACAGTTCAATAAAACAGAGTGATACTAATGGATAGATTATTTTATTTCTACTATTAATGAATAGATTATTTTATTTCTACTAACAGTTCAATAAAACAGAGTGATATAAATGAATACATTATTTTATTTCTACTATTAATGAATAGATTATTTCATTTCTACTAACAGTTCAATAAAACAGAGTGATACTAATGGATAGATTATTTTATTTCTACTATTAATGAATAGATTATTTTATTTCTACGATAGATTATTTTATTTCTACTATTAATGAATAGATTATTTTATTTCTACTATTAATGAATAGATTATTTTATTTCTACTAACAGTTCAATAAAACAGAGTGATATTAATGAATACATTATTTTATTTCTACTAACCGTTTTAGTAAAACAGAGTAATACTAGTGGATAGATTAATAAAGCACAAGTAAACGCCATCCAATAATTTAATTCTGTATTCCATACATCAAGATTACCTGAAATATATACAAAATGGTTACTTTATTATTTACATTATACCAATAGTATGGTTACACCAATTTAATAATTTTGTTCTTTGGGTCATTCTTTAGGTCTTAAATTATTAATTAGACATTAATTAACTTACCAAGACCATAATCAACTCTTAATGCCATAGTATAGTCTAGATTTTCAATAGATTTAAATACATTTTGCGGTTGATGCGGTTACCGTAAAAATGGATAATCAAGACTTTGTTTATTATCGTAACAATGGTAGCAATGACAATCAAGGCTAGACTGTTCTTCTAACAGCGATAACGATGGCTCAGACTGAAGTAATTTGACTGAAATGTTCAACATATTACCTTTTCGTTATCTATTTTTTAAACTATTATAGCAAGAACTGTCAGCCCTTATCTAATCTTACATAATGTATCTTTAACTGATCAGATAGATGGATAGCAGATAAACACCCTTTTTATTTACAACTCTTTGATGTCAAGATTAAGATTCAATCTATCACTGGGGTACAGTAGTATAATTTATCAATCAATTCACTACTATGTGCAACCATTCTTGAACACTGAAGGGCTCAAAGGCTTCCATAATCATATTGCATTTTCTTTTCAAAATGAAAAGAAAAAAAAAGAGCCGGTTTCAAATATCCTGGTTAACATAATTTCACTTACCAAATGGAGTAAAGAAAAGTACAGCTGAAAATAGAAATCCACCAACAAAACCAACAATTAATACTGATAGGATGGGTATTCCCCAGTACCACCAGAATAAAACACATATACCACCCCCAGCTATACCAATTATACAACTCATAGTTAATACCAATACTGAAACAAAATAAAACATGATCACAGGTCAAATATTACTTTTATCTTTTTATTGTTTTAAAGGAGAATACTGGCCTTTACCCTTTTTTATATTTATTTATATAATATTATAAAGGTTAATGTAAGCACAACCATAAATACATATTGTTGCACCTTTAATTAACATGACAGATGCGACAGAGTGATGGTAACTGGCAGTTGATGTTTATAAACTAACCAAGTTTGTTTAGAAACATTGATTAAATGCTTGTTAAACTAGTACTTGTACTGAATGTAATATAAAATATTTGCAACAGCTACAATTCTCCTAGTACGGTAATTTTGACTTGGAAATTATCTTATACGATTATTTAATATTTCCTAATGATATCAGATATTTAGAATTTGGAACTTACAGATACGAAACACACACTCTATATGGATCTTATTATATAAGATATCTCAAAACACATACTTAATAATAACATAACATTTTATTATCCAATCGCGGAATGCCACTAAATGATTATAACACATGTGTTTTGAATCTAAAATGTAGTATCCATATCAATACAAAGTGTTTTTATGTTTTATTTAACTCTAATAATGTATCTTCTTTGCGTGGCATGTAATTAAATGATTCATTCGGACAAATTTCCTCAAATTCAAACATAAACTTGACCCTCTTTCTTTAAGCAAGTGCAATAATTCTATCTATGAGCATCCAGTAATTGCCTTAATATTCCATTCAAAAAACGCACAAGAAATCTCCAGTCATCAAATGAACATAAATAGACAAATATAAGGCCACTTTTAGCAACGATAAATAACAAAATAGAAAAAGAAAAACTAATTGGGTTTTTATCTGAATTACCTGGATCTATTCCTGTATATAAAGTCAGCAGTACAAATGATATTATAGTCCATGCTAAAAATCCAAACACAAAAAATTCTGAAAAACAATAATTTCGGTATATTATGATAAATAGAACAATCCCATAGGTTGCCAGGCAACAACACAAGCTCAAAGTCATCAACATAATTATGATCTAAATGATAAATAGAACAATCATAGGTTGCTTGGTAACAAAATACAAGCTTACAAGCTGCTAACTCGTCAACCTAATTATGTTGCAAATAAAATATCTGACCGTAAGTAAAGGTTCTAATGGGCTAACAAAAACCAAGGAGAATAAATGTGGAAGTTATTCCATTTAATATACAGATAGACAAGCAATAAACAAATTCAGAAAGATGGATTGATAGTTCCAGTCAATAAATTTATAAGATTTAGTAACATCTGTTTTTATCAAAAATTGCTTACCTGTCTTTAGGAACTTGTGACCAAAGAAACACAAGCCTACACCAACAAGAAAACATAAAGCTCCTATAACATACTCAGCATCTTCAACTATAAACATAATCAAAATACATATTTACAATGTTGTTTATTTCCTAGGGGGTTGGGTAGGGTGCGCTTTTAATCATAAGGTCTGTCATTGAGTAAATTTTAACGCCCAGGCTAATGAAGACAGGCATACTCCATAAAGGAAATCATGCTCGGACAACTGCACTACAGACTACTATTATTTCGAATTCCAACTGTCAAGAGTTCTTTTATACATGAACGCTAATGTGTATACACACAGGACCTCAGTATTTTTGTCTGTCCTGAACCATTGACAAGTTGAAACCATGTTGGAAAATCCCAGAGAACTTTCTCGACTAACACTGGGATCAAACCCTGGTCCTCCTGATTAGCGGCCAGCGCCTTATTCACTAAGGCACCAATAGCCAGTAAGCTATGTACTATGTCATAATAGTATTCAAGTGAAGGCTATATCTGAGATCTATAACAGTGTGCAATGTACTTTGGTTGAAATAATGTCAAAATAAATGCATGTGACACTTTGAAAATAAGTAAATTCAATCAACATTGCAGTGCAATCATGGTCAAGATTTTCTTAAAGGAATTTGTATGTATTAATCATTATCTGGTATTCAATATCTACATGTAGCATACACACTAAAAGTCTTCTATCCAGCCATTTTTTTCTTCGTGTATTTACCTGGGGTTTAATGTTCACAGAGCCGGAGCTAATATAGTACATCATGCTGCTGTTTCTTTTTTTTATTTACACTGACTGACAGTTCCCTAATAACATGACGGTTGTTAATAAGAGAGAGAGAGAGAGAGAGAGAGAGAGAGAGAGAAATGGGGTTTAACATCCACTCGACACAAACTAGGTCATTTCGGGACTAACACATGGTTCAATTTTATTTCAATAATTCGCTTGCGCATAGGGGTCTTTAGCAGTGGGAGGAAACTGGAGGACCCGGAGAAAACCCACGAGGTTGGACTGACAGTTGTTAATAAAAGATGAAACAATTTGTACACTGGGTTGTGCCTTGTTGAATACTAGATAATGATTAAAATATACAAATCTGTGTTCTCCTTTATCACCGAAAATTTGTGGGCAGATTAACGCATGTACGACTGATTAAATTTATAGGATTAACCCTTTAACCAGTGGAAAAAATAAAACAATAATAATGTGTGTTTAGTAACAACATTAAGTTCTTTGTTCTGATTAACCCCTTCAACTAGCATACATGTACTGTATCCTGCTATACTTACAGATATCATTAACATAGTTATAGTTAATACTATTGTTCCTCAAACCTTAAATAATGAAAATATTTCAAGAAAATTCAATTTCTAAGACTATATTGTTCTCACCCGTGTCTGTTGTCCATTCATATTTTCCAATCAATGCTCTACACACACTACTTGTAATTTTTGTCAGATTTTTCTTAAGTTTCGCAGGGATTGTACATTTGGTTGTAAGGCAGAAAAATCATAATTCAAAATTTCTCATTCATAAAATTGGGGAGAGAGAGAAATGGGGTTTAACGTCCACTGGACACAAACTAAGTCATTACGGGACTAACAGAGAAAACCCACGAGGCTGGACAGGCGACCCTACTCCTTGTCACGTACAACCGGGGAATCGAAACCACGCCAGTTGACTCAATGACAGACCGTATGATAAAGCGCGAGCATGCTAACCATTCGGCCATCCACCCCCCCTCATAAATTTGGTTGTAATGAAGAAACATATTAAAATTCAAAACTTCATCGTTCATAAATTACAGCATTGGCTCCTGATTTATGTTTAATATTAAAGATTCTATAATAATACTCACCATCAATTTCACAAGTTTGATTAGTTAAATTACAACCATATGATGCTACACTGACATAACTAGCTACTGTATTTAGACGAGTATTTTTAACAACTACACCATATATACCACCCTGACCATTAATAGATGACAGAGTAAAATTAGACTTGGTTTTCATATCATTAGTTAGTGACATAACCTGAAAGTATACCAATCAGGGTTCTGAAAATATCTATAGAAAATAATACACAAAAATATGTAATGAATGAAGAAAAGATGGAGAAAATGGGTAACAAAAAAGATAGGAAAAATGTACAAAAGAGGAAAAATGTGCAAAGGATAGGGAAAATATATAATTAATAGGGAAAATCTGCAAAGGTTATGGGAAATGTGTAAAGGATTGGGAAAATGTGCAATAGACATGGAAAATGTGCAAGGGTTAAGGATAATGTGTAAAGAATCAGGAAATTGTGCATAGGATAGGAAATGAAACGTGTATGGACAGGGAAAATGTGAAAAGGATGAAGGTAAAATGTGAAAAAGATGAAGGTAAAATGTGTAAAGGATGAAGGTAAAATGTGAAAAGGATAAGGGAAAATAAAAGGATAGGGAAAATGTGTAAAGGATAAGGAAAATGTTCACTGGATGAACAAGAACTAAGGCAACCTTTTTATTCAGTTTTAAGGTGATACATCTGCTGTACTGTTTCTTAAAGGATTGATGTGTCATTTAGTGCTATATAGGAATTATTTGCAAACTACAATATTATGAAAGTTAAATCTCTAAAAGGAATACCAGTCGAAATGGTTCTGTTCTGTTCAGTATTTACAAAGATATGTTGAATTGAAATTTCACTGATCTATGCAGCACGCTATGTAATAAGTCCAACACTATATTGTTTTTGCTGAACAGAACTCACAGACCTATTTTGAATTTGATTGAATACAAGTCGGGAGATTGCCATGATATTTCTATTTTGTTTTCCTACTTAATGGGGTTGAGCATTCTAAAATGCACACTTTAAAGCTAGCACTGTACTTTTTGTTCATAAGATATGACATTTTTTGTTATTTGAGGTGATAAACTACATATTAATAAGAAAAATATACCAATTTTATTTACCAAATATGTTCCAAATTTGGCCAAAAAGCATGATAATAAAGGGTACTGATGACAACAAAAGTCAAATTTTCTCAGTTATGCCTGCATGGATTTTCATCACATTTGGCATGAACAATGCTAACTGCAATTCCAAAAAAGCCACAGCACAATATTTGGCTATAGGCTGTGGTTTGTCTGGTATTCATAGGAATGCCAAAAGATAGGTTGCCAGGCAAAGAAACATACACCTACTGTAGCTAAGTCGTCTGGGGAGTTAACAATGATTGTTGCATATTTTGTCTTTTGTCAGAAATGAAAACATTTGCAATACACTAAAATATGATTATGAGTAACAACCGATTTGGCTTCTAGTTCTGCCCAGTTCTAACATTTAGCATACAAAACATCTTGTATCTCCATTATTACACAACAAACGGTCGGAATGTAGTGTGCTCTGGGTTATTTTACACAAGTGTCCAAAGTGTTAATAAGATTGGTGTTGAAAGATTAGTGCATACCTTAGACTACTCAATGCCCTTAAATGTTAAATGATTAATCTGGGTATATTCATGACTGGTTCAGCCATGAGAAATTTAATATTTTAGCGAGTATGACACATTAAGACTTTTAAGTATTCACTTTATTGTTACCTTTCTTCCATTTGCGATAATATTTTCAACACCAATCATTTTTTTCATGGCATCCAAGAAGTATTTTTCATCAAGTTTAGCTTCTTTCACAAAATATACATAAACATCATACTCCAATTGTTTCTGCATCAATGAACTTTCACATTCACTGACAGTGTCAATATTGGCCCACTGAAATCTGACTGATGTCCAATAATCTGTATAGGACAATAACATGTTGGGATCATTCTCTAAATTTAGAATCTGATTACATCCACCAGGTATTGGATCTGAAAAAATAAATAAAAGTAGAATAACCTTTTTATTTAAAGTCTTTGAAAGTCATTTGAGAAATTATGAATCCATTTCAAAATGAGAGAGAGAGAGAGAGAGAGAGAGAGAGAGAGAGGTGTTTTAACCTCCACTCGACACAAACTAGGTCATTTTGGGACAAACATATGGTTCAATTTTATTTCAATAATTCGTTTGCGCATAGGGGTCTTTAGCAGTGGGAGGAAATCAGAGGACCCGGAGAAAACCCACGAGGTTGGACAGACGACCCTACTCCTTGTCACGTACAACCGGGGCCATTTCAAAATACACTACTGTGAACGTTGAATGTCTAAAAGGTATATCAGTCCAGAAATGGTTCAATTCCGATCAGTATTTATTAGAGCTGGCAGAAAATATTGATATTGCTGATAATTGTCGGTAAAGCATTTTGAAGATCGATAATCGGTTAAATATCGATAAACGCGCAATGATAGGTAGCCACATGCAAGAAGAAATCGATAAAAGATTTAAAGATAATCCGTATCACAGTATTCTTTACAACGTGTGCTTGCACCTAGCTCGGTAACTGTAATTAAACAGAAAGTCATTAAACACACACACTATTGTTCTTCAAGCAAGACTCCATCGCTAAGAATTGTCGGCCGCTTGGTTTGAGAGCAAATAGATTGCATACCATTCAGACTTGTACCCCTGCTTTTACTCTATTTCTTTTGTCTGCTCTGTCTCTAAATCTCAATTACAACATCTCATAGTGACCAAGAATTAACAATATGAATTAAGCCACTATACAAGGCATTTAATGTGCATTAGAAATCCAAATAACTAGAGAAATGAAATGAAATGAAATGGGGTTTAACATCCTACTGTTCTGCTCTGAACTGGGCTAATGAAGACGGGCATACGCCATACAGTGTGCTATGAGGGAAATTTTGCCCGAACAGTGGCACTACGGCCTACTCTTATATCGAATTCCAACTGTCAAGGGATCTTTTACATGGGACCTCGCTTTTTAGTCCCATCCGAACGACTAGACAGCTGTCCTTGTCAGGCCTTCCGTCCTGCATCACTGACAAGGGAGAACCACGCCTGAAAATCTGGATGAACTTTCTTGGCCAATGCAGGGATCGAAAAATAACTAGAGAAATAAACTGTTACTGTTATTATTTTTATGGTCATAAACTAATGAAGTTGATTAGTTTCGACAGTTGGTTTTATTATGGAATGCTTATATTTTATTGTGAAATCAATGGAACAAATCCTACATATTAAATGATATTACAGCATAAACTCATATATAATTCATATACAAATGATGAAAGTTTTCAAAACAATTTAAGTAAAAATAGTTCGCTGATATTATCAATTATTGATCAGCGATTATCGATACTTGAAACCAATATCGATTGCCAGCCCTAGTATTTATAAGGTTACGATGAATTAAAAATTTCTCAACATTTGGCCTCCAATGCAAACAATGTAAACGGGATATGTTCAAAAGCCAGTGTCACCTGTAATAATCGCTACAATCCTTTGCTAATACCCTGCATCAAACAGCACACATTTTTAAAAAAAAAACTCTTCCTGATCCGGCCACAGCAGTGAAGACAAATGGAGTGAGATTTATACAATATGGGTGTCGAAAGACATCCTGTAGCCTGTTAATTTGGTGCAGTTAAAGACAAGCCAACGGCATAACAATTCTCTTCAAAAATGAAATACATTCACTCACCATTGATTTTAAGATATTTGACGAGCAGCAGAACATTGACAGAGTCTACTTCATCTGTTTTAATAAACCAATATATATTACCAGGAGAACTGTAAGGAGTCATAACCCCTACATTCCTACCCCTGGCTGTACTGTCTTGAGTAAAAGTATTTTTCCATGATAATGTTAAATTGTTTGTTTGAGAATGAACTTCAATAATAATAAAACTGATGCCTGTCTTGTCAACATTATGAACCAGTCTTGAGGTACCATTCGTCAATTTTACACTGGTAACTTTCCCTTCTGTTAAATCAACATCCCCTGAGAAAAAAAAAAGCAGACAATTATCAGATAAAATTTTGATGAGGGCAGGGTCAGCCATCAGCTGCGAGGAAGGATATTGTCATCACTTTATAAAAGAAATAAAATCTTTCATCTTTGAATGAGGCAGGCTATTTTTCTACTTTGGTGTGAGGAAGCATATTTTCTGACTTAGTTGTGAGGTGAGGAAGAAATGTGTGGGTCAAATTGGCAGATGCAGGTCAGTTCATCCCACAACCGTTTCACCTTGGGCTGTTTCATCCCAACCTATCTTTTTATCGGGCTCTTTCATCCCTGGCTGTTTCGTCCCCCTTGTTATTATAATAGCAGTCAATTAACTGAGTTGTACTTATTGTTAAATAAACTGTTAAACACTTGTTTATTGTTAAATAAACTGTTAAACACTTGTTTATTGTTAAATAAACAATAATGTATGAAATAAATAAGTTTTACTCGTCGATTTTTGTTGATTACCGATCACCACCAAGATTAGTTTGTTAGTTTATTGGGGGTTATTTTTTTTTGATGTCTAACATCATTAATCTTCTTTATAAAAAGGTATATTATAATTGCATATTGACAGCTTAATCACTCGCCAAAATACATGATGAACTCTACGTATTACCCAATAATCAACTAAATTGCACAGGAGCCCCTTTTAAATAAGACAAATTAGATTGATATTATTTCGAAAAAATTCATGTAATACCTGTGGGATGACAGGACCTGATATAAGTGAGATGAAAGGACCTGTGTAAATTTGGGATGAAACAGCCCGAGATGAACCGGTAATGGGATGAAACGACCTGCTCCCAAATGGGCAGGGATGTGAGGAAGAACACATGCTACACGGGTTTGTTTGAAACTATTATTTGAATCAGTCATTTTTAATTACTTCCTCATATATTTTTTTGTTCATTAAAAATGGTGTTGAGGTTGAGCCACTCGAAACCACACTCCACAGCGTACACAAGGTTGTGTAGTGATTTCAAAATATTCATTTATGATTGTCTTAAAATTAGATATTTTTTATTTCGATAATATTATGGATGGGTGCCAGTGAAGTCGTCCACAAGCAAAGTCGTCCACAGTGAAGTCGTCCACACCCATTAGTGGAGTCATCCACAAGGCATTGGTGATGTCGTCCACACCCATTAGTGGAGTCGTCCACAAGGCATTGGTGATGTCGTCCACAACTATTGGTGATGTCGTCCACAACTAAGAATAAGACTCGTACACAATTTACTCGTACTCAACTATTGGTGATGTCGTTCACAACTAAGAATAAGACTCGTACACAATTGACTAGTACTCAAAACGCCGATGTTATTGTTTGTTTTGTTCACCGATGTTTTTGCAATGAAGTATACTTGTATTTTTTGTTAATTGGCGTTATGATTTTAGCGATGTATTAACAATGTTTTTTTAATAAAGTATATTCGCTTTTAATTGACGTTATGATTGTAACATTTTTGATTAGTATTAACGATGTTTTTGTAATAAAGTTTATTGTATTGTTTGTTAAATGGCGTTATGATTTTAGCATTTTTGTTTGTTTGATTAGTATTATCGATGTTTTTGTAATAAATCTAATGAATCTAAAACGGCAGAACTACAACAACAACTGGTTTCGGAGAATAAATTAAAGAGGCGACAAAGGAAGACATTTGAGACAGTAGCAGGGAAAATCTTTAAAATTGTTATATTAATGAAATTGTTATATTAATGAAATTGTTATATTAATGAACTTGTTTATGAATTTGTTATATTAATGAACTTGTTTATGAATTTGTTATATTAATGAACTTGTTTATGAATTTGTTATATTAATGATTATTTATTGAATTTGTTAAATTTGTTTATGAATATGTTATTTATTGAAGAAAATGATTTACTTTGTTGTTTATTTGCCGGGAGAAAGGGTGACCACGCAGAAAAATTATACTAAATAAAAATACATTATGTGTCCCGAAAGTAAACTAAGTCGTGTGGACGACTCCACCAACGGGTGTGGACGACTTAACCAGATTTTTCGTGTGGACGACTTTGCTTGTGGACGACTTGACTGGCATTCTTATGGATAATATTGAGTTTGAGATCCAAAAATTAGCTTGATCCTTAATATGTGATGCCACTTATAAAACTATTAATCATAATAAAGAATTAGAATATACTTTCATTTCCACCATGACCATATAATATTAATAATATAAAATGATTGTATTGTAATACTACTAATTGTAAAATAGTGGGGTTTTTTTTTCTGCAATACCTTTCGTTACAGCTAAAAAGCAACACGAAAATAACAGTAGGCATTTCATATCCATCGTAATGCTTTCAGGTTCTACAAAAACTGAATCCAAAAAATAGCACAATTTGACAAGCCATTATGATTATGACCTCATCCTCCAAACTTGTTTACATATTTTCTGACAATAATAGACACGTGATATATGGGAGACAACTACAAATCTTTTCGGTAGGCTCGATCAAAATTTTCCCTTGCGATTCAGATAAACAAAAAAAAGCGCTTATAAATGGTGAGAATTAAATTGACTATGTTTTCATTGTACAAGTGTATATAGATCTATTTCACTGTAAAGAATCTTCCGAATATTAGGGGATCTTTGAAAGAGTATCCCTGTGCATGAGCTATTACCCGCCAACATTCGCGACATTGGGTAATTTATCTTCTTAACCATCATTCGATTGGTCAGAATGTTCGCATCAAAATAATTTAACCAATCAAATTAAGTGACACAAAACCGCGGGCACATATTTCCACCATCTTCCCTCGTGTTGGTAAAAGCGCATGTAAGTGTAAGATGTCTGAAATTTACGTTTCAGATATTTTTCTTTAATAATAACACTACATCGAGAAAATTTCTCGACAAGTAACACGATCTTATCGTACATTTGTATTTATATCATTTTGTTGCATTTATTAGAAGATTTTAACACGTCTTACAATTATTTTCAGCCATTTTACCCGGTCCATTTTTTTTTCATCACTTCTTGTAATCTTGACTTCGTCTTCAGTTGCTCATCATGTTGAATTCGTGCCATGCCGCATATCCTTATCCTACATTTTATTTTAACAGAGTAGTAGCTCTCGAATATAAATTGACGTGACATTTCCTTACATTAAAATCAAGAAAATTAATATAATGATGAGTCCAATAATATTGTATTTTATGCATAGCCATAGTAGATCTATAGGCCCAGGCATAGAGTGTAGACCTTTAATTAATTAATATGGCTTTATTATTGTATAATAATAGTAGGCAGTTACTTGTATGTATAACTTTCTCTTTGATTATGTCTGATCATTTATATCTTTTCTAATTGAAGAAATTTAAAAATTTGTAAAATTAACAAACATACATGTATTAATGAATCATTTGTCTAGCTGTAAAAACTTTAAAGATATATTATTCAAGAACTAAATATGCCTTTTGCTGTTCTTTCTTTAGGCCTTAAATGTTATATAGATTATTAATTAGACGGTTATTAACATGACAAGGCCAGACAAGGCCATAATCAAATCTCGATGCCATCGGATGCTCAAGATTTTAACTGGATTAGACTTGTTTGGCCATTTAATGATTTAATTTTAAAAATGGAGGAACAAGTCTTAAGTCTTAAATATACCACTATCATGGTTACGATAATAAACAATCAATGCACACATCCTGTCAAAACTACAAACAGTGATAACTTGACTCAGAATAAAGTAATGAAATTTCAATATTTTCATTTTGAATCATCAATTTTTGAACTATTATTATTGCAGGAATGCTTACATCTTTACATCTAAATCTTAAATAATGTATCTTTAAGGATATTTTGCCAAATGATCACCCAAATTGTTGAATGAGGTGGCAAATTGTTTACATGATCTGAGTGAAATGATAAACATAACTATGAATAGTTTTACAGTCATGTTGACTAATTTCCCATATTTATATTGTACAAATTAATTTAAAATCAAAATGGTACATGTAAATAAGGTTGTCTTTTAAATTTTGTCTTTTAAAAATGTTGTTCTTAGGGAATGGTAGTAGTAATGAATGGTAATTAGCTACTTTCAACTTTATCGGTAATGGTAATTAATTACGTTGCCATAAATGAGAATGTAATTGTAATGGTTGAATTTAAAATGTAAGGGTAATGTAATCTACATTTAAAATATAAGAGTAATGTCATTCAATACATTTAAAATCAACCGTAAGGGTAATGTCATTAACTACATTTAAAATGTAAGGGTAATGTAATGAACTACATTTGAAATGTAAGGGTAAACTACATTAACTACATTTAAAATGTAAGGGCAATGACAATGTAATTAACTACTTTTAAAATGTAATGATGCCAGATATAATTAAGTAGCATGTATACTGATTAGCAGTTGGAACCCACTGTCGATAATAAATGATAAATGATTTATTCATCTGTTGCTGTCTCTACAACCAAACCTCAACATAAGGCACCTATCACAGACTTTGTCAGAGACAAATTATCACACAAGATAAATATATATTATAATGATAATTTATGTCTGCCAAAGTCTGTGACAGGTGCCTTATGTCCAGACTTGTCCAGTCCTTCATGTTTATAAAATTGTGCGGGAGACATAAAAAGCTCCTGATACCTTGAATATATGCAGTTTAAAAGTAAACAAAAACTGAAAGTAGTTTATTAATCTCAATATTTAGGAGAGCGATTTAGCTAATTTGCAGGAGTCTTTAATGACTCCTTCAAAGGAAAGCCGACGTGTGTCTACAACTGACAAAGAAACTTTAAACCGGTTAATAACTAGCTGTAATAGTTAGTAAACAGGCCAATGTCCAACTGTTACAACCACATTGTTTTTGGACCATGGACAACAACTTTAACTCGATATTAAACATACATGTAATGCTTTGCCATAATAGTCATGAGAAGCATAGCAGCCTGAGGAAAGTAATGGATTGACAGTTGTGGCGTTTGATTCACCCTGATCTAAAGTTAATTCACACAAAGTATAAGATAATTGTCATTTGTTTTCCTCTATCAGAGGAAATTATAATGGATTACTGCATGTGATTGGCTAAAAAAAATCAAACCACACAGGTTAATTCCGCATCAAACAAAAATCTGTCTCACTTTAATCTATTGGTTCTATTTTAAGTATTTTAAAGGCGTTGTAGCAGTCATCATTTGGTGTCTGCTGGATATCGCTTTTAAAGATATCACATACATGTAGGGTCATGGGCAGTAATGTATCTTTGACATGCAAAATAAAGTAGATTTTCCGTTAATGGTGTCTACAGTCTAGTAGACATATCCCCCTGTGTACATATGTATACTATATATATATCTTGATTAAGTACATTTACATATATTGATATTTAGGATTGACCTATTCTGACCTAGCTTTTTGTCTAGAATGCACCATATGGTGATACTATTAGCTTGTAATTGATTGAGAGGTGTGAAGTATTGGTAACGGCAATATTAAATAAAATGAATCTTTATATATTGAAATGAAACTATTGTCAAATCTGGTCATGCCTACCCACAGTCTCGAAATCCAATAAAATAAAAAGAACTATATCATTAAATTGTATAGAATCTTTTCTTTTCTTATTCATAATGTATTATAGCATGTGACGGCGTAACTTGACGATCAAGGTTGTCTGGACCATGTGCGTTTCAATTTACTAAATAGCCATTATTGGCAAAATCACCCAAGGGCCTCGGTATAACAAATTGATCTTTTTATTTCTTTCATTTTAGATGACTTGTACCAATATGGCTGAACCTGAAAGGTAAGATTATTGTTAACTTTTCTTCTGTTTTTTTTTTGAGATACAAGTTTATATCCATCAAAAATAGAAATGGATTAATAGATTTTGTTAGGATTAATAAATTTTGTTGGGGGTTAAAAGATTTTGTGAGATGCTTTAATCCACAAAAAATTTTCTTGGGGAAACCTTGTCTTCATTAGAATAGTAGGATGTTAAAAACCCAACTTCATTTCATTTCTTGGGGAAAATCTTTGAAACATTAGGCCTCCAATTTCTTCTGGAAAAAAAATTAATTTAAAAAATAACCCAAAGGGTATTAGTTTTTCTTTTCAAAAGCTTTTAATTTCCAAATATTTATTTTTTGAAATTTTTAAAAGAAAACATTGATCACAAAGATGGAGTATTTTTTTTTATTGTTCAAGACCCCTGAAGAATTTGAAATTGAATTAGGTTGGCCATATTGATAAATTATTTACATCTATAGTTGTGTTAATTTGATTATAATTTCTTCTACTTGTTAGTAAAACACCCACTGCTGATGAAGTAGAAGATGTAGAAGAAATAGAAGGTAAGAATATAGATAGACACACTGGCCAGCATGTAATTCTCTATCGAGGAAAGTTTTTTTGTAGAGCAGTTTACTGTTAAAAATTGCTCTCCATAATTTTCATGTTTTGTCCTCATTGACAAATGATCAAGAGGCACAGTGTAATTACATATTATACTTATGTAATGAAGGCCTGGCTATAAATCCAACATATCATTACTCGAAAATGTAACTCTGCTTTATGATTGAAAGGAATCGCTACCCTTATATGACATAACTATCTTTGTTAAAATAATCTGTCATCTTGTCCAATCTGGAAGAACTTTCTTAGGAGAGCGAATTTTGACTTGCAAATTAAGGATAGCTTTTTCAAGCTCACCAGCAAAACAAAAACAATGACTTGACCAGTACAATTGTAGGATTTGTGCAGCAGATTTTATTTGTTGCAGATATTGTCTACTAGATAAAATCAGTGCTTGAAATGGAAGGAAAGCTATAGCTCTGGCTCTCCTGTTCTCTTTTGAAATCACATTTGGAAGAACTTTTTAATAGCCATTTTACCTTATCAAACAGCTCCCCTCTTCTCATTTTCATGGGTTGATTATGAAACAATGTTACATGTATAGCTTTGTCTTAAAATGTTATGGATTCCTCAAAGCTTCATTGAATATAGCAAAGTAATAGAATATCACTAGAAATAGATTTTCTGTTTCTTTTCAAATGTAGAGGATCTTTATTAAGCTCTCCTGCCTTTTTTATGATTCAAGCACAGCAAAATTAATTCATCCAGTCGTGAAAACAATAGTTAAATTTATTTTCTGATTGAAAGCGATAATGCCTGTTTTAAGATATTTCAGATAAAAATAATATTATGAAATCTTCTGTTGCTTGTTAATGTCAATATTTTCTACTTTCATTTTGTGATTGCTGCTTTTTAGCTAACAAACAAAATAAAGGCAAGTAAATATTACAGCCCACTTAATTATAATATTGGTGAATAAGTTTTCCATTTTCCAAAGTTTATTGCATGTTTCCCTCTCCCGCAAAAAAATTGTACAAAGTTGATTTTGTATTTGGGTCCTATAGGATGCGTGTGTGTTGGGGGGGGGGTATTTTATGTCAGCCACAAATAATTATTTTCCTATAATTTACCCTCTCATTTTTGAAAATATTCGATCCATATATTTAATCAATACAAGTATCAAACATCTAAAGTGATTGTGTTATATTGGTATATTGGTAAAGCAATAAAATGTTATTGAAATATTAAAGCCTCCGATCTCTATTCACATTTTTTGGACAATATCAAATTTCTCACCACTTGATCTACGCTAAAATGTGCTCTGATTGTTTATTTAACATTTAATCAAGTAAATAAATCAGAATATCAACGGTCATGGCTTGGATTAAATCAAATAAAAAAAAGGCTCATCAAAATGTTTCAGCGAGATTATAGGTGATTATACCATTTGTGGAGAATGTCAAATGTTGACAAATTTAATCGATTATATTTTGTAATACACTGAAGAGAAATGAACTATTATGGACTGATATTACACTTAGAGATTCAACTTTTATGATATTGACAATTGCAAGGGATTTAAAAATCCCTCAAATGACGACCAGGCAAGGATTTTATTGAAGTTGTAAAATTACAAATATATTGAAGAAAGAGTTGTTTTGCGAGCAGTTAATTATTGCCACATGTAACAATTAAAACGTATATGTTATTTTATATATTTCTAATACTTCTAGAAGCTGATGTTGCTTCAGCAGGAGATATTGCCTCCCAAGTGATGAAGAATCCACAAGTATTAGCTGCATTACAAGAAAAACTTGGTAGTATGGTGGGAGCTCATTCAGGTTACATACAAAGGTAAAACAAAACACGATCTTGAAAAGGATCCACAGTTATCTTGAAAAGGATCCACAGTTATCTTGAAATCACTACTTAACATGTTGACAGGTCCCAAGTTCACAAAGCATTCTTAGATTGTAGGTTAAGAATTTACTCAAAATTGTTCGACTTATTTTAACTAAAATATAGCCCATTATAAAATCTCTGTTGTTTTAATGTATCAAATACATGAATTAAAAACTATATGCAAAGTTTTGTGTTTCTGGATCGGAGATATTTCTCCGAAACAGTGATTGAAAGTTGAGCAAATTTGTAACATAAGTCTGAGAATGATTTGTGAACTCGGTGGGGGATCTGTCAAGTTATTTCCTTGCCCTTAGAATTTTAGAAAAGTTATGAATTTAGAAATATTTTAAGATTTATGTATTTAAAAAGTTATGAATTAAATATTGACCTATGTAACTTTATGTATAGTTGGATTTTAGGTGCACTGTTAAATATGTTGCATTAAAATTATTATTGCTGCAATTTTATAGAAGTATTAATATTTACTGCTAACTTTTGTGAATTAACCTTTCCAAGTTCATGGAAGAAAATATTTACAAAATCTGCTGTCTTTTCATTCGCTTTTTTCCATTTATCCAATACAACGTATTAATTGTACTCTACTCTATGATGCTTGAAATCTCGTTAATACATTTCTGTATTCTTTTTCTATTTCTTTATTTTAAATATGCAGATGGGATATTGATATTGACCGGTTAGTTTATTGTGACAAATGGTGGAAAGGGGGTTCAGATGATTGTTTAATTTTATTTTACAACCCAAAATGCCTCCGCATTTCCTAGTAATTCCCCATACTATTGAACTTGAACTCTTAGGACCCGAGCTGTACTTCAGCCAAGGAGCACCCAAGCCAGTCTTATGATTGCTCGGGTCCAAAGGCTTAACTTGTTTTTCTTCTTTTTTTTTCTTTTCTTTTTAAACCCACCCTTTTTTAAAACATATTCAAAGTTTCTTTTCATTCCATTTCAACTATCCTGAAAAAACCATTGAGATATGGCTTTTAAAATTTTCTCTCTGGTTTTCTTTAGTATTCCATTTTCCAAAATATATAATTTTGTTTAAACTTCACTGATTAATGTCATCTACTTCAACAATCAATGTCTTGGCTAGCTTTTTAAAAAAAAAAATCTATTGCATTATGGGATACAGTGTTGCTTTTTGTCAAGACAAAATTTTATAAACTCCTCTCTCATGATGTTGACCATCTGTGTTAATTATTCGAAAGGCATTTCAGTTTGTGAGGATAAAAATACAAAGAAACAATTCCAAGCATTGAAAATAAATAGTGTTGGTTAATTAAATTACTTGATCTACTGGACTAATTCTTTTATGTAATTGTTCGGGGTTTGTTTTGTTTTTTTCCAGCTTGCCTAAAGTAGTAAAACGTAGATTAAAAGCTTTGAAAAAATTACAGTTTGATGTGATAAAATTGGAATCAGAATTTTATAAGGAAGTTCATGATTTGGAATGTAAATATGCTAGTAAATATGTATCTATGTTTGATAAGGTGAGTTGATATACTGTTTCATTACATGTAGCTATTCATTCCTGGACTGTTAATCTTTCTCTAGTAAAAGGGGTGTTGGATGGTCGAATGGTAAGCATGTGCCCGTTGTATCATAAGGCCTGTCATTGAGTCAACTGGCGTGGTTTCGAATCCCCAGTTGTACATGACAAAGGAGTAGGGTCACCTGTCCAACCTCGTGGGTTTTCCCCAGGTCCTCCGGTTTCCTCCCACTGCTAAAGACCCCTATGCGCAAGCGAATTATTGAAATAAGATTAAACCATATGTTAGTCTCGAAATGACCTAGTTTGTGTCTAGTGGACGTTAAACCCCATTTCTCTCTCTCTCTCTAGTAAAAATTATCACGTCTTGTCATAGACATTGTCAGACAAATTATTACACAACATATAGGGCCAGCACTGTGCAATAATTTGTGCCTGACAAAGTCTGTGACAGGTGCCTTAGGTCCAGGTTTGAGCTTCGCTCTTGTTAAGTAACCCAGGGGTTATGACTTCCACCCCAGTGCTAGTCTACAAAGTTTCTAAAGATTGACGAGCCTTGTCAGTAGTGTACAACGTAAGGCCTGGCAAGTAAAGATGTCTATTTGTGCGAATGAGACAAAAAAAACTGATCTCGAAAATAGTTTGTAGCTGCATTGCCTGGGCCCTTGTAGCTTGTAGCACACTGTATATGCCAGCCTTCATTAATCCGGTTGTCTCGGAAAAGTAAAAGTCCATTTCCTTTCATGCATAAGCCTATTAGTTATGCATAAGCCTATTAGTAAGGCCGTGTTGAATTGATTCCTTGTTTCTCCTGCCACCACTCTGGCAATCATGTGCGGTAAACACAACACAAAGTGGGTTTCAAAACACAAAGTGGTCTGGTTGTGTACCATTTTTAATAATATTATAAATATTCTAGTTATATTATTGGTTAGAATAAAAACACAGATAATATTTATTTAATTAAATAAATTTAATAAACTAAAATTTGGTAACAAATGGCTTCTTTGTTTAACTTTTTAAAAAATGAAATAACCATATTTTGATATAAATTTTCCGTATTCTTGTGTTACAATACAATGGAAACATTCCAGTTAGACGAAATTTGATTCGCTTGTTGAGTTATAACTTATAGATGGTTTCGACAATATCATCGAACATGAAAGTGCTGGGAATACACACCAAAGTCGAGTCGAGATAAGTAAATTCGCGTACCGGTCGGCCTAATTTATTGATGTTCAAATAAATAATAGTGGTCCCGTTCGTTCGTTAATTTATTGATGTTCAAGGAAATAATAGTGGTCCCGTTCGTTCGTTCATTAAACTCCAGAAACGAACGAACGGGACCACTATTATTTCCTTGAACATCAATAAATTAGGCCGACCGGTACGCGAATTTACCTATGTCCCGGTATAGCTCACCATTTTGTAAGGCGTGCGTTACTTATTACACAAGATATGATTGGGTAATACTTGAATAATAATGACGTGTTATTTATTTTAGCCAATGAAAAAATTGATTATTCAGGTTCCCGGTTGAATATTAGCGACTGTCTTACAGTTTATAATATGCTTTCTCATTAGCCGAAATGACTGCTACACGCGCCATTTTGCGAATTCATCCAATCATATACAGTGTAACTTATTCCATAGTATGTGGGCACCTACATGGTTATTATCAACTGGATCCATTCACTTGATTTGATATTTGTTTATTCGGTGCAATGCCTATTTTCTGTCTTGTCCGCAGGTTTATCTTGTAGATTTTTGTTTTGCGTGTAGTGCGGCCCCCCTGCACTTACTTATTTAGTTCGTAACGAGGAATAAACAACGAGAATTGACTTCTGATGTTTGGTAGAATTTTTTTTAGATGTTATTAACGTAATTTTTTGAATATTTTTTTTTGTGTTAAAAACGTAAGCGCACGATTTTTGGGGTCCTCGACCTAAGCGTGCGGGCGAGGAGAAACAAGGAATCAATTCAACACGGCCTAACCAATCAAACTTATTGGCCTGTTATTCAAAATGGCAACATCCAATAGGAAACTGATTTGAAAGGATAATTTAATGCAGCTTCAAATCATTTATGAAGATAATATGATCTAAAGATTTAAAACTAAGGTTAAGAAATTATAAAAAATATTTAATTTTGTTATTTTCTAGAGAAAAGAAATATTAACTGGAAACACAGAACCTACAGACGAAGAATGTGATTGGCCGAGTGAAGATGAGAAAGATGATGAAGATAAAATATCAGTTAGTATTCTATTTGTATATATATATACATTCACAGGAATAAATTGTTTCAATGGCATTTAGTAATTGAACTGGAATGGAATATACAGGTCCCTATTCTGTGGAATACAATTACTGCTTATTACAGAGTGACCTTTCGACAAGGCTTCTGTTGTCTATTCATTATCGTTGCTTGATAATGGCTAGAGAAGCCTAGTCGAAACATCGCTCAGTAATAAGCAGTAGTTGTATTCCATAGAATTGTGACCTATATATCACAGGCATAATTCGAATGTACTATAAATCTAAAGAAGTTTATCAGAAATAGTGTTAACACATGACACAATTATATAGAATACAAGTTATTTAGTTGTGTTCAAATTATTTCTTACATTTGAGATTACAGCAGTGTCTTATCTATCTCGATTTGAAAGATCTTTTATGGTCTACATTGTCTGTGTTTGGTTTTGGTGATGTTTGTCTAAAGTTATAGTTTTTTACCTTTAGCCTATTATGCAGAGTTCCACCCTTATCCACATAAGCATATACATTAAGGAATCCTTTGGCTGTTGGAATTCAAAGAAGCCACTGTGCAGGCAAAATTCTCCCCCTTGAATTCTACACATAGTTATAGAACGAAAATTAGCTTATGTTTTCTTTCAAAACCAGCCATGTTCTGATGTGAACATGTAGCCTTTATTTCTCTGACCCAACTTGAGACTTTCTTCTGTTATTTCTATTTATCTGAAGGAGGACTTGAAAAACAAAGTAAAAGTAGAAGATAAAAATGAAGAAAAGAAAGATGATAGTAAGCCTTTTAACACCTGACTTGGTTGTATTTAATTAATTATCTATATTGATATATGTAGTAGTAATTAACACCAACTACTTTTGCTTTATTGATTGGATATTGATTTGTCCTATGTTTTTATTTTGTTGAGATGACTTAAAGAGCATGTACATGTATAGTAAAAATAGTTGTTGGCCTTCTTTTCTAATGATTCTGGTGCCAAAGTAAAAATTATGAAAGAAAGAGGGGGGGTCAAGGGTGTAACGTGTGCAGGGTCACCTGTCACACTTCGTTGGTTTTATCTGGGTCCTCCCACTGCTAAAGACCCCTACTTTCAAGCTTATTATCCAAATAAAATTGAATCAAAATTAATCCCAAAACTCTCTCTCTCCTCCCTCCCTCTCTCTCTCTTTCTCTCTTGCTCTGCTTCTCTCAAAATATACAAATTCTTGTGACTGGACATTTAACAACATTTATTATGATTGAGCAATTAACAGATTTTGTGACATTTTCTGGTTATTGTTTCAGGTGATACAAAGGGTATACCACATTTCTGGTTAACTATATTTAAGAATGTAGAAATGTTATCAGAAATGGTACAGGTAAGATCTTTATATTCATACTGTATTTAAAGGGGGATATAAACAGTTTAATTCAAAAACATTTTAAATAGCTGCTGTCTGGACAAAATGTCTTGCATTGCACTTATAACCATTGAATGAAAAATAACACAATCTTTAAATGACCAAATTATTGTGTTCAAGAGACAAAAAAATACTTTTCATTTCAGTTCTCAAATATTCCAATTTAAATGCCATTGATATAACTGTATTGTAAGATCTAAAATTAACCCCTTGGCAGATGGAATTCGATATAAGAGTAAGCCATAGCGTCACTCTGGGCAAAATTTCCCTCCTGGCACACTATGGCATATGCCCGTCTTCACTAGCCCAGTTGGAGCAAAACTGTAGGACTTTAAACCCCATTTCATTTCTAAAATCAACCTACTAAGCTCGTGAAGTAAGATTACTAGAGATATTGTTATAAATATTATATTTTAGGATCATGATGAACCTATTTTACAACATTTACAAGATATTAAAGTTATATTTACAGAAACGGAACCAAAGGTATAGTATACAAGTTTACCTTATGTACAGCTGAACAATTATAAGTTAGTTCTATCAATAATTTTAACAAATATGTCTGTGTGGAATACAATTCATATTAGTTAGATCAACAATTTTAATAAAAAAGGCCTTAACCCGACTAAGATGATCAATAATTGTAACAAAAATGTCCTTAACCTAAGATGATCAATAATTGTAACAAAAAAATGTCCTTAATCCGACAAAGAAGGTATAAAAAATATTGATTTTCAAATCTTGATGGAAGTACTGATAAAATGGAAGAAAATTTTAAGTTTGTCCTTTATTTTGTAGTCAAGTTTTCATATCAAATTATTTATGCTTCTGTAGACGTGCATGTATATATTTTGCATGATTTACGACATAGGGGATCACGTGGGTAAGACGCTGGCTCGCTAGCCTGGAGGTCGGGAGTTCAATCCCTGCATTGGCCGAGAAAGTTCATTCAGATTTTCCGGTGTGGTTTCCCCTTGACAGTGATGCAGGATGGAGGGCCTGACAAGGACAGCTGTCGGATGGGACAAAAAAACGAGGTTACGTGTACACATTGGCGTGCACATAAAAGATCCCTTGGCAGTTGGAATTTGATATAAAAGTAGGCCATAGGGCCGCTGTCTGGGCAAAATTTCCCTCATAGCACTGTACACACTGTATGGTGTATGCATTAGCCCTGGTTAGGAGCAGAACAGTAGGATGTTAAACATAATAAAATGAGGGAGGAAATGATTTTTGTTTTCTTTTCAGGGTTTCACATTAGAATTTCATTTTGCCAGTAACGAGTATTTCACTGACACAGTCCTGACAAAACATTACACATTACGGTTTGAACCTGACCCAGAAGATTCCTTTTCTTATGAAGGACCAGAAATAGTCAAATGCCAAGGGTAAGCTTGGTTCGAAAGTTTTAAATTTTAATAATTCCCCACCCATTCTACAGTTCTCGCGTGTCTACAACTGCAAGCAGAGGCGTCCAAGTATTTTTTTTCTGTTTTCAATAAAGAGGTCTTGTGAAGAACTACAGAACTTTCCAACCCTGATTTGCGAGTCTCGACACTTTTTATATGCCAACATGGAAATGTGGACATTATTGCCGTCGCTCCCGTTCGTCCATCGTCCACAATTTCTTGTAAACGCTCCAGTTGTTTTAAAATTGATATATGTTGTTTACATTAGTGAGATGAAGAAGCCTCTTTAATTTCAGCAATTTCCGTTTATTACGTCTAGAGTTATGGCCCTTGTGTTCTTAAGTTGGCAGGTCTAGTTGTTAGGATGGGACTTAGAACTGAGACCATGTTTATTCCATTGGCAGCAGGTTATAGATCACCTGACAATTGGAATTCAAAATACGGATGGACCACCGTGCCACTGCCTGGGCAAAATGTACCTCATAGTCTAGTGTAACTCTGCCTTAATTAACTTGGTTACAGAACAATAAGACATTGAACCCTATTCCATATGTAAATATGCATTAATATACGTAAACTAATGATGTTTATAATTATGATTTCAGTTGTCCAATTAATTGGGTTAAAGGTAAAAATGTCACAGTTAAAACAATAAAGAAGAAACAGAAACATAAAGGACGGGGTACAACACGAACAGTTACAAAAACTGTTACAAACGATTCTTTCTTTAATTTCTTCAACCCTCCAGCAGGTAATTATTATACCACTTGTTAAAACCTGATTGTCATTTACATTTTAGGCTGCTTAGTTTGTTGTGATCAGGAGCCTTGAACCACACCAATTTGAAATTTTGTGCATCGGAAACACCTATTAAATATTTAATCCTATTATAATAAGGGCGGTTAGTGGCATGGGTTTGATTCCCTGCTTGTATGTGACGAGGGGAAGGGTCGTCTGTCCAACCTTGTGAGTTTTCTCCAGGTCCTCCGGTTTCTTCCCACTACTAAAGACCCTATCATATGTTAGTCCCAAAATGGCCTAGTTTGTGTCGAGTGCACATTAACCCCATTTATCTCTCTATTAAAAGAATTCTCCATCTGGGGCATGTTTCACGAAATTTTAACTAAGATAAAATCCAAATTTTAGTAATTTGATTGGATAATATTAGATTGATTTTAGTGCTTAGTCAATCAAAATTGAAGTATCTGATAAAATAAGGATTTATCTTTAGTTAAAATTTCGTGAAACAGGGCCCTGAACTTTACGAGTAAGATAAAAGGACTTGAATTCAGTGTAAATTAAATTCTCTCCCCTTGTCTTATACATGTAAAATACCAAGTTCAGATTAATTTAACTTCCATTGTTGTTTTTAGTTCCAGAAGATGATGCTGAAATGGTATGTTTGTTTTTTTTTGTGTTTTTTTTTTTTTTTATATATTTTTAATATTTTAGTTATATTCATATTACTCAAAATATTTAATCGCCACCCTTTTTTTTTTGTCCATTTTATTTCTTGGTCGTATGCGTACGGAACTGGATGATACAGGGACATTCTCAAAGCATTAAAAGAAACAAAATTTTGATCTCACCTTTCAAGCAAGATTTCTAAGTCATTTATGACAGGAACTTGATGAAGCTCTCTGGAAAACATATGCTTGTTAAAGACGGAGTTCAACTTATTTGAAAAGTTTTTTGTAAATGATATAATTTGTGTAATATAAATGAGTAGATATTTGTGTCTTGTATGAAGATTGTTTTCTGTAAGTTGTTTTCTGTTTGTTACAGGATGAGGACTTAGAGGCCTTATTAGCAGCTGATTTTGAAATCGGACATTTTATTCGTGATCGTATAGTTCCAAGAGCTGCTTTATACTTTACCGGTGAAGCTTTAGATACAGATGATGTGAGTTACTTGGGTTTATTTTTAATATATTGTACTAATATAAATCAGCTATATGTGGAATGTTTTAAATGTAGAAATATTTTCATATAGTATGGCAAATGAGCGAATAAAATTTAATTTAGTCAAGTTTTCACCTAAATCAGAGCATTATTTGCAATAACTCAAAGTAGCCTTTTGAGAGCAAAAATCGGTGCTTTGTTTTTAAGGCTTAACCAATGGACAGACTTCAAGGAGCCCCCCAACACACACACACACACACATTTTAGTCGTTCTGATGGACGAAAAAAACGAGGTCCCGTGTACACATTGGCATGCACATAAAAGATCCCTCATAGCACACTCTATGGTGTATGCCCGTAGGACTTAAACCCCCATTCATTTGGAAATCGAGATTCTCGTAGCACACTGCATAGCATTAAATGACATTTCGTTAATATTGTATGTTTTATATTATAGTATGATGAAGAAGAAAATGAAGAGGAGGTAAGTTACTTATGTCTGTAGTGAAAGTAAATTAGTTCCATTTCACATATTTTATGGTGTAATTAAGATAAACACTGCAAAGCGAACTTTACAGAACACATAACTTAATGCAAAAACCGGATGTGCTCAGGTTATATAAACTAATAACTCCATTGCTACTGACAAAGTAATGTTTTATATAAGAAATGGTACTACAATAAGAGTCCAGAGGAAAGTTCATGATGGCTTATGTTATATTAAGATTAGGTAATTGATGACAAAGTTTTAAATGAAGAAAATAGTCTAGAGGAGAGGTTATGGTAGCCTATGTTATATCAATAGTAGGTGATGACAATAAAGTTGTAATTGAAGAGTGTAGAGGAGAGGTTTTGATGGGTTATGTTCTATTTTGTAGGGTGAAGAAGAAGATTATGATGAAGATAACGATGCTGATTATAAACCAGCTGAGGTAATTAAAACATAAAGACTTAGATTTGAATGCATTCAAAGAATTAGATAGACAAAATATAGCCAATAAATTATCCCACTGCATCTTGAACGATCCTGTTATCATTAATTACTTTCAAGTCTTTGAAGCTCTCCATCTCAATGATTGTGACCTTTACTGATCCACTCTTCCACTCCCGAGTTGTCTTGAAATGACCCAGTTTGTGTCAAGTGGATGTTAAACTCCATTTCTCTCTCTCCAAGCAGTAGCTATACTCCGTGGAAATGAAATTTCCTGCTTCAAATTTATGTATTAATAGTTTTTTTTAATGATTTCTCTTTCCAACATTTTCTAATCAAATAAGGATATCTGGCGACTTGAGTTTTAATATGAGAAGGTAAGAGGCATTAAGGTTAAACCCCAGTTCATTTTATTTACCAAATAAATGGGTTGTGGTGTCGTCATTTGGAAACGTAAGCATACCGCGCCTTTATTCCAGGGTTGGACAATATTTTACTTTCCATGTGCTGAATATTGATATGCCATATATCTTCAAAAGTTAAGATAAAGAAAAAATGTTAGCAGCAATGGAAAAGTTTTTTATTTTGAGACTTTTTATTATGTTAAGATTTTGCAATAAATAGTGGGGAAACTACAGACTATCAAAGAAAGTCAAATTAAATCATTATTTTCATGAGATGCAACGTTAAACTTTGATTTATCCAATGTGACACTTTTGGATAAGCAGTCGGAATAGAAAAATACATGGAGAATTTCGATCTTGATGAATATCTCAAATAAAAATTGATAGAACTACTAGGCTACACTTGTAGTCTACCGGTCAATCCAATATCTTGGTTCTGGTGGGGTTTCATGGGACAACATATAATAGTCACATGTGCATATTAACCTGCACGTAAAAGAACCCCGACAGTTGGAATTAGAAATATGAGTGAGAGACTGTAGCGCCGATGTCTGGGCAAAAAATTTCTCTCAGAGCATGGTGTTTGCCCGTCTACATTAGCCCAGTAGGAGCAGAAATGTAGGATGTTAAAACCCGATTTCAATTTCTGGTGGGGTTTTGTTTAAATTAATACAGTCAAGTTGTATAAAACTAAATCTGAGACTAATAGTATTGGTAATGTATTCGATACAAGAGTGATATAAACACTCAAGTTGAGCTGCGTTGACTTGAAGGTTATTATTGATAACATTAAAAAAAATAACTCTTTTTAAGTGCCCAGTTTTGTTTTAGCAAGTATTTCAATTCTAAATTTACCAGATTTTGCTGGGGTTTTTTTATCGGTAAAAGACTGAATAGGCAAGTTACATTTACACAACTGGTCATATTTTCATTGTTGGATGTCCTTGACATTTTCTAAATTCAATAATAATTCTTCACTGAGTGTGTCTTTTCTGACGGCCATTTTGAAAACACTGGTAAGGTCAAAAAAAGGACTTGGACTGCCTCAACCTGAGTAACTCATATTTATTAAAACTAAAACAAAATAGATTGTACACAGACGATGTTGGCACTGATTGACTGCATTTTATGTGCACAAATAGATCGTTCATGTATTATTAAGGTACTGAAAGAGTTAAAAGTTTTTATAATTAAGACACTTCTGGTTGGTAGTAAGTTGAGGATCAATATAATAATTTCCTTCACTTAAGCACTATATTTCTGTTCAATCTGTGAGTCATGTTTGTTTTTTTTATTTGTATTTTTTGTCTGCTGCCTTCTTGTGCTCATTCTTAGTAAAGGTTAGTGTTTCAATCCTTTATTATTTATTCTCAACACTTTACCTGTGTATTTTCTTCTGATGTCCAAACAGTGTGACGTTGTCTTGTGTGGTCATTGTGTTGTCATGCGTGGTTGTCGTGTTGTACAGTCAAATCTGTACATTTACATGTATTCTTTACTTTATACTGATGGTTACATTGAATCCCGATCTACTATTCAAATATGCTTTGTCATTATCTGAATATTCAATTCAATTTCAATGATCAGCATTTTGCATTGTTGATTGGACATGTGTGATTGTCTCTGCATTTGACTGAAAAACTTGACGACAAGTTAAATATAATTATAACATTGACCGAGAAGGAAAAGCTGCTGGTGGGGCCTGTGGTCTGTAACATGACAACGGTTGTTAGATATTTAAAAGTAAAATTGTATTTTTTCCCCTACTATTATTACCATCCCTCATTTATGTTTTGTAACATGGCTACAGTTGTTAGATATTTGAAAGTAAAATTGTATTTTTGTCCCCTACTCCTATTACCCCTCTCTCCTTTATAACTTTATAATTCAATTAGGACAGTTTTTCTTTCAATATATTTAGTATCCAATTTTAATTTACTTTCAATTTTATGATCATTGTCATTCAAAATGGTTTTGGAAAAAAATAAGTTCGAGCAGTCTGTGTTTTATCGTGTAGATATACATGCTTCCATGTTTTTCGTGCTGTATGAATTATGTTAATTCTTCTATTCTTTCTAGGGTTATCACTCTGCATAATCTTCTTACTTTTGGTTGCTATGTTTATTTTTCCGTATATACAGTAGGTATTCTTAATTAGTTGTGATTGACAGTTTGACGTCTGCTTTGGCTGAACTTGTTTTTGTCCTATTCATGGTTTGTAATTTCATCACATGCTTCTAAAACTAACTATATGTTAAATTTTTGAAATTGTGGTGCCTATTTTGGAAGAAGTTTGTCTTAAACACACAGAATTAATTTTGTATGAGACACATTGCCTTTAATCTCTAAATTATTGAATTGTGCATGTCTTTCGTACGCAAAATTTTAATTCTGCTTTGTTTTGTATAAAGAAAAATAATTTTTGAAGTAACTTTCGTGGGGAATTGCAGAGTGATAATAAACATGGTTGCCTGAATAACCTTGTAGATTTTCCCTAGATTGAGCAATAAATATGTTAAACTTATTATGCAAGAGCTAAATCTGCCTAGTTATATAAACTATTAGACATTAATAAACTTATCCAAACCATAATCAACTCTCGATATCATTTTATGTGTCAGATTTTCACTGGATTTGAATCAGATCTGCTGCTCAACGCTCATTGATGATTAAATCCAAAAATGGATAATCAAGACATTTTTTTTTTATTGTACCGACTTTAGTAATGATGATCAGGACTAGGCTTAAAATTCAAACGCTAATATCTTGGTTCAGAGTGGAGCAATTTGACTGAAATTTTCAACATATTCTATTTACGTTATCTATTATTTAACTAATATAATAAAAACTGTCAACTCTTTATCTAATCTCCCATAATGCATTTTTAATGGTTCAAAATCTTAAATACTTGAGTGAAAATGGTTCTCCAGTTCCACATGCTACTAAGTCTTGCATCAAAATGAAATAATTTGGTCCAAAAATGACATTTGTATATTGTGTGTGCATTTTTTGGGGTTTTTTTGTCCAGCCTTTTGTATGTGATTGGGCAATCTGATTAAAACACAGATCCTATTTCGTTTCGTTTTTATAGTTCAAAATTTCGTTTCTACTTGTCTTTACTACACTAGGATCTGGAAGAGTTGTTTTCATTGACGTGTTCTGAATGATGTAAGGGAATAGCTAATGAAACGGTCAGTTACGGCGAGCTTTAGGCGTGTATTGCATAAAACTGTGGGTAATCCACTAGTAACATCAAATGTCTTTTAACGTCATAAGGTCAAAAGCTGCTGGTATGACCTCTGACGCGACCTATCGCTACAACTGGTCAGATCTTCATGTAGTGTGGGCCATCGAAAGTATAAAAAACGAAACGAAATATAGATCTGTATTCTAATCAGATTGGTGATTGGGATTCTTGTTAACACATTGGGGGGGTTGGATGGCTGAATGGTTAGCGTGCGCACGCTGTATCATAAAGTCTGTCATTGAGTCGACTGGCGTGGTTTTGAATCCCCGGTTGTACGTGACAAGGAGTAGGGTCGCCTGTCCAACCTCGTGGGTTTTCTCTGGGTCCTCCGGTTTCCTCCCTCTGCTAAAGATCCCTACACGCAAGCGAATTATTGAAATAAAATTAAACCATATGTTAGTCCCGAAATGACCTAGTTTGTGTCAAGTGGACGTTAAACCCCATTTCTCTCTCTCTCTCTCTGTTAACACATTGGATCTTTTTGAAATTTTAATCCTACCTTCTTGTTATCAAAAGTCATCTACTGATTACAAAAGATTTCCAAGAATCATGGCGCTCAGAGATTACCATTTATATGTGAAAATTTGTTGACAATGTTCATTGGGATTTTCCGGCTCGGTTTCTCGTTTGTCAGTGATGCAGGGCATGGGGACTGACAAGGAAAGCTGTCTAGTCAGTCGGGTTTGACGAAAAACCGAGGTCCCATGTACACATTAACGTGCACATAAAAGATCCCTTGGCAGTTGGAATTCGATATAAGAGTAGGCCGTTCTGCCTTGTCCGTGCAAAATTTCCCTTCCAGCACGCAGCATGGCCCAGTCAAAGTAGGACGTTAAACTCCATTTTTATTGACACTCTAGATGCTAGACACAGAGAGTAATTAAAAACTTGTTTGAGAGCATTTTCAAACAACCATAAAATTGTAACAGTATTAGTGGTGCCCAGATGGTGTTTGTATGTTTTGTTGCCTGGCAACCCATTGATTTGTCTGTAGCATTCATATTCAGAATGGCCATGGCTAACTTATTGATGTTGACATACTTTCTTCATTCATTTTATCAAAACCAACAAAATGGTTGCATGCTTAAACATCTAAGATGCATTATGTAAGAGCTAAATCTGTAAATCTGCCTATTGCAGATCTTTCTTTTGACCGCTAATGTTCTATAAATTGTTAATTAGACATTTATGCACGTGACAAGCCCATTATCAACTCTCTAGACATCGGGGGGGGGGGGGGGGGAATGGCCGTATGGTTAGCCCGTGCACGCTGTATCATAAGACCTGTCATTGAGTCAACTGGCGTGGTTTCATAACCCCGGTTGTACATGACAAAGAGTAGGGTCGCCTGTCCAACCTCATGTGTTTTCTCCGGGTCCTCCGGTTTTCTCCCACATCTAAAAGACCTCTAATTGCAAGCGAATTTTTGAAATAAAAATTAAACCATATGTTAGTCCCGAAATGACCTAGTTTGTGTCAAGTGGATGTTAAACCCCATTCTCTCTCTCTCTCTAGATCATCAGATGGTTGTGATTTTGAACAGATTGTTCAAACAGTCATAACTTCTTTTTTTAAACTGTCGGCTCTTTATCCAAATCTTACATAATGCATCTTTAATTGCAAGCTCATATGTGACTGAAAGGATTTTAGGTTTCAATGTGCCTGTCAAGTTGTTAGTTATGTTGATTGAATATGGTGTTATTTGAAAGTTTCTATTGATAGTATTTTATATTTTTTTTTTTTAGTAACTAGGTTAATTTTTAAAATTTGCTGATCCGATAAATTTATTTTTACAATCTCAGCTCCCAGAGAGAAGTTTATTCGGTTCCTAAGCTCCTCCCCCAGTGGCTCCTTATTGGCTGGTATTTTTTGAATGAAATGCTGACGATTTCTTGACAATATGGCATTAGTTCATCGCATGAATTCCATATTAATGATCCTTGGAAGATTTTTCACATCTTGATGTCAAAAGTACATTCGATTTAATAAATCACCGAAAAATAATTTTAGCACGCAGTGTGAGTGATTCAGCGATACAAGCATAAAATATGCGAAATTTCTAAAGAAACCCAAGTTTGAGCTGCCATCTTGGATCTTTGTGAAGCAGAAGGATACATCATGTGACATTCAAAATGCCCGTCATGATTCCCCAGAGAGAGAAACGATCGGTAAACTTCTGTCTGGGAACCAAGACTGAATGTATTTTTAGGACAATATCTTATTTTTACACAAATTAATGTGTTTAAATGTATTCAGTTTAATTCTTTGGCATTCAATTAAATGTCTTTCCAATTTGTATATTTTCAGGGAGAAAAGCCACCAGAATGCAAGCAGCAATAAAGATATATTTAGGATATTTAGAAGTGAATTAAAAGTCAATGTCAGCACATTCTCTCTAACCTTGTTGGTGCTTGAATGTTTTATTGTTGAACAAATGAGGTCATCAGATGCAATATCACATAATGAAATGATTGACCACTTCTATTATGTGTTATCATATTGTCTCAGAGACTGACTCTTTTTATTTTGGAGCTCTACATTTAAGAATAGCAAACCCCGTTCAACCCCTGCTAAGACATTCTCTCCGGTAACTCCTTAATCCTTGTGTATTATTCAATGTTTGTTACGCTCCCCAATTTCGTCTACTCCGAATTTTAAAAGTGCTAAAACTTAGGGACAGATTGTAAGAATTAACTACGTCGGAGTTAAACTGTTCATTTCAACCTGTGATGCCACTGAAATCCTGTGTTTCAAGATAATGTATACAAAAATTGTATATTTTTCTAAAACTCTTAAACAATTTTACATCATCTCAAAATCATGCATGAATATTTAGTTTAAAATAGAATTTACTACCAAATAATATGGGTATTTAATTTTATTTTGAAGGAGAAAATTCATAATATTAATAATACATGAATATGCATGACCAAAACTGTGGTTCATACCATTTGATTCTGCCCTTGATATGACTGAATGATTGCTTGCCAGCAGTATGAATGGACAGCAATCTCAGTTTCACAGTATTCTTTGCTATCATTAGGAGTATTGACCCATACCATCCATTCTTTAGACAATAATCTACCCATGTATGTCACCGCAGTAGAAAGACTTGTCATATTCCATGGATCTGATAATTTGGGCTGTATGCAAAAAACAATAAAATTGTGAAAAGGGCATTACTTCTTTGATTATGTAGAAAATTATACTTTCACTTTGGTTGAGTCTTGGGTGTCTCCTATATAAGTCAATAAATTTAACCAATGTTCAAGTAATAAGAAAAATTGGAAATTTTAATATGTAGAAATGATTGTTTCTTCAATATATGAACAGAGACAGCGCCCATTAAAAGCAACCAAATCAACATTTTATTTTTTTGTGCATAAATCAGCGAATTTACTACTTTAAATAAAGATGTTAAACATTCATTCTTTTTAAATCTGTTCATGTTTTTTTATGTGTATAAAAAAAATTGTTAAATAAGCAAAGGTATGATTTCAAACATTCATCGAATTCGGAGAAAATTAATTAACACGTTCTCAAATTAATAATTCATTCATGTTTTATCTATTTTACTAAGTTATTATAGGAAATAAAATCCAATTAAAGCATTTTGCTTGCCTAATTTTAGAGAAATTAAATTGTGAAGCTATACCTTTGGCGCTTAGTGTGAAACGTGTACAGAAATCTCAGAAAAGCTCTGAATAATATTGTATTTTCATTTGAATATATTTTTAATTGGTTGATGCAATTAAATATTGTCAAAAGTTCAGTTAATGACAGTGTTTTGGTTGTTTATAAATTTTTAATTGTATATTACATTTTTGCAGCTCTTTTGTTGATTAGACAATGTTGACAAATTATCTCGGTGTTGAAGCCAATGAGATGAGTTGCGAGTAGTTAAATGAGCTTCAAAGACGGAACATTCTTAGTGAACGTCTTGTTTAGCCGTAATTTGTCTCTGTACACTGAGAGGTGTGGATGAACGAATGGGAATGCTGCATCATAAGGTCTGTCATTGAGTCAACTGACGTGGTTTCGATTCCCCGGTTTTACGTGACAAGGAGTAGGTTGCCTGTCCAACCTCGTGGGTTTTCTCTGGGTCCTCCAGTTTCATCCCACTGCTGAAGACCCCTACACGCAAGCGAATTATTGAATTAAAATTGAACCATATTTTCGTCCTGAAATGACCTAGTTTGTGTCGAGTGGATGTTAACCCCTGTTTCAATTCTCTGTACTCTGTTCAGTGAAATTCAGTGGAAGCGGACGTAAAACAACAACAACTGAAGATAAAAAAAACCCCAGATAATAAAATTGTGTAGCGACTGTTCTTCGCATCAATATGCAGTGATAAAAAAAACATTAAACAACCGTTTTCCTAAACAAATACTTAACAAACATCTTCATTTATTGGTTATCTAACCAAGGGACTGCATTGGATTGGATCAATCATGTTGAAGTGTGGCATTCAATATGGCAACTCTTCATCAAAAGTTCCTTTGTCCTCTGAATTTGAAAAAAATTCTAATTGGTATTTGGACGTATTTTTACAGCAACATAACCCGTTTCTTACCAGTAAAAGAACTAGGAAAACCCATTTCATTTCTACTAGTAAGTACAGGAGAGCCGATCTACACGCAAAACAAAAATCTACAAGATAAACCTGCGGACAAGACAGAAAATAGACTTGTAACATGGACGGGAAATCTTCCTTTGTTCTTTTCGATGAATAAGCAGATTTTTTTCCCTCAAGTAGATTGGGTGGAGCTTAACCGTGCAATAAGACATGTTCAATGTTATTTCACACTTTTGCTGGTTTACACTAGTTTTAACAGAAATCATATAGAGAAGTGGGGTGGGTTTTCTGTGCAATAACATCAAGCATGTTGAGCAGGTGTCAATGTTAAAAGTCATTTATAGCATGCTTCATTCGTTAACAGGTTTAACGCCTTGGCCTACGGCCTCTGGTCAAACCTGTTAACTCATGAAAGCCGTGCTATAAATATAACATAGCACCAAATAAACAAATATCAAATCAAGTGAATGAATTAGTGGGAGAACCAGTCTTTAACATAATCAATTGACATTTGGGCAAGGTAGGCTAGTGTGAAATAAAATTCCACCCACAACTCTTCTGATCTTGCAGTAAATATCAAAGACGTTGCACAATGGCAGTCGTTTTCTGAAATGCTTTTGTTTAAATTAAATATCACTGTAGGTTGTTGAGAAAGCAAAGTTACGAGGGGAAGTCAATATGTTCATAGAAGTGGATATAAAACAGAAGCCAATGGTTGTGATATTGATTTTAGTTTTCAATATAATCTCCCTGGACCTCGATGCACTTTGCCCATTTGTCCCTGAGACTGTCTATGCCCTTGCCGTAGAAGTCTTCTGACTGGCCCCTCAGCCACACCTCAGTAGCTGCCTTGAGTTTATCATCACCAAATTTTGTACCATGCAAGTGTGATTTCAAATTGCGAAACAGATAGAAGTCGCTTGGGGCCAGATCTGGACTGTAGAGGGGATGGTTAAGTTGTTTAAAGCCACATTGTTGAAGTGCAGCCGGTGCACTACGACTCTTGTGCACTGGAGCGTTGTCACGAAGAAGCATAACTCCAGCAGTCAACATGCTGCGACTCTTCTTCTTGATCACCGCTCTCAATTGCTTCAACAAGTCAGCATTGTAGGCTCCTGTTGTTGTAGTTTTAGGCGGTTTATAGTCCCAGAACTTGTTCGCCATGATCTTGCCAGCAGAAAGCTGAGTTCTGAACTTCTTGGGTGCAGGAGAGTGCTTATGCTTCAATTGCATGGATTCTTGCTTGGGTGTCAAAATCCCAGTGATGAATCCACGTTTCATCCCCTGTAACCAGACGGGCATGAAAGTTATCGGGATCAGCATTGTAGATGTCCAAGAGCTCACGACTGGATTCAACTCTCTGGTGTCGATCTTGTGCATTTTACCAATTTTAGTTTGGCACCCATCTTGCAGACACCTTGGACATAAGAGCTCATGAATTATGGAGCAAACACTTCCGTGAGAAATGCCACACTCTGAAGATATCTCGTCCACCTTTATTCTACGATCGGACATGATTAAGCCCTGGACCCGTGCAACCATATCATCTATAATGGCTTCAACAGGGCTTCCTGTGGGTCATCGTCCAAGGAGCTGCGACCCCAACTCAGCTGACCATTTTGCAACAGTAGAATATTGAGGGGCTTCCTTCCCATACACATTGGTATCATTGGTCATACGTTTATGTATTTCGGTCGCATTCACCCCTTCTTTCGTGAGAAACTTGATAACTGCACGATGCTCAGTTTTTTAGAACTTTCCATGAATACAGGAGGGTACCTGTTTTCAACAGGCAGTAAATGATCGGGAAGGGTTGTTTATGTCTGTAAACTGTCGTCAGATGGCCTATCTCATATTCTCAATAATGACATCAACGACGATGTCTTCAGGGGTGTATCAATAGGCCTGCCCACTTCTATGAACTTATTGACTTCCCCTCGTAGCTTGGCTAAAGTGAGTTTGTTCCCCTTAATCAGTCTGGATAATGCTATCTACACAATGCTATTGAGGAGACTCTTCCTTCATAATCATATTAGTAAACTGCCTCTGTCATTAATAAGAAGTGCCACAACTAATATTATGGCTTGTCAGAAACTAGACAGGTCTGCTGCCGAGAAGTTAATATCAGAAACGGACAATTTTTTATTTGATTGTGATGGTAAGGAAAAGAGGGTACCGGTGTCTTTGATCTTCATTATTTTAGTAAAAGTGATGAGTTTATAATCAATGGGACTAACATATATATCGTATAGACCTAGAAAGAAAGTGATTATCATACAGACCTTATTGATGTGAAACATGTAGTCGGATAAAACTTTATTTTACCATTATATAACTATAAAGGCTAGGCCTCTCTCTAGCATTTACTATTTAAAATTTAGAAAGTATTAGGGTACTATATTATATACTATAGGCTAGGCCTTAGGCCTCATTGGACTGTGAATTTAGAAATTGCAGAATCATGTTGATTACTAATAGCACTCCCTCATAAATTTTATTTGAAAATAAATTTATTTTCAAATATTAAAATTACAACAAACATTTCACAAAGTATTAGTAGTAGGTACAGGTATCTAATTTTAAATCTTACAAAATGATGTATTTTTCAAAAAAGTAAGTGGATATTGACCGATCCCGTTGAACACCATTGTCATTTTTGAAAAAAATATTTTGCTTCTTCAAGGGCTTAATCTAAAGTGTACATGAATTTGATTGGATTAATTAGAGGCCCATTTATATCCCATTCCCGAAACTTTTTCTTCCACTCACTTACTTCAGCTGTCTACAGCCATATCCACCAATTTTTCATGTGATAGAATAGGTTTAACAGATTCGAAGTAGTTTATGTTTTCATGTGCAGTTTTCATGGCAGAACTGTATGATTTACCGATTGTTTCAAAGTAATGTTTAAGACACTTATTTAAGTCTCTGTTGATTGGGAATTGCGCCGAACCCCCTAGACTAGGGTTTTTGATTTTGAATAAAATGCTAAAATAGTAGCGCCTAATTCAAAATATTCTCTTTCATTTAAATGTGTGCTTAATTTGGTAATGGACAGCAATGGTTTACTTTGAAAGCTGTAAAGGCACCCCCAGTACATTACCGACCACTGTATTAACAAAAAATCAGAGTAAAAAAAAAAGTGTTCTGAAAAATTATATCTCACCTACTATTGCTTTTCAGGTGTATTATGGGATGGACATGGTGCTATACCAGGAAGTGTAGATACTATAGCACATCTTAAAAGATTGGTAAATAGATGTAACTCTTTCAGTGCTAGTGGGGGGGGGGGGGGGCGAATGGTTAGCACATGCACGTTGTATCATAAGGTCTGTCATTTAATCAAACAGCATGGTTTCGATTCCCCTGTTGTATGTGACAAGGCGTCGGGTCGCCTGTCCAACCTCGTGGATTTTCTTTGGGTCCTCCGGTTTCCTCCCACTGCTAAAGACCCCTACGCGCAAGCGAATTATTGAAATAAAATTAAACCATATGTTAGTCCTGAAATGACCAAGTTTGTGTCAAGTGGACCTTAAACACTCCTCCCTCTCTCTCTCTCTCTCTCTCTCTCTCTCTTCACTGCTAGCAAAATTTGAGTATAATTTAACTGAAACCAGTGGAAATAACCCTGCCTCAAGTTAAAATAATCCTCTATATTGACTATATCAGGGCTTTCATTTCAAAATATTCTATCTGATCAGTTTGTGTATCTCAAAATTTCCCTGGTCAACCTCATACAGGCTTTGAACCAGGTCATTGACAGACCTTGAAAATGTGGGAGGTGGTCAAAGAGGCAAAAATTAACAATGGGAGAATATTGGGTGGTCTACATCATAAACATCAAGTTTTTAGGAATTCAAATTTATCTCTGTAGGTCGTCCGAAAACAGGGGACTATGAGAAAGTCCATGAAACACCAGAAGAAGTTCTATTAAAATTAAATGGATGAATATTAGGTTAAAAAAAACCATGGCTATTTATATTGTGTAAGAGATCTACTATGACGCAAATAGATTTTGAATTCCTGTCTGCTGGCCATCCTGGTGTAGTTAAATGTAAGTGGTTTAAAATTCAGTGTGAAGAGCAGAAAGCTGAAATATAATGGAAAACATTGATTTATCTAATGCTTTTGTTATATATTTAAAGCATGTTATTATTTTAGGGTAAGAAAGTTTATTATATAACAAATAACAGCTCTAGTTCGAGAGAAGATTATAAGAAAAAGTGTCTGAAATATGGTTTTGACGCTGACGTGGTAAGTATTTTATTAAGAGAATTACTGGTAATAAAAAGAATATCTGTGTAATCCAACACATCTTATCAGTTTTATTGGGAGCCATGGTGGTTCAGTGAGTAAGACGTTGGCTCGTTAACCTGGAGATCCCAAGTTTGATCCCTGCGTTGGCTGAGATTGTTTATCAGGATTTTCCAGCATGGTTCCCCCTTGTCAGTAGTGCAGCACAGAGGGCATGATAAGGGACAATGTATAGTCATTCAGATGGGACGAAAAACCGCAGCCCCGTGTAAACCCTTGACAATTGGAATTAAAAATAAGAATAGGCCATAGTGCCACTGTCCGGGTAAAATTTCCCTCAAAGCACATTGTATGGCAGATGCCCGGCTTCATTAGCCCAGTCGGTGCAGAACAGTAGGACATTAAACCCCACCATTTCATTTCTTATCAGTTTCTGTACAATTTCCTTGACGACGACCATTAATGTACAAACTGGTTCAGTTCTATGGAGTCGGGGTCATGGTGAAGTTGAATGAGGCTCATGACTTTCGATGCTTAATATTAATAAATGCTGCAAGTCAAATATGTATCAGTATGTTTTTTTGTGACAGGCAATACATCAATTTGGTCAGGTTACAGTATTCATTTTTATACGCCCACATGAATTGTCGTCGCCCCCGCCCGTCCACAATTGTTTGTGAACAGTCTACAGGTCACAATTTTTATCCGATTTCAATGAAACTTGAAATATAGGTTTATCACCCTAAGATCTCGTTTTCTTTCGATATTGGCATGTATCAGACTGTAACTTCATGGATTATGGCCCCTGATTGTACGAAAAATCACGTTTTTAGCTTGTGAACACTGTAGAGGTCACAATTTTTATCCGATTTAGTTTAAACTTGAAATGTATGATTATAACCTAAAGATCTCGATTCTTTTCGATATTCGCGCATATCGGAACGTAACTTCCTGAATTATGGCCCCTGATTGTACGAAAAATCACGTTTTTAGCTTGTGGACCCTATAGAGGTCATAATTTTTATCCGATTTAAAAAAACGTATTGTTGTATCACCGTTATACCCTAAGGACGGCTGAGTTCGAATTTTGTTGAAATTCGGCCCAAAACTGAATAGCATAAAAATATGGTATATCAAGGTTGTGGACCCTATAGAGGTCACAATTTTTATCCGATTTTGATGAAACTTGAAATGTAAGTTTATAACCCAAAGATCTCGGTTCCTTTCGATATTCGCGCATATCGGACAGTAACTTCCTGAATTATGGCCCCTGATTGTACGAAAAATCACTTTCTTTTTAGCTTGTTCTCTATCCATCTCTCGAAAATGTGAGCGTATCCTGCCTGGCAGCTACTGGTAGAGTTGTATAGTCATTATTGTTAATATTATTTTGAAGTCATATATATGATATGATATGTATTTATTTCAGGGTGATATAGTATGTACAGCTTATGTTGGTGCTCTGTATTTACACAATAATAACTTTAAAGGAAAAGTTTATGTAGTAGGAAATCCTGCTATGGGAAAAGAATTGGACAAATTTAACATTAAACATACAGGTATTGGGGTAAGTAAAGCAATGACATCATTTAAAACTGTGAGTGTGATTCTGCCTTTATCAACCCTTAAATCTTAAGCATTTGAACTGCACAGAACTACTGCTCCTTCAAGCGCTTCAAATCGTCCCAATCACACGAATCGCTCTGAACTCAACTAATAATTAAGGACCATGCTCTAGTTATTTGACCCAGGAAGTCTAGGGAGTAGAAGTTTGGAGTGGTTTGGAAAATCAACTAAAAAAACTTTATGTAAAAATATCATTTTTCAGTAAACAGCAATCTGATTAAAACACAGATCCTATTTCGTTTCTCACTTTATCTAGGAAAAAGTAGGCTGCAATTGTACGTTTTTCATCCTATGTATTTTTTCTTCAGCCTGATGAAATGGTACATGAGGATGATAATATAAACTATTCATCACGAGTTGAAGAATGGCTAAAAACACAACTAGATCCAGAGGTTAGATTTGGTTAAAAATTATTTATTTAGTCTTAGTCACCATAGTTGTTACATAGTTGACAGCTACATGGTATACAATGGTTGAACCGTAAAAATAACCACTCGTCCCTAAGTGCAGTCTGTCGGCCAGTATAAGGATTATAACAAGTTGTAAAAAGTGCTTTGATATTTTATTGGTGTTTGTGAGGTCAGAATTTTTTTTACCAATTTGTCTTTTTTATCTATGATTGTAAACGACAAAGTTGTTGGTAGTTTTTTTACAATAATTTAAATGCTGTTATTTATTTTGTATTTTGTATTTTGTTGGAGTATTTAATGATGAAATAGTTTAATGATTGTTGCCTTATTATGGATGTTAGAGAAATGGAGGCACATGAAGCACTTTCTCAAAACGATAATAATTTTTTTAAATTTCATTTCTTTTTTTTTCAGGTAAACTGTGTATTTGTAGGATTTGATCCTTATATTAATTATATTAAGATATTAAAGGCAGCAAGTTATTTACAACGTGAAAACTGTTTATTTCTTGGTACTAATGAAGATACACATTTACCAACTCAGGGCAGTGATATAGTTATACCAGGTAAGGGAGATGTGATGGCTCAGTGAAAAAGACGCTGAAATGCTAACCAAGATGTATCGGGTTTGCTCCCAGTGTTTGCCGAGAAAGTTCCGCAGGATTTTCAGGCGTGGTTTACCATTGTTACTGGTGAAGGACGGAGCTCTGACAAGGAACATTGTCTAGTCATCCGGATGAGTCATACAAAAACAAGGTTCCATGTACACATTGGTGTGCACGTAAAAAAATGCCTTCACAGATGGAATTTGAAATAAGAGTGGACCATACAGCCACTGTTCGAACAGAATTCCCCTCATAACAAACTGTATGCTCGTCTTCATTGGCCCAGTCTGTGCAGAAAAGTTTTGATTTTTCACTTGTACGTGACAAGGAGTAGGGTTGCCTGTCCAACCTTGCGGGGGGTTTCCCCATAATAAAATTGAACCATATGTTAGTCTCGAAATGACCTACTGTTACACCCTATTTCTCTCTCCATCTCTGTTCAATTTTTACTTATTTCTAATGACAGGAACTGGAACAATGGTTAAAGCTGTGAGTCTACCATCTCGTAAAAAACCTTTAATTATTGGTAAACCTGAAACTACCATGTTTGACACGTTATCTCAAGCTAATAATCTGGATCCTGCTAGATCTATGATGGTGGGAGATAGGTGAGTAGCCATGTTATACTGTACCTCTGTCGTCTTCATTAGCCCAGTTGTTGCAGAAAAGTAAGACCCATTTCATTTCGTATTCATTATATCTGACGAAGGCCCACTCTTGTGATTTTTCAAGCCCGGTTCCTGCTTTTCAGGTGTAGCTGATAAAGATAAAGTATCTAGTCTTACGGATGGGACAAAAAAAACTGAGGTCCACCCTTGGGATTTTTCAAGCCTGGTTCCCACTGTTCAGGTGTAGCTGATAAAGATAGTGTATCTAGTCTTACGGATGGGACAAAAAAAACTGATATATCATTGAAACGATGTATCACGATTCACCTCCTCACACTTCGCGTAATTGAATCACAAGATGCTCGATGTATCGTGATTCATTTTTATGGGTTTTTTGTCGCTTCAGTAAGTAACCTGTCACTCTTAATTTATCCACGTCACACATTATCCATAGGAAAACAAACACCCATAAACTGTTTGGGTCCTTATTTTGATCCACATCATCAATAGTGTGCTATAAAACAGTTTTACTTCTTCAACATCGGCAGGACTAAAAATATCAGTTATTTCGTTTATGCTGTTGTTATCGCAATTTGTATCATATCGTGACTGCAGTGGCACTACCCAGCACTATTTTGGTTGGGACAAAAAACTGAGGCTCACCCATGTACATATTGCATTGCATGTAAAAGCAGCCTTGACATTGGAAATTTGATAACGAGTAGATAGAAAAAATAACTGTATCCCAGTCTCAAAATGGCTGAAGTATTATCTTGACCAGATGTTATTAAACTCCTTTCCTATCCTGTTAAACTATTTGAATCACTGGCTCAGTGAGTAAGACGTTGGCTCACTAACCTGCAAGTCCTGTGTTCGATCTGAGCGTTCCCCCTTGTCAGTGATGTAGGACGGAAGACTTGGCAAGGGACAATATATAGTCGTTCGGATGGGACAAAAACCCAAGGTCTGTGTACACATCGGCGTGTATGTTAAAGAACCCTTGACAGTTTGGGAATTCGAAATAATAGTAGACTGTAGCCCTGCAGTCCGGGCAAAATTTCCCTCATAGCACACTGCATGGCGTATGCCCGTCTTCGCTAACCCAGTAGAAGCAGACCAGTAGGATGTTAAAGCACATTTCATTTTATTTATTTGAATCACTAGAGTATGGAAACTGCCTTTACTGGCATCTTCCCAATGGAATTATTTGATTCATCAGTTTCTAATCCCAATAGCCTAAGGAAGATAACCAAAACATTTTTTAAAATTCTGTTCTTTACTTTATATACTAATTTATTGAAATGGCTCTTTTCAGAATGAATACAGATATTTATATGGCTAAACGTTGTAAATTAAAGTCATTATTAGTTTTAACTGGTGTATGTACAGAACAAGATTTACCTCTAAATGGTGTTCAACCTAAATCATTTGAAGCAGGAATAGAATTACCAGACTTTTATGCTGATAAGTTGGGAATCTTCGGTGAATTTATAGCAAATTTATGAATAGATTATATAATAGCAACATTTATTTAGTATTATAAGTTGCCAGTATTTTTGTTAACTTTGTGATCTCCATTCTGTAATTTAAAATATTAAAGATGCTGATAGTCATTTGTATCTAATTTTTCACGCTTAAACATACATTAAATTAAGCAAGAGCTAAATCTGCCTATTGTGGGTCTTTCTTTAGGCCTTAAATGTTATCTAAATTATTAATTAGACATTAATTAACTGATCCAGGGCATAATTAATCGTAAAAATGGATAATCGAGACTTGTTAATTATAGAACCAACTTTAGTAATGATGATCGAGGCTAGCCGAAAAATTGAATTGTTAATATCTTGGTTCAGAGTGAAGAAATTTGGCTGAAATTTTCAGCATTTTCTGTTTTCATTATTGATTTTGTAACTATTATAGCGGGAACTGTCAGCTCTGTATCTAATCTTACCCAATGCTCCTTTAAAGGACAATATTGGTGCCAGTCATTATCACATATGTGATAGAACTGGTTAAACACGTTCCAAATATTATTTTATCACAGAGATCATTGCTACGATAGATGAGTAATCAATGCTTCAACAATAGGAAGTGACGAACGCAAATGGAAAACACGAGTTATCCCTTTATATAACTGAATGAAATGACGTGTGATAACAGATACATGGGTGAATTTCTGCTCACTAATAATTCCTTCGAAGACCAAAAGTTGTTGTATGGGACTGTGAAAGGATATCTGACAATTCATAAACAAAATTGACTCTCACTAGATAAGAGAACATGAAAGGAAAACAGAAATAGTCCGTGCATTACCATGTTTTTATAAGTATAGAATGAATAAACACCCGTGAATGTACGGACTGTTTCTATTTTTCTCTTGTTCTCTTATCTAATGACATGCAATTACTTTTTTGAATTGTCAGATATACTCTTAGTCTCATATAACAACTTTTGGTCTTCGAAGGAATTATTAGTGAGCAGAAATTCGCCCATGTATCTGTTATTACCCGTCACTTCATTCAGTTATATAAAGGGATAACTCGTGTTTTCCTTTTGCGTTCGTCACTTCCTATTGTTGAAACATTGATTACTCATCTATCGTAGCAATGATCTCAGTGATAAAATAATATTTGGAACGTGTTTAACCAGTTCTATCATATATGTGATAATGACTGGCACCAATATTGTCCTTTAATTCATGCTAAATGTAAAATGTTCTCAAATTGATTATTAAACATTTGATTAAGGGGTTAGGCTACCCGAAAAATGTGTTCTTAAATTCTATAGCTATTAAATTAAAAATGGCACAAGTAGTTAGAAAATATAATAAACAAAGGAAAACTAACATTTAAAAAAAAAAAAAAAATTGTTGCTAGGGTAACACATTTTTGGGGAAAAAGTATGAAAACCATTGGTACACCATATCTCTGGCACTAATAAAGATAAATGTCTCATTTTCGCCCTGCTTATTCTTTAATGATAACCCTAAAATAAGGCAGAGAGTTTTTCTCTATAATTTTCATAGTTTCTTGGAAAATGGTGTTTAAAACATTTGCCTCACCACAATATTTTGTCTTTTGAGAAATATTTTGATAACTTTTGAAATATTAATGATAATTCAAATTGCTTTCTGTCTGATTCAGGGGTAGATATTTGTTTATATATCCTGCAAAATTGGTGAAGATATATCTTAATTAGTTACAGAGATATATTGTACCTACACTTTTCATAATTTTTCCCCCTATAAAATGGGTTACCCTGGCAACAACTTTTTTTAAAAGTTACTTTTCCCTTCTTTATTACATTTCCTAACTACTTGTACCATTTTCAATTCAATAGCTTTATAATTTCAAAACAAAAATTTTCAGGTAACCTCCCCTCTTAAGAAAACAAAACTAAATATCAACATTAGACAATCTCCTGGCTTTGATTCAATCAGATTAAAAGATGGCTATCAGAAGATTTTATTCAACACTTATATGTGGCACTGGCTTGTTTATGTCATCTGCAGAAGATGTTGAATGTTGTGGAATTTTTAATTCACAGTATCTTTATAAATATATGAAAGAGAACTGAACTATTTTTGGACTGATATTCCTTTTAGAGATTCAAATTTCACAAGATTGTAGTTTTCAAATAATTCAAAATCTAAAATGACAATCAGCAGCTTTACTTGATATGGCTAAAGTATATTAATATTACTAGTATTGATAAATTTAATAAATGGAAAATGCAAAGAAATTATTACTACTGGACAATGGAGACTGACTGTACAGAATAGATAAAACATTCTCATAGAAAACAAAAAAAAAAAAACAAAAGAAAAAGAAAGGGGTGGGGGAGAAATGGAGTAATCATAAGTACAACATTATTTCGATGTTTAAGGAGTTCTGCCAGTTTTCACTTTATATGCAAATCGGTTGCCAAAGTTATTTATCTTATCTGAAAGGTAAAAGTGCCAAACATTGAGCTGTATATGTGCTAATAAACATAAGTGTCGCTGTGAAATACATTTATTTTGACAATGTCTTTCAATCTGTTCTTTGTATCTTGAGCCTAATATTACAGATTAAAATTTCAATAATGAGGTTCTTATAAATGATAAGAAAAAATTTGTTTTTAATGATATACTATATAGACTGATGACTTTGGATAGTTGAAGAATTACAGTTCAAATTATCAAAGGCATATGTCATTGGATTTTAAAAGGAATGAATTTATTTATTATACCCGGTAATTGTTATATTCAGATTAATTAAATGTTTTATTTTAATTTGTATCCCAAATATATATATAGTAATAAAATTTTTCTAATCTTCGCTATCCTCAGATTTTGTTAACTTGTGTCACATTTTCCAGTTACCATTATCTTACCTTGGAAAGCAGTATAGAGATGGTCCCTACTGATTCTGATCATTTTTCGCAAAAGTTATTTCGGGATTATTAGACCTGTTAGGCTGTTACGATTATTGATAAACCTACTCATACTCACTGTACATAGTTAAGTCTTGGACTCATATTAAATAAATATTTATGAATAGTTAGTGTTGGGTTAAAGATGGCAATACCAGTTATTGTCCCATTTTTCCATTTCATAAAGTTTGGTTCATATAAACAATTCTTTCCTCTAACTTCAAAACTTTGACCATGCTAAAATGATATGATGTGTCTTATTACAACGCGAGATAATAACGCCCGGTGGCCTTGTCCTTCTATGCACCATGGTTTAAATCTGAAAGTGGTTTATTTGGGTAGGGAAATGTGAGTTACTCACGTTGACAAAAGGGCTCTATGATTAGAGTAATTTCCCTTGTCAATATGGCTGCCGTATCTTTATTTATTTCATAAAATGATATTTTTAGTAGAATCTTTATGCAAATGGACTAAAAACATGTTTTGTTAATCAAATTTTAGTATACAGAGCTTTATATTTTAGTTATATATATGTTTTATATCATGACATTATTCTTTTATCTGACAATAGATAAGCATTTGACACGTGAAATTAAACCGTCGTGTAAGCACTTGATTCGTTGTCAATGAAACAAATGGCCCGTGGACTCGATAATGAAGGAAGATAAACTCCAGGTCAGCTGACAGTTAACATGCTTGTTTAATAATATTTTCCTCTTCTGAATTTATATTTTTGTTCTGGTGCATGATTGTTTTGATTTCCATTGGATACATTTTTCATGTACCGTACCAAGCATAATGATAATGATGATAATGGACAATGCTTGATATTAGGCTTATAGGCTACTATAGTTAAAAAAGAGATATAGGATATATTTTGAAAAATTGCTTTGAAACCACATAATTAGAAAGACATGATACCAGTACAACAGTTGGTACAAATTATTATTCTGGTGGTTGTCAACATTTGTAACAGTAAGAGTGCCTCCGTCTTTTCTCCTGCTGATATTTTGATGATAGTCAAAGATAATTGTGCTGTAGTAACAACAGGAGAAGAAATAAATGAAGAAATTCGGCATGTCAGCAGTATATTTAATACAGAAGACAATGTGGTTGTTGGACGGATAAATGTAGATGGATTTCTCTGGCCAGATAAAACAGAACCAAAATTCAATAATAAATTCAGGAATAAGCATGATAGAATAATAGTATTTCAGAAAATAGTTAAAGATCGCTCCTGTCTTCATAAGATACCGGAACTAAAACCCAATATAATTGAATTTGAGGCAACAGTTACAATAGAGAACCTTGTGAATTTTATAAATGAACATTGCTATACATACAAATCGACTGATGGTAGCCTGTCATTTGAAGGTCTCCACAAACAAGAAATCCTTAGTAACTTATACCATGTTGAAAACATATCAAATTTGAATATGGGGAAAATGTACGAAGACTCACAAACATTAACCTGCACTGGTAGTCATGACAATAATAGTTGTCGCTCGAGTAATGAGCATAATTTATTTCGTCTAAGTAAAATTCCTGAGTGTGAAAGAATCAAAATGGAAGATTCCATGAATTTTTTTCATGAATATCTAAAAATATCAAAACCTGTCATCATTGAAGGGGCTATGGAAACATGGAAGTCTTATAAATGGACAGAAAAGTTTTTCAGAAAACGCTATGGAACAAAAGAAGTCCATATTAAACTAACATCAGGAGGAGATTATGAAGGCGTTGAATCTGTGTCTTTGTGGGAAAATTATACTGCTTTTTCCAACAATATTCCTTTGGAAGTCAAGCTGCAGTTAAAATTTCCAGATCTAGTCGTTGTTCGTCCAGCAACATTAAACATGAACTTTTCACAGTTTTTAGACCTTGTAAATCGCATATCTAATCAAACTTTAAACAATCTATCCGCTTATTTAGAGTATTCTTCCATTAGAGAATATTTTCCAGAATTAGAAAATGACATTGAAGAAATGAGTTTTATTCAAGGATTGTTAAATCTAAATCATTTGAATATCTGGCTTAGTGATGGAAACACACTAGGAAAAACTCATTTTGATCCTTATGATAACTTCCTCTGTCAGGTAAGTGAAATTGTGTAAGAAAATTGAATTCAACAACTTGACCCATCAGCAAATAAATTTTTGTAGAAATCTCTCAGTTCAGCTTCATTGCCTAAATCTTTCCAAATAGTGAGTAGTGTCATTTTCCATTCAGTCAGATCCAATTGGTTATTTTAATTGACACACAAAATCAATGATGTTGAATAAGACTGTTATAGGAAGTTTTAACAGCTTTCCACACCAAATAATGAAGTTTTATTTGTTCTCATATATCTGAGACTTCTCTTGAAATGTGTCCTTGTGTTGAGAGAGGGAAATGGGGTTGAACATCCATTTGACACAAACTAGCTCATTTCGATACTAACAATAACTCACTTCGTGCATAGGGATCTTTATCAGTGGAAGGACCCGGAGAAAACCTACAAGGTTGTCATGTACAGGCAGGGAATCAAAACCACACCACTTGATTAAATGACAGACCATGTGATCTAAAACGCATGAATTAAACGACACGACCACCCAACCCCTGTCCTTGTGTTGAAGCAAACGACCACCCAACCCCTCTCCTTGTGATGAAGCAAACGACCCCCCAACTCCTCTCCTTGTGTTGAAGCAAACGACCACCCAACCCCTCTCCTTGTGATGAAGCAAAAAAAAAAACCAACCCCTTTCCTAGTGTTTAAGCAAATGACCACCCAACCCCTCTCATTGTGTTGAAGATTGTTATGTAATTTTATTGCGAACCGCAAAGTAGAATTCTGAAGTAAGACACTCAGGAGCATAAGTTTAATTACTATAAACCACAAAGGTATACTTACTTTTGGTCTGGTTAATAGATAGAAAATTAATGGAGCTACTGGTAGATAAACAAAACATACATGTATTTGATTTACATTAACAGTCACTTCCTGGTCAGGATAAACTGCATGAAATATAACATACATTATGCAAGAGCTAAATATGCCTATTGCAAGTCTTTCTAAGTTATCTAAATTATTAATTAGACATTAATTAACTTATCCAGACCATAATCAATCCTCGATGTCAACGCTAGCCTGCGATGTTTACTGGATTAGGATACCATTTGCTGCTTCTCTTTCATTCTTGATTTAATCATGAAATGGATAATCGAGATTATGTTTTTTTATCGTACCGACTTTAGTAATGATGATCGAGGCTAGGCCGAAAATTCAATCGCTAAAATATTGGTTCAGAGTGGATCAATTTGACTCTGAAATTTTCAGCAAATTCCCTTTACATTAACAAGTTTTTAACTATTATAGAGAGAACTGCCAGCTCTTTATTTAATCCCCCATAATGTATCTTTAATTTAGAAATCGAAGAGTCTATTCTCCAATACTTACAATATTCTTGAATGATGCCCATTATTTATTTCCCTATGTCACTTACTGTAAACAAACATTATTTTGATAGTTAACCAGTTTAAAGGAGCTAAATCGCTATACTTAGGCACCTAGAAAGTATTGTAGAGGTATTATGTTTTAACTGCATGCAAAGATTGGATGATGTTGGGTTTTTTTCATAAATTAATAACAGTAATGCTACTTTATGATTTTAGATAAGTGGTAAAAAAGAGGTTATTCTATTTGATCCACATAATAACTCTAGATTATATGAAGCCCACATTCCAGAAGCCATCTTATCTTACAATAAAGAAGAAAAAATATTTAAAAGAAAACAATTAGTAGAGAGTACATCACTTGTCATGTCACCAGTAGATATACTAAAGCCAGATTTTAAGGTGAATATGTCTTGCTGTTTTTTACCTTTTCTCCATCAGATCAGTCAGTGACCTTTATGAGCATGACACAGGACCTTGTTTTGTTTTTTTTGTCCCATCCAAACGACTATACATTGGTCATTGCCAGATTGTCATGTCACCAGTAGATATATTAAAGCCAGATTTTAAGGCGAATATGTCTTGCTGTTTTTTACCTTTTCTCCATCAGATCAGTCAGTGACCTTTATGAGCATGACACAGGACCTTGTTTTGTTTTTTTTGTCCCATCCAAACGACTATACATTGGTCATTGCCAGATTGTCATGTCACCAGTAGATATACTAAAGCCAGATTTTAAGGTGAATATGTCTTGCTGTTTTTTACCTTTTCTCCATCAGATCAGTCAGTGACCTTTATTAGCATGACACAGGACCTTGTTTTGTTTTTTTTTATCCCATCCAAACGACTATATGTTGATCATTGCCGGACCCTCTGTCCTGCACCACTGACAAGGGGGAACTCCTGATGGAGTTTCTTGGCTAAAATCGGGATCCACACGGGAACTCCAGGTTAGCGAGGTCAACGTCTTACTCACTGAGCCACCACAGCTTCCATGAGGCCATATACAAAACTTAACTGGTTTTATTCACTAAAACATGGTTGATTAATTCAAATAGTGAGTTAATATGTCATTTACTGGTAATTTAACTATATTCATTTTTATCATCCATTGGTATACCATACAGTTCATGAAATAAAATGGGGTTTAACGTCCTACTTTTCTGCACCCAGTTGGCTATTTAAGACGGACAAAGGCCATGCAGTATGTCATGAAGTGATTTTTGCTCGGAAGGCAGCACTACAGCCTACTCTTATTTACTTTCAATCAAGGGATCTTTTAAGCGCCTGCAAACCTGTACACAGAACCTTGTTTTTTTGTACCATCCGAACAACTGGATCCTGCACCACCACCACTGACAAAGGGAAACCACAGCAGAAATTCCTAAGGAACTTTGTCGGTCAACACCAGAATCAAGCCCAGGATATCCTTGTTAGCAAGCTAGTGCTGTACTCATTGAGCATACAGTTGATGTACATAGAATATAATAAATTGTCTTAAATTTTTCAGAGATTTCCAAAGTTTGCTGATGCCTATCCTTTAAATTGTACAATTGATGCTGGTGATGTTTTGTTTATTCCTGCTTTCTGGTGGCATGAAGTTCAATCATATCCAAGTAAATCTGAACACAGAAATTTAGCTGTAAACTTCTGGTAAATAATTAACAAACAAATTCATATGAAGATCTTTAGTCTTATGTTAGCCAGAACCGTGTTTTCTATGCTCTCTCGCCGAATTTAGGGTCTGGGAAAATTGCTTAAATTACTGTGATCAATAAAAGAATAATGATATGGTAAAAAAAATGATTATTAATTGAAAGAAAATGTTGAAAAAATATTAATTATTAATTGAAAAAAATGTTGACTATTAATTGAAAAAAAATCTTGGTTATTAATTGAAAAAAATATTGATTATTAAATGAAAAATAATATTGAATGATTACTAACTGAAAAACAATAATTTATCATGCATCAATAGTTTATTATTATATTAATTCATAGAAACAAACTTTACTCCAAAAATGAAAATTTGTTGATTTGAAGGATTCACAGTTTTAAGAAATCTGAAAATGCTCCAAATTTTGTTTTAAAAAATGATCATATGCACACAATTGAATATTCAAATAGCATTTAATGACTTATAATATTCAAATTTTAAAATCGACATTTGATGTGACCAGTACACGCTTTGCATGTTAGCTATGCTTTCCGATTATGGAGTGTTTTTTTGGCTTCAATTGTTATATGAATGATTATTTAGACATTTATGCACATGACAAGCCCGTAATCAACTCTCTAAGCCATGGGGTGACCAAGATATTGAGTTGATTTGACAATGCCCACCATACCTATGTTAAATGCAGATATGGCTGACCAAACTGACATTTTCTGAAAATGCATGATGTCAAACACGAAAACTGCCGATAAAAGGTCTGACAAGGTTTTGAATTTTCTCTAAATCTCGAATAATACCTTTTTAATTCTGTTTTGACTTGGAATGGACATGTAAAAGTTACAAATTTGTTTTCAGGTATGAGCCATTCCTTACTAAAGAATTTCCATGTCAAGACTGTCGTTTAGATATCAACCCTAACTATAGACATCTTCTCTAGGTGGCATCTGAGAAAGGTGAATGGAATCAACATCAGAAAAAACGAATTGTTACATGAGATAGTGTAATGTCTTTTTCTAAACTGTGTTTTTTATTGTGATAAGATTTATTATTATAATTAATGCTAAAGCTAGGAATAATTTTTGATGGCTACTGCACTGTTCCCAAATGTACTGCAATTTTACAGTTGAACTATACAGAACATGTACTGCAATTTTACAGTTGAACTGTACAGCACATGTACTGCAATTTTACAGTTGGACTGTACAGCACATCCTGTAATTCACAGTAAGACTGTTGGGTACATGTACTGTAATTTTACAATAGGAATATGCGATACATATACTGTACTTTTACTGTAGGATGGTAGGGTACATGTACTGTAATTTTACAGTAGGACTAGTGTAGGGTACATGTACTGTAATTTTACAGTAGGACTGTAGGTTACATGTACCTCAATTTTACAGTAGGATGGTAGGGTACATGTACTGTAATTTTACAGTAGGTCTGTGTGCAATCTGATTAAAATACAGATCTATATTTCGTTTCGTTTTTTTATACTTTCGATGGCCTACACTACATGAAGATCTGACAAGTTATAGCGATAGGTCACGTCAGGGGTCAAAAGACCGACTTATGACCCTATGGCATCAGGCATTTGATTAACCAATCAGCTTTGATGTTACTAGTGGATTACCCACAGTTCCGTGAAAAACACGCCTAAAGCTCGCCGTAACAGACCGTTTCATTGGATTATTCCTGACACCAGTCAGAACACGAGTTAAATAACAAATCTTCCAGATCCAAGTGTAGTAAAGATAAGTAAAACGAAATTTTGAACTATAAAAACGAAATGAAATAGGATCTGTGTTTTAACCAGATTGGTCTGTGTGGTACATGTACTGTAATTTTAAAGTGAGATTAGTGTACACATAATGTCATTTAAGAGAACAACTCCTGTAATTTTACAGCAGGACTATAGATAGGGTACATGTAATGTCATTTTACAGTGGGTATTTGTGCTGTTGATTTATTTTTGAAAGTTGATCCATATTGTACAAACAAACAAACAATGTGTCAATCAGCGATATAAAAACTGATGTGAGATAAGATGATACTTCCTGGATTTCAATCAATCAGAATTAAAGACAAGTATATTTGTTGACAGTCCACTATATGCCTAGTTCTATACATTCCACTATATGCTTAATTCTATGCATTCCACTATATGCTTAATTCTATACATTCCACTACAGGCCAATTCTTATACATAAAACTATAAGCCTAGTTCTATATAGTCCACTACTGGCCTGTTTCCATACATTCTACTATATGCCTAGTTCCATACATTCTACTATATGCCTAGTTCTATACATTCTACTATATGCTTAATTCTATACATTCTACTATATGCTTAATTCTATACATTCCACTACTGGCCTATTTCCATACATTCCACTATATGCCTAGTTTTACTACTTTATTTTAACTGTGCTTAAATTAATATTTAAAGGGGAATATATTTATTTTTTAAAGGATCATAATATTTGATTTAGCTGTAATCCTTTGTGTCAAACAGTAGCTTATACCTTAAGGCTAAAACCAAATAATGTCTAGTTCTTGGGGGAATTGATAAATACATGGCTACTCGAGTTTAGTGAACAGAGTTTTGTTTAAATCTAGTATTTTTTGGTTTTTAAATAATTTTTCCCCATAGATACAGGAAACTAAAATTGAAATAAAATTGATCCATATGTTAGTCCCAAAATTACCAGTGGATGTTAAACCCCATCTCTCTCCCTCATAGTAACACCACTTGGTTTTATGTTTATGAAACATATGATTACAATTTTTTTTTTTTTTTTACCAAACTCATGACTATTTTTCCTGTTCCTTATGATGTTTGCCTTTTATAATGATTACAATACACTTATATTGACATATCTGTATCTATAAAAGGGGAAAACCCCATCATAATTGAGTTTGGGTATCATGTCTTTTTAAAAATACTTTTAATTAGAATGGGTAGTCTGATTTGAACATTTGCCTAATGTATGGAGCAGATTGCTAAAATTATGATGTGATGCTAAAAAGTAATGTTTTTTTTATAATTTTTAACTATGTTCATATATTTTTAAATTTTTTATTATTTTACACTTGTTTTGATTGATGTTAAATCTGGTTTTATTTTGATTGGTTATAAACTGAAAAACCATTGTCATGTCTGGTCGACAAAGACAAGTTCTGTGGTTGTTTGTTTGGGAGTGATGTGGATCAGGGTCTCACAGCATGGGACACCAAATTAACATATTTAAGTTAATTAAACCCATCCAAATACACAGCTCTTAGCTAATCTGGAAATTTTATGATGTAGCGAAAGGTCCTCTAAATTTTCTAGCATGGTTTTTGCTTGTCAACCGTGCTGGCAGGGAAAAGCTTGTATTCCTTCACATGGGACCAAAAAACAAGGTTTCATGTAAAAGATTGGCTGCACATTTGGAAATCGAAATAGTGCTGTAGTGTAGGGCTAAATTTCTCTCACTGCATGGCATATGCCGCCATCTTCATTAGTCCATTTCGTAAAATACTAAACACCATCTCATTTTGGCTAATATGGGATTTTGAATTTCTCAAATTTTAACACTTCTTGAGTTTGTATTAAACCCTTAAAACCCTATTCGAAATTGCTCAGAAACAAAGAGTCACTGGATGTCCAAAAAAGAGTCGGTTTTGATGACAATATATGTTATGGATGATTTATAGTATATACTATATTTGAATATATATATCTGAAATGGATTGGTGTGTATTATTCAATGTATATTTGTAATATATTATTATTCCAGTAACCATCTTCTTAATATCTTTTGTTGTTTTCTGACTATCAGTTACACCCAAAGCAATATTGCTTGTCACTCTAATGCCAGTTGAAATATCTGTATTTTGGCAACTGCTAGAAAGACATTTGCTCAGTATTGGTCTGAGTAGTCCTATAAGTTTATGATTATGTGATTTAATAATAAATAAATAAATAACCATATATGTAGTATTCTTTTTTATAATGAAGCGAATTAGTAAAGCAAACTGTTGGTCTCAGTGGTCGCTGTCTTGGTCCGAGTTGTCTATCAATTGATCCTACTGGTCTTTTGGTTGGTTCACTGAGTTTAATCTGAGCGGTCTTTGGTCCGTGCTATTAGGTCGTGCACCTTGGGCGAATATAATGGATCAGGCTACTATAGAAAATAACTGATGTTTAAGAAACATATCTTCTTGGTCAAATAAACCATATGCAAATACATCCTCCAGAAACAAATCGGACCGCAAAACACACAGCGCATGATCTACAAACAAAGCAGGGGTGCATTATGAAGCAACCTTTTTTTTTCTTTTAGTGTCAAATTCTTACACTATCAATACCACAAACTCGGCGCATCACTAACATAATTTAATGGGAATCTCTTTAGATACGAGAGACGAAATAAGGAATTATGGTTCATTGTATGAGAAATTGTGACGTAGTTAGAGATGGATAAGATGATGTTATTTTTTATGTTACTCCATTAATTACTTCATTGGTTATATTATTGTTATAAATTATACCAAAGGAGAGTGTGAAATTCATGATGGTTCGGCGAGGGCGAGGGCGAGGGCGGGGGGGGGGGGGGCAGTGACCTTGTCATGGGTTAATACGATGACACTGTCTACAAAGGAAAATAAAAGTTTTTTACAACAATCGAAGACATTTTTATACGTCCTCGTTTAATGCTGACATTCGCGTCCACTTAAACTTAAGGAACCCTTGACAGTTGGAATTCGTTAAAAGTATGCCGTAGCGCCCGTCTTCAGTTAGCCTGTCCGAACAAGGCAGTAGGACGTTAAACATCATTTCCTTTCAGTGTCCTCATGCCATGAGAAACGGCGCCAGTGTAAGATATTCATATGTGTTATAGGCATAAGGGGCTCATTTTGAGAACATCTGAGGGTGGACCAAATAGTTTGAGAGTCCTTGGACTGGACTCTGCCTTAACGATTTTATGAGGGTGAAAGGAGTTATGAGTTGTATATTGTGTTCGCTGCAGACATATCTCCTATACAAGCCATGGTTCCAATACTAAAGTGAGCTGGTTAATGTCAAGTGGACATTAAACTCCATTTCTTTCTCACTTTCTCCAGCACTACATCACCGTCACCTCAAGACAGACTACTGATATGAAGTTATTAAAATAAATATTATTAAACTAGGGTTATACACAAAGTACAAAAAGTATGCTAAAAACATGACTAGAGCAGTTCTTCAATAACAGTACAAAATTAAGTTCTTCATAATGTCATTTTCGCTTTAACAGCACCGAATTCATTTACAGCTACCCACAAAGATGTTACTAAACAAAATCGCGTCAAATTGAACTAACCAGAATTGGGTAGAGTAGGTCTACTAGTAACCTTTCCATCGATATGCATTGTTCTTTCTTCATAAACTGGTGGAGGTGCAATCGAGTGAATAGGATATCTGGGAGGTTCGAAGTTTGAAGAACACGGGACGCTCTGACTGTCGCTAGTCACGGGGCTCAATAAATTATTTGATTCACTAGTATCACAAATTATTTCTAGTCCGTCAACTGACGATAATTCTGAGGACGTGACTTCAGATGAATTACCTGCACTGTTTTCAGATGTTTTTCCATCAGCTTCTTCGGATGATAGCTGAACCATGCTAGTATAACTTGGTGGAGAACTTAGCTCTCCTGTACTTTCTGGTACCACTAGTCCGCCGACCACCGGGATTCTCGAGAAACTTTCACCCAGATGCGGTAGAGATCGGTCCCGAACACAAGGCGGTAAAAACGGAGATTCATTTTGAAATGTTCTCATGGAAGAACGTACATTGTTATTTTGTGAATCTTCGTAAGAAGGCAATGCAGAACCTGGAATAAATACTAATTGTGAACCGTCGTTCATCTCTTGGAGAACTAGGCGTTTTGGGAATGGCCTCGAAGTTATAGATGGTGGAATTTGGGAAACGGGCGGTGCCAATCTTTGAAGGGTTCTGTGTGGTCTAGCAGCTGTTATTGGGTGACTAGGTGGTCTATATATCGGACTGTTGTCGCTGTTATGCGGGAAATTCCTTCGTATGTTGAATCGTTGGCATTGAGGCTCGTTCGAGGGATACAAAAGACGCTGATTTGCGTTTTCAATCGTAACACGGACGTGTTTTAAGGCTTCAAGTCGTTTGATTCTACATTTTATGATCACGATTATGATCATTCCCACTAATACCATACACACGACTGACGCAGCTATCTTCACCTCTTTGTGTCTTTTTCCTCCGCCCGGTTTACCTGCCCTTGGTACTGGTGTATCAATTATGGCAGTATCCGTGATATATCTTTTAGAACAAACATTGCTTCTTTCTGGAAGGAAATGAAATATCAAAATTAGTATGGGACTGAAATAATCAACAAATACTCAATGTACCGTTAAAATGATCCTTTCAAAAGACCGTTTTCATTATCCTAAACCGTGTAGAAACGTAGGACAGTAGGACGTTAAAACCCATCTCATTTCCGTTAAAGCCCAAAACAAACCTTTCAGTTCAATCTATACGGACAAACCAAAAAGGAAATAGCGGTGCTCTATAACCGATCAAACATGGTGATTGCTCTACAGACAGTCTATTTACTTACCCTTGTATTGAAGTTCTCCCAACCAGCAATCAATCCTGTACGTATTAATTCCACATTCTGCAATACAAGTATAGGTATTTTCACCATCACTTGGAGACAGCAATTCCAGACTTGATGTATTATTGCTTAAAGATGTTTCTATTTGATAAAAATCTTCTTCATCAACAATCTGTTCTACTTCCAGATCTTCGGACTCATGTAACCAGCTGAATGTATCGCAAGTTTCGGTACCCGCCGGTAACCCGTATATCTTACACTTAAGTAGAACTATGAATTGCTTCGCTCTCTTGACTTCTTCCTCTATGATCTCCACCTTGGTATCTGTAAAATAAAAGCAAATAAATAATACTTCATGAATTATTGATTTTGGACATTGGCGTAGATTACGATGAAATAAACCTGACCTGGTGCAAATTGACGTTTGAGAACAAACTGCGTTTGCTTTTCTGCAAACCAAAAGGTTTTAGTGAACTCCCAGCATCGCCAAGCGGCTCGAAAATAGATTCTCCCATACATGAAAATATTTTTATTTTTTTGTGTTCATTTTTGAAAGTAAGCAGACGTTCAAAATATCTCAACCTTGACCTTCGTGTAGTTTTATTTATATGATTGAAGATTTACGAGATACTAATATAAACAGTAAAGACGTTTAATATACAGTTTAAATTCCACGTTGACACTTTATTAGATTTCTATCTCAACTCCTTAATAAAATACCGTTTAATTCGTAATAAAAACACATGTATACAACTAAAGGGTCAAAAGGCTGAAGTTTTCTTCTACTTTTTATTCAAACGTAGGCTATACATGTGTGTACTTTTATCGTTCTGTCGTTGCCTCCTTATAGTTTTGATAAAGCTAAACAAGTTATTGTTCACTGTGTAATGATTTCTGACGATGATACATTGTTTATTTGTTTGTGTTTTCATTTTGTTTGTTTGAATAATTTACCCGAGTGTTTTTTGGGGGGATTTTTTTAGTGTGTTAAATTGCATGTTTTTTGTTTATTTTTTTTCATAGTACTGTGTTTTAACATGAGTATAATTGACAGCGACAAGCCGCACAAGTAGAATTTTGGTTAGACTATTTGATAAGGTCAACTTCAAGTTAACCGTAACTCTGGACCTAGCCCTAATGCTTACCCTAGCCCTAATCTACAATCTCGCCAACAATCACGTGCCCTCACCTTTTTTACACCTCTGCAGCGATCTTGACGAAGATTGAGCTGGCCTTAACAAATAGATTTAGCCTACAATTTTTCGCGATGTCATGTTTTCAGGGGTTTATAGTGAATGGAGAGCAGAGTACGTGCTTTGCATTATTGAGGTTTTACCATGGTTGCATGGTCCAACAGGTTGTGATTCAAACAGGAGAATCATTCCATCAAAACGATTACTATAGAAATGGTTTGTAAGCGCCGACCTTGTTATCGACTTCAAAATCTAAAGACGCATTTAAGAAACAACGATAAATGTCGATTTTCAGGCATTCGGCACACAGGGCCGTAACTAGCTCAGAGCAGCGAGGGGGGGGCATGCAGGAAGTGTTCTCATGGGGTGGTGTAAAATTGACGGACTATGTATATCTATCGTTTTTATGGTCGACAATTTTTCAAATTTTTTTTTTTTTTGGGGGGGGGGGGGTCGAAACTTTTTTCAGGGGGGGGGGGGGGCTGTGGCACACTTTTGGATATTTTAGCAACAAATATGAACTAGTTATCCCGCTGCTCCCCACACACCTCACTGAACAACATCATATACACGTTTGAAGTAGTTCAAGTTTGTTCGGAAAACAGCCCAGACGATACATTTATCTTTGAACGTCATCACTGAAATTATGATAATGTTTTGAAAAAATGCCTGAACATCTGAGCGCGGCTTTAAAATACTGATTGTGGGCCACGGTGGCTCAGTGAGTAAGATGTTGGTGCGCTAACCTGGAGGTCCCCTGATCAAGATTTTCTGACTTGGCTCTCCTTGACAGTGGTGCAGGATCGAGGGCCTGGCAAGTGACAACGTATAGTCTTTCCGATGGTACGAAAAACCGAGGTCATGTGAACACATTGGCGCTCACGTAAAATATCCATTGGCAGTTGGAATTCGATATAAGAGTAGGCAGTAGCGCCGCTGTCCTGGCAACATTTTCCTCACATCACACAGTATCGCGTACGTATTAGCCCCAGTCGGAGCAGGACAGTAGGACGTTAAACCCCATTTCATTTTTTAAAATATTGATTACACTATCACACACGTGCATTTATGAAATCATCACGTGCTCACGATCGTCTATGAATATATTACTGGCGCAAAGTGCCCTGCCATTATTTGAAAGAATGATGACGTCACGTCTGTATTTAAACAATTATATCATGTGATTGTGAACAATAATGTGACAGAACGGAAGCAATATGATATGAAAGTCATCAATGTGTCCTTCATAATTCCCCAAGGCCGTGTGTAAACTGCACCCGTTATCAAATTCCAAAGACAGCGTTCATTGTTTCCTCTATTTCAAAATACGGGCGCAAAATATGTATTATTATTGTGGTACATTTTTATATCGCACATCTTCAATGACTAAATGCTCACGTGCGCTTTACAAAATTTATACAAATAAAATAAATAAGACATACATTGAATGATTGAAATCAACTTAAAATCTTATACATTTCATTAATGCATAACCTGCCATTCCTTTGTTGCATAAATTAAAATGATGTATTACCTGGGAAAAGACTCTAAGAAAAAGGGCGTTTTCAGATTTTTCTTAGACAATGCCACGTGATCAAAGATACTTTCGGCACTCCCATATGGACATTCATGACTAAATTGATAAATTGTATAATCTAAATGTAATAAAATAAAATATGCCGTATATCTGATTATTATACTGAATAAATATTATAACAAGCGTTACGTTGTCAGAAGAAATAAAAAACGGAAACAGGGGATTAATTAACGGATATTATAAGATAGAGCCCTGGGCCCTTATTCACGAAAACTTAAACTAAGTTACAACCGAAATTTTAAGAAATACTTCAACTTCATTTGATATATTCAAATTGATTTTACTGGTCAGCCCTGCCAGGAAAATTAGCAGCCCTTCTACCCATGGCCGAATGTAACTTTCTGGACTCACTTAGCTACGCCACTGGGGATTAACGCTGAGTTTCATAGCCATTCATATACCATGAAAAAGAAACCCAAACCGTCTTCCCATAATGAATATAGCAAATATATAAAGATGTATTATGATGTAGACAATTTACAGGCCCAATTATCATATTTCAGCTGAGCGGAAATGTAATAAAATGGTGTGGGGTTTAACGTCCTACTGTTCTGCTCCAACTGGGATAATGAAGACGGGAATACGCCATACAGTGTGCTATGATGAAAATTTTGCCCATACAGCGGCACTACGGCCTACTCTTATATCGAATTCCAACTGCCAAGGGATCTTTTACGTGTACGCCTATGTGTACACGGGACCTCGGTTTTTCGTAATTCTGTGTATTACAGAATGAAATGAAATTGGGTTTAACGTCCTCCTTTTTGTATTAACAGGAATAATGAAGATGGGTATACGCCATGCACTGTGCAATGGGGAACATTTTGCCCGGACAGTGGCCTTTCCGACTTCTCTTCGTCAAAGGATTCTTTTACATGCACACCAACGAGGTTTCGAATTCGAAAGCCAAATTTCGCCGTCTATATCATCCCAGTTGGTGCGGCACAGTAGGACATTAAACCCTATTTCATTTCCGACGCGTATTATTATTACTTGACATTGAAAGGGTGACATTCAAATGCAAATATTAAACATTTTTTTATATTGACACATTTTTATTTCATTGTATATAAATATTGACTTATTGGTGTCTAGTCAAAAAAAAAACCCAAAAAAACCCCAAACATTTGCACACTTCGTGAATTTTTGCGCTCATAGTAACTATATGTCAATATCAATGAAGTAAGTAGCGTGTGCAATGTGGACAAAATACTTAAACCGTCGGTCTGAAATGGTATGAGTTATTGTGTGTATGTCTATATCCTATTATCTATGATCTAATAAACTTCCCGTGATAGATTAGACAGGGAATAACCCATACATAAATAGATATTATTTCTAATACTATGTGACAGATATCTAATTTCAGCTGTATATAAATTTAATTTAGTTATTTACCTATGTTAATTTATTTTGATTATCATGATCTATGCTATACTTAAAATATGCTTACTGTAGGTAGTGACGCGATAAGAAAAAGCTCTAATTACATTATTGGTCTTAGTGAAAAAGGAATCACAAAATTAATTGTTCATACGATGTCGATTCTGGTAGAAGTGAAATGGGGTTTAACGACCTGCTTACAGCCCCGACCGGGATAATGAAGGCGGGCATACGCCATGCAATGTGCCATGAGAGAAATTCTGATAGACAGCGACTTTTCTGCCCATGTATACTCGTCATCAAAGGTTCTTTTACGTGTACATGCGAGGATCTCGGTTTTTAGTCCCACCCGAACGGCTATGCGCGTTCCCTTGTCAGTCACTAACAAATGGAAACTTTGTTGGTGAATCCAGGTGAACGTTCACAGCCAACATCCGGATCAAACCCCTGATTTCAATCAAACCCGCGCCCTACTCCCTGAACCGGAGGGTCACGGTTGCTAAATGGGTAAGACAATGGCTCGCTAGCCTAGAGGTCGGGTGTTCGATCCCAGCATTGGCCGAGAACGTGGTCCGGCGTGCCCCCCCCCCCCTTGTCAGTGATGCAGGACAGAGTGCCTGACAAGGACAGCTGTCGAGTCGTTCGGATGGGACGAAAAACCGAGGTCCCATGTACACATTGGCATGCACGTAAAAGATCCTTTGGCAGTTGGAATTGGATATCAGAGTAGGCCGTAGTGCCGCTGTCCGGGCAAAATTTCCCTTATAGCACAGTGTATGGCTATGCCCGTCTTCGTTAGCCCAGTCGGAGCAGAACAGTAGGACGTTAAATCCCATTTCATTTCATTTCATTTTACTCCCCGAACCACCATTAGAGAAATTCGGACAATAATGTAAATAAAGAAAGTTAACAATATCAAACCTATATTCCGCTTACAAAAAATATATACCGCGTTATTTAGGGTTTTTTCTGTCAGATGTCTTTGGCTATATATACGCCCTAAGGTGACCGAGGAAATAACGCGAGTTATTGTACAATATAATATATGATATATGATGTTATACAGTAATATAGGTTTACAGTTATGACAATGACATGTATATTATTAACCTCTATTTTATTATTTGTAACCTAGATGTAAATAGAGTGGA